CAGCAGAGCCATAGGCAAGTGCTCCGTACCTCCACAAGGCAAATGGCTCACTTTCAGCAGAGCAAACCGGCTCATTCAAAGACGTTTGCTGGCCACATCCCAGATGCAGCAAAGGCATCCAGAGCGACTAGAACAAACGGTGGGTCTTCGCTGTCCGACTTGCTGCGAGAGCGAAAACCCCTCGGAACTCTCTCTTGTAAATAAAAGGGACAACGCAGTTTCACATCGTCTGCGCCCTGGCTTGCACTTATGATTCTCACTAGACTGGCCCAGCTTAATCCGGTCGCGACGTCCGTAAGTACACTGGCAGAAGCAAGAGGCAGCCACCACGAGCGAAAGGCGAGAAGGCCGAAGACGGAGGTAACCTTTCGTGCTCTTGTCATGAATCTTAAGTAGCTCAAACTGGTGCCATGCAACGGGCAGCGTCACGAAACGGCCGAGGCCACCACTCGCGGAGCTGGTTCTCATTAAAGACATCCGTCGTTTCGGTCTCTTGCTGAAATGATATCTGATGCAGGCACGGAACTTGCGGACAAGCCCAATCGTCAGTCTTGCATCATATAAGTCGCATGCGTCGCTCCTAAGGGAGCTGTTCGGAGGGTTGCATTCACTGGTGCGAATGGTGCGGCGGTTCTGTGGTTTTGGTAAGCCAGTAGTGCATTTAGGCTGTTCTTTGTACCTTTCATAATTATGGCCAGGCCAGGGCCGACGATGGGCTCTTGGCCTTTGATTTCTTTCTGTTCTGAACGAGCATGACGCTCCGACCACGAAGATGGCGGGTAATACTTGTGCATTAGCCTTCAGAGTAAGCGATTGTCAGCGAGTCGGCCAGCGAGGTTCTTGTGGCGTGAATTGTTTGCACACACATGTGCTGCTCTCGACATGTGCAATTGAAGTGGGAGCATTTGGATTCAGGGCACTTTTTGAACCTCGTATGGCGGCAGAGTTTCTAAACGTTGCACAGTTGGGCAAATGACAGAAAAAGAAAGAAAGAAAAAAGGAGCCCGTCAGCAAACGAGAAATTTCCGATACACCTTTGGTCCGCCGTTGCGCAGGGTTGGCCAGGTGTCAAGGACTTGTTTCTCTGTTGTCCTACATGCAATGTCTGAAGATGGTGACCAGGTTCGAGTCACACTGCATCGACCATGTTGTTCTGCCGCTACCTGTTCGTTCAAGCATTGTTGATGTGTCAAACGTTCCCTTTGCTGCAATTCCCATCTATCCGAAAGAGCGGCTTTGCAATAGCGTCGAGGTTTGCAAACTCCATACGAAGACGTAGCATGTGCACTGCGATAGCACGACAATGGCCACTGGCCCAGATTTGAGAGCGTCATTGTGGGGGCGTGGAGAAGCATCCTGTCGATTCCGCCATTCGTGCCTCACAGATAGAGCCCACTGTGGTCCACTGGGAATTGTCCGCTTTCTGCAGCAAATTTGGCTTTTGAGCTCGAAGCGGGCCCCTTACCCCTCCCCCTCCCTGGCTTGTCCGACCCTGAGAGCAATCATTCTGTAGCGTGCCAGCGTGCTTCCCGTTAGACTCCATGCCAGCGCGCACGTATCACAAATATAACCGTGCTTGTTGTCCCTGGCGCACTTTTGTGGACTGTTGGCGGTTGGTTGTTTGACTTGCGCAGGGCCTAATCCCGGCTAGGCAAGGCTTGGAGAGCTGTCGGACAGGTTAATGAGCAGCGGCTTGGATCTTCAGGAAAAACAAACAAAGTGGAAATATTCGGACAGACGCACGACATACGGAGGACTCAGGATGATGTCAGATACGAAAATTGCCATACTCCGTGATGGGTTGTTGGATTGATGACGAGAAGGGAAAGCATAGGAGAGAGATCGACCTTTCGTTGAGCGGAGCTGTCGGTGGGAAGCAAGGGGCCCGTTGGCAGAAATTCTTGCGAATGCAAAATGTGATTGACGGCACTTGTCTTGGTGATGATTGCGGAGAGGTGTGCCGAGAATGTGAATTGGAGGAGGAGAAGGAAAGGGGCAGCAAAACAGCAGATCAGGAGTCCAAAGCCCTCGGCGGCGAGAATATGGGAAGTGGCTGGCGGAGTTCGATTAATGCGGAAGGAGCTATCTTATGAATGTACGGGGCACAGAGAACGATGAGCATAGGTGTGTTTGCGTGTGCGAAAATCATCGTCATTTTGGGGCCGGGGACCAAAATGGGCGGCGGGCACCAATACGAATGGTGCTCCTATTTAGAGCTAAAAGGAAGGAACGGCCCACGACCCACGACCCACGACTTCGCCTATTGGGCCGAAGCATAGCCTGCCGCTGAGGGGTTCGGTCCAAACCAAAAACAGCGAGAGCTTCAGCTCTGTTCCCGATCGAAGCTAGCTGCAGTTTGCGCTTGCCAACCTGGAGAGTACGAGACGGGGTCTTTCCGTAAGGGACAGAGAATGAAGAAATGGAAAGAGCAAGAGGCCATTGGGGAAAGAGCATGGCCGATGGGAGTCAGAACGGGCAGGCGCGAGGCATTTCGACGGCAGCACTTTGAACATCATACGGAGCTCAGTCCGACTCGACTCTAATATTATGGGACGCAAAGCCACAAGCCGTATGTCCTGGGCAGACCTCTACATGTTTTATTTTCACTCACGGCTTGCTCCATATTAATCCTGGGCCGGGGTAAGTACTCTTTGATGAGACGCAGGCTGCAAGGAGGAGTGTTTACTGCGCGTCAGCTCGCAGACTAAAAAGGGCAATCGTCCCCTCCTCCACCCCCAATGCACCTGCCGCTAGCTCGCATGTACAAGGTGCGAGAGATGTGACTTGGGCCATGCAGCCAAGCCAGACCCTAGTCGCTCTTGCCTCCTTTTCCCATTCTTTTCATGTTCCCTCTGTCCTGTGGCTTCTTTCCTGTCTTTGCCCGCGAGCCCGGGTTTCCCTGTTGGTCGCTGTGTGCTGCTTTTCCGGTCGCGCCTTCCATGTACGTCGTACGCACGGAGGGCGGGTCTGGCGTGCATCTGCATCCATTGCAACGTTTGTACGGGGTTTTAGTCGTCAATCAACCTGGCGCCTTCCTGAGTCAATTGCTGCCCCAGTGCGTGCCTGCTCCCTGACGAACGTTCCAAGCCGAGTCGTGATTGCCCTGTCCCATGCACCTTCTCCGTTTCTGTGCTGCTCATCAGTCCCGCCCGGGTCGCTCTTTCTCCATGTCCCATTCTCACAGCTTGCCGTGTCCAGTTACTCCGTAAATTTCTCCTCTCCAGTCCTCCCTTCGACGCGCTCCTTCCATCCTTTGCAAACCCCCACCCTCAGTACCCTCCGCACCATCTTCCCATCTTCCCATCTTCCCATCTTCCCATAGTTCCATAGTTCACCTCCTCCTCCTCCCATTCTTCGCTTCAGTTTATTATTGCCTCGTGCATTCGCATCACACCCACACCACCGCACAACCCGTCTCGACTCGCAGTGGTCGGTTCACTTCTCGTCGTCTGTCGCGCACTCTCCCCAAATCGTCTTCCCCCACACCACCTTTGCTCTCCTGGCTCCACTCTGGTCTTGCCTGCACACCCTTTCTTTTCTCTCCCTGTCGAGCCTGTCTCGCTCCGTCTCTCCTGGTGCTCTCATCTCTTGTCTTGTCGTCTCCGCTTTCACCCTGGACCTCTCAGAGGAGTTAAGACAACCGAAGGAGAGCGCTGTTGCAACCGAGACGCCGCGCCTTTGCTGACCGTCCCCAAAGGGCCTCTTCCGACCACAATCCAGTTCTCACGATACCGTCTTCCCCTCAGTCTTTCCGGCCTTTGTTGCCTCCTTTCGTTCCCTTTCCGTCTCGTCAGCTCTCCTCGCCCGTTGCTCTCTTTTCGCATTTCATTCCTCCTCTCTCTCTGTCTCTCGCCCGGTGACATTCCGTCTCACTCTAGTCGCTCCTTGCGCTCTGCAGGCTCAATGCTCTGGGTGCCCAGACCTTTTGTTTTCCCCTTCTCGACAAACTCGACGCACTCGACCACCTAAACATCGTTCTACGTTTCTCGCGCCAGCTCCTCGGTTACCGCTGACCGCCACACCGCAGTCTGCTAGTCACCGCATTCGGCCCGTACTTGATTTTCATCGCAGACGAATTCAGCAAAATCCAACAAACAATAAATAGTCCACCTGCGTCAACAAACTACCAGCTGAGCTGCCTTACATCTACCAGCCTCACACGTTCCGGCTGTCGATTTTCTCGCCCCCAAAGCAAGGCTGGGAACTGGCCAAGTCCTATTCAAGCACCACGATTGGCAGGCGGTTCCTTTGCTCTGGACATTGCACCCACCTCTCGCGTGCTTTCTGTGGTGTGTTCTCGCGTTGGACAAGGTCCTTTCTTGCTTATGCCCTCCCAGAATCGTGATTAACCTTCTCCGGTCTCGTTGCACAGAATCCCCAACATCAGCCGCCATCCCCTCATCCCCCTTCGCTGTCGCCCTCGCTCTTTATTTCTTTTTCCTCGTCCATCCTTTTGCTGTCTATTTCACGTATTGCTGTCATTAAACCCCGCGCGCTCTGCCTATTTCATTCTTGATTTCTGTCTCCCCACCCTCTTGCTTCCATCCTCTCCGGGTCTCCCTGTTGGCCGCATAGAAACAAGCCAGACGCACCCCCTCGTCACCGTCTCAGCACTTGTTCTTGCCATATTTATTTCACTTCTCTCAGCATTCTCCACAATACGTGCACAATCTTTAGCCTGCCTCTATTCAGACTGGCTGAGAGGGAGGTAAATTTATCTGATCGACACAGCAAGCTGAACTCGCCGTGTTAAGACGAAAGATACTTCTACTGTCCGCCCGCCCATCTCCTTCCTGTCTTTTTCAGACTTGACGCCTCCGAATCGGGCTTGGGGCCCTCGTCTCCATCTCTCTTCTGTCCCTCCTCCCGCTCCTTTCACTCCCGCTTTCTTATTTGAATTCTTGAAACGGCCGCTTTCTGTTTCCAAAGACTTTATCTTTATCACGTCCCTACTGGCATGCAGTCGTTAGTGACGAGCCATGCATCAACCTTTGCCGGTTATGTCGGGCGACGCCGACTCTACATGGTCGGATTCTCACGCCACGGATTCAGATGACAACCGCCTCGCCTCAGATGTGCTCTCGAGGCCTGTCACATGGATCCGGGCAGACTCCAGCTCCAGCAGTCGCTCGACTCTCGTTTCTGATATCCAGCTATCGGAGGGCCAAATCTCACCCATCCGCATCGGCGTCGACATACCCGGCGCCCTTACGGACGTTGACCATTATCCGCTCACCGCGTCTACGAGCCTGTCGTCGGCACCGACTTTGGAGAACGCCACCTCGTTGTCCTCTCCAACGCTCGAAAATTCGACGTCGCCGTCGTCGAACTCTGAGACGCGAGATATCTTCGCCGATGGCCATGACCATTCCCTTGCTGGCGGCGATCCACACGAAAGCTTCATCGACGACGACGCACATTACGAAGATGACGTCCATGATCACCTAGACACTACCCACGATATGCAGTGGGAGGCGGACATTGGTGACGATCTTATTATCCCGAAACTAGAGCCGGTGGAAGAGGACAACTTCCGCCTCGACGACATTGACCAGGCACCGCCTAATCCCGAGCCCATTGGCACCACGGCTTCCACTGCGAGCACAAAGGTCAAGCGCCCTAGAGGTCGCCCTCGGAAACTCAACATCGTAGCGACGGCGTCCGCCAACTCCGGAAAAATCGCAAAGGGCCGGTCGAAGACGGGCTGCATCACTTGCAGAAAGCGCAAGAAGAAATGCGATGAAGCCAAGCCAAGATGTAAGTCGTCCCCATTTTGTCAAAAGCAACGGACATTGCCATGTTAACAAACGGCTTTGTAGGCTTGAACTGTGAAAAAAATGCTGTCGTATGCGAAGGCTATCCAGAAAAGCAAATCTGGAAGAGTGGCAAGGAAAAAGCTGAAGAAGGTATGCCCCTTGTACATTTTCACTGGTGCTCTCCGGAAGGTATCCCCCTAGTGTGCCACTCCGTCTCTGACCATGTTTCAGAGCTTCTGAAAAACCAGAGCCTTCCCGTCATCACCATGCAGCCCATCTTCACCGGCTTAGAGACAGCTGAAGATCGCGTTTTCTGGAGACACTACAATGACCATCTCAGTGCTGTCTTTACGGTCGAAGGCGAACACAATAATGCCTTCCGGGATATGCTGGTGCCTGTTGCAACTCGACACAAAGGCATGATGCACTCCATTCTGTCGCTTGCAAGTCGACATTTGGATTATGACACGCCGTATGGAGAGAAGATCCTCCGCCGCAACGCCAAACTGTCCATCGATTCTCTACGTCATCGCGGCGAATTCCACAACAACGCTGCCGTCAAAACGCTTCGTGAGGGTATGTGGAATGACGAAATGGACGATCCTGACACGAACGACGTCTTGGCCGTTCGCTATGGACAGATGCTCTGTCTTATTCTCGAACCCCTATCCGAAGGAGATAATAGTGGAACCCAGCGCCTTCATTACGAGGCGTTCCTCTACCTCATTCGGAACAACCCGCCTCAAGACGATGCTTTCCACGCCTTCATAGCTGAGATCTTTTACTACCATATCTTTGCCGATGATTTGGTGTACTACCCAAACCCGCCAGCTAAACGTCTCGTGACGGAGGACTGGGCCCCGGTCGCACCGATTCAGCGCCCCCGGTTGATCGGGGTGTCCGACGGATTGTTCACGTACCTATCTCAGATTACGACCATTCGCAACCGGATCCGGGCTAGAATCGAATGCAACGCCGACCCTCGGGTAGACTACGAAAGCCTATACAGGGCCTCCGACATTGAGGACCAGATCCTCGAATGGAAGCCAGAGTGGCCAGTGGGCGATAGCCGGGAACGAGTAACTCTTCTTTACAAACAGATGGCCTGGCTATACCTGAAGACAACAATTTGCCCGCCGACATCGGCATTCCCATCTATGTCAATGGCGAGGTCGTTCAACGCTCGATCAGGCGGTACAATCACCGAGACGCCTCTTCATTCCGCAGCTGCGAGCTGTGCATCCTCTCCCTCGCCCAGACTGGAGGCCATGGTTCCCCAGGAAAACCATTTCAACAATCCGCGCCGTCATTCCATCGCCAACCCGAGCAGATCGGGTGGAAGCCGTCCTTTCTTGAACGCTACGAACGAATTGTTTGGGCAGAAGTCCATGGGTGACAATGGCGTTCGGGCATCGCCACCGCCAATCCGGCGCCCATCAAATCACGAGCCCGGTGTCAGCATTGCTGTTGAGGAGTCGCTGACCCTTCTGGAGAGTTTTCAGCCAAGCGATCCAGCACAGGCACTCCTACTGATCGCGTGTGTCATCATCGGCACTGCCTGCTATTCTCCTGAAGAACAGGAACGAGTCCGCAACGCCATCCGTGTCACACACGGATACACGGGGCTGCGCAATACGTACAAAGCTCAGGAAGTTCTCAACGAAGTGTGGCGATTCATCGAACTTGGTGACTTCTTGAGCGCATGGGACTGGCAGGCCGTTGCAAACAGTCTCGGTATCAAGCACCTGTTCTAACGTCTATGACGGCTTCGGTTGCGGTTTTTTTTCGTTTCTTTTCTTGTCTTTACATTCTCATTCTGTTTTTATGCCCTTAGTTGTCCTTTTTATTTTTTTTATTTTTTTTTCACTGACATCCTCACAGCCAGCTCTTGGCTCCTATACCCCCAAAATGTCATACTTTCTTTGTTATATTTGACTTTTTTTACTCTCTCCACGCGCCTGTCCAGCCCAAGTTTTATTTCTGGTTTGCTTTTCGGTTCGTCTTTTTTCACTTTTCGACAAGGCTGGGACCGAGATGTAAGGCCGAGGGAGGACAATTGGGCTAGGATTTCTGAAATCTAATTTTTGGGTGTTTATTTTTGGTCGGATACGGGAAGGCTAGATTGAAGGTGGGTTATTTGGATTTTCTTGGATATGGCGGTGTTTACGATATCGGCTTTTTTTGGGTCGTCTTCTTTTGATGTCCTTGTTTCTCTCAGACACGATTCTGTCTCGCCTCATGTGTTTTATGTTTCCATGTTCATGTTTGAGTGTTTTCCGCAGGGCGGCTTTTTGACATTGTGAGTTTATATCCCATCTTTGCTGTTTATTTAACTAGTTTATGTCACTTCTCAATATTAAGTCACAATTTGGTTAATTAATTTTTATTTATTTCATTTTACGATGTACTACGTGATATCATATGGGTGTGGCTGGCTACCATATTCAAAATCATATGCTAGATGCGAGAAAGAACAAATGAGTTGGCAAAACGACGCTCAAAGCTAGCAGGTAAATGAAAAACAAGACAGGTTGAAACCAAAAAAAAAGAAAGAAAAAAAAAATGAGTATATGGCAAAAATCATTCGAAACATCGTCACGCTCTGGCGCCTCCTCTTGCTTTATTTTTCTCCCCTTTTCTTTCTGTTTCTTCTTTTTCTATTCGAGTCTCTTATGCCTCGACTTCTTTCGCCGTACCACGCTTCTCAATGAGCGGTGCACCCACGGGGCGGCCGCCAACAAAACCATCGTTGGTGCCGCCCAGGGCGAAGATGGCCTGGCCGCGCAGCCACGTGGCCCGCACGCGGCCCTCAAACGTGTGGCCCTCCCAGGGCGAGCAGCGGTTCTTCCAGCGCATATCGCCTTGCGTGAATGTCCACCGCATCGCGTCGTCAAAGACACAAACATCGGCGTCGAGGCCGACGCGCAGACCGCCCTTGCGGTGCGAGAGACCGACTTGCTCAGCAGTGGCCTGGCTGCAGAGACGGACAATGTCGATGATGTCAGGGACGGATGTGGATGCGACGGCAGACGTGGAGGACGCGGGCACGACCTTGTCGCAGTCGGCATCGGCGCACTGGTGGTGTTCGTTGCCGGCGCCGGCATGCGCCGCAGCGCGGCGGGCTTGAGCAGCCGTGTACATGATGGGCAGGCCGAGGCCGACAGACGAGATACCGCCCCAGGCGGCAAAGAAGTCGCCCTGCTTCTCGACGGCGGCGGCCATCTTGGCACGCTCCTCTTCGGCCGGGCTGGCCAGGACCGAGACGGCCTCGTCGACCGGGGTCGCGGCCTTGGCCGCCTTTGTCGTCTCTCCCTCGGGGGCCGTCAAGTCAACACCAGAGTCGGAGTGGAGCATGTCGGGCGCCACATTCTCAACCTGCAGAGAGGCAGCAGTACCTGGCGCAGGTGCGGCCAGGTGACCAGGCAACAGCTTCAGATCGGGTGTGCAGGGCGAGTGGTCGGACACGACAGTCTTGATGATGCTGTCCGGGCGGCCCAGCTCGGTCCACAGGCCGTCCTGGTTGATCTGGCTGCGGATGGGCGGGCAGCACTTGTGGCGGGTGTCGCCGTCTTCGATGGCATCCGAGGTTAGGCCCAGGTAGTGGAAGCAGGTCTCGGCGGTGATGTTGATGCCACGCTCGCGGGCGGCGCGCAAGATGGGGATGCACTCGGTGGCCGACAAGTGCACAATGTGCAGGTGCAGGTTGGGGGCAATGGGCGCCAGATACACGATTTCTTCAATGGCACACGTCTCAAAGACAGGCGGCCGGCTCTCGAGGAACGTGTTGTAGGCTTCGAGAGCGCCGTGCGGCGCGAGTGGCGGTTCGGACGTTTGGACGGCGTCGCCCACAGAGTCGGCAATGGGCGGGAGCATCTCGGCGTGGAACATGAGCGTTGTGTCGGCGTCTTTCAGGGTCTCCATGGCGAGGCTGATATCCTTGGCGGACACGGCCGGGAACTCATCGACGCCAGAGTGTATCAAAAATCCTTTGAAGCCGCGCACACCGGCGTCAACCAGAGGCAGCAGCTCGTCGGCGTTGCCCGGAACAACGCCACCATAGAAGCCGACGTCGACCCAGAGCTGGCCCTGGCTGGCGGCCAGCTTCTCCTTGAAGCCTTGGACGGTGGTGGTGGGCGGGATGGCGTTGAGCGGCATGTCGACAACGGTAGTGACACCGCCGGATGCCGCGGCACGGGTACCGGTATAGAAGCCCTCCCACTCCGTGCGGCCGGGCTCGTTCAGGTGCACATGGGCATCGACAATGCCGGGCATCAGCACGCTGGGCGAGTAGTCGACATACTGGGTGTTGGCGGGGAAGGCAGAGGCGGGCAGGACCGCGCGGGCTATGGACACAATGGTGCCTGTGACTGGCGAGATGGTGATCGTGGCGGGCGAGAGGATAAGCGAGTTGTCTGGCTGAGTGAGGACGGCACGTGTGGAGGCAAGGACCACCAGTTGGGAGTCCTGGCTAGGCGCCACGATCTCGACTGAGGGCACCATGGTGGGGGGTTTATGTGAGTGCGTTCGTGGGGGAGTATGCACTCTTGTACGGCAACCACTCTTATGGTTGGAAAGGCGTAGATTAAGTGTTTTAGGCCTTGCCCGATACAGAAGCAATACGATCTGAGGCAAATCTGGGGAAGAAGTGTGCGTGCACACAGTTTATCTGGTTATCTGAATCCGGGGTAGACAGGCCCAAGGTCGGATGATAAGATAGGGGTGCAGGACTGAGCCCGGGGACGAGGGGACTTTAGATGGTGTGGAGGAGACAGGGCAGAAAACGAAGCAAAAGGACCAGGAAAAGAAAAGATAACAGAGTTTCGTGGTTGTTGAAAAAGTTTCACTTGAATGGAGGCTTATCGCTTGAGCTCTGATGTGGCGTGAAGATGCCGAGAGATAAGAATATGCGGTCGTAGCGTGAGTCGGGCGTCTGCGCGATAGACGTGGATAAGGGTTGTTGTTGGCGATAGAGGTAAAGATGATGATAAGAAAAGGTCAGAGTTAAAGGCGGCAAAAGTCGTCCGACGAAAATGGTCAAAATAGAGGCCAGAAAGGACGAGAGTATTCAAAAGGGAAGGGGCCTCACGGCTGGGCAACGACTTCCCTTTAAGGAGCAAAGACGAAAGGGGAAGGGGAGCCAAGGGGATTCGCGGACCCAGCCAAGGGCAGGCACCAAAGGAGGAAAAAAAACAAAGAGAGAAAGAGAAACCGACGTCGAGGAGGCTAACGGACGGGTCCTCCCCGCCGCGACGACAACGCGCGCGAGGAAGGAGGACCCGCTGTCTGAGCCTGTGTTGGTGCCTTTTTTGGTGCGGATTTCTGGTAACAAGGGAAAGAGGCACTCGAGCCTGCGCCGGACCGGCATGACCTCGCTGCCTTAGTCGCTCTTTCCATATTTTACGTTATGCCTCCGGGCAGCCCCTCCGATGGGTCCAACTTCTGCCGCGGACGAGATTTGCGTACTTGCGCGCCAACCGCGAGAGCGACAGACGTATGGGCGCCCTGGACGCCGGCGACTACGTTTTGTGTTTGTGTTTATTTACTTTCTATGTACATGGCTTTACATGGCCTTGTAGCCTCGTGTTCAGCAGGATGCCTCGTCTCCAGACGTCCCGGTGATTCTGCGTCGTTCCCGTATCTTCCAGCGTTATCGTGAAAGTGGCAATTTGGCGCCTCGGCCGACGGTGGCAGGGACAAAAATTGTTAAGAGAACTAGTCCGCGGGCAAAGGCGAACGGCGTTGGTAGGGCCTATCGAGTTCTTCGTTTCGTATCTGGTGGCAAGGGACTGGCGGCTGGGTTGAAAGATACTTTGTGTCCTTCGCTCTTTCCTCAGTTTTACTTGTAGCGTTCCGGGTGTTAGTCGCTGCGCCCATCCCTATTAGGGTCGATCCTTTTTTTTTTTCATTATTCCTTGTCCATCACTGCATCCAGACCAGCACATCGGGTTGTTACGTCTTCTGCCGAATTGTTCTCACTCTTTCATAGTTGTAAGACGCCGATCGGCAGGGCATGGTAGACCCTTTTGCCGTCCGATTACGTATTTTGAAGTTTTCTGACAGGAATGCCAACAGCGGGGAAAGAGCAAGTGGTGAGGAGGGGGAGGGGTTGCTTGTCACTTATTTAGGAAGGCGCAGGCACAGAAGCAACAAGCAGGAACGCCCGCTCTCGTCAAAGTGCCATCGGCTCTGGCCGACTCCTACGACTTTTGCTTGAATCACACTGTAAACGGTGGTGGAAAGAGGCACGTGCAGATGGAACGACGCTAGGAGGTCGCCGTTGGTTTGCCACAGACTGGTAAATTTGTCCACCGAATTTAAGCGCTTGGTAACTGCAATTGCAGTTGCGCTGCGACGCTCTTGCTGTTTGTTCTTTTTCGTCTACGAGGCTAAAATAGAGCCTGTCGAGACGGAGGCCGATTCGTGTTGTTCGCCCTTTCCTCTTTGGGGTTTTGATCGAGTAACACGGGAAACAACGATCGAGTAACAGTCGAGTAAAGCCGGTCGGGTGAGAAAGGGAAGGCGCAGCTTCGGCTTGCCATCGAGTAATGGATTTCCTTTTTCGGCGCGGTTTTGAAGCCTTTCGGGACCCTCCATCGGTGTTTTCATTCTCGTTTTTCTCGTTTTCTCGTCGGCTCTGTTTCCCTGTATTTTCGTCGCAGATTTTGCATATTTTTTACTCGATTTCATTCCCTAGTCACGATCTTCATAGATATTCCTTGGTTTTGAAGTGGTTTTTATGCCTTTGCTTAATCATGCTCTTCCTCGGCTCGTCCTTTTTCTTTCCTGTCCTTCCCGATAGTCTCTATTTTACTTGTTTTTTATGAAATTGATGCAACAAATCAACAGAAAATACAAGTCGTTGTAAACCTGCCGATACTATTCGTGTAAAAAACTTGTTGTTCTCGTGACAATACTATTCCCATTACTCGATCGACACTTTGTCCATACCCAACAATTTACGTCTTGTTCTACCCTCCCGATCTACCCAACGGACACAGAACGCCGTCTAATGTGACCCATACACAGGTCTCTGCATTCCCTTGTCAACATCTTGGAACCGGCGGCAGGCAATGCAGACAATGCAAGCTGTGCAATGGTAGCAAATGGGAAACTGGAGACACCAAACCGGTTGTATTTTTGTTCTGTGATTCTTTGTTATGCCATTGGCTACCTGACTTTCCCTTACGTCGGGCGGCTCTGAATAATCGCACGTTACATTTATGGTCCTGTGCACAAACGGTGTTGGGGCAGCTCCCTCATTCTGCTCTACCTTTATTCTGTTGGAAACCGTCGTCCACCGCATCCTCTTTGAAACGCTGGAAAACCTGCACAAACTGTCGTCTCACGTAAACTGAAAACTAATAAATTCATAGTGTATGAGCGGGTTGTCTATGTATGACCAAGAAAGAAGACATAGCCTAGGATCACGCCGGCGTCTTGTCTTCCATTACCTCTTCCTATCCACCCCATCTTGCCGTGTCTACAGAAAGGCCAACGACTCAGCCTCGCCGAACCCATCCGCAAGGCGCTTCCTCAAAGTATGAAACCTATGCAATGCGTGTCGTTTTTATCGTTTTTGTCGTAGTCTTGTCTTTCCCCAATCCAATTGTCGCGAGGCCATTTTTTCTATTGTACAGACCAAAAAAAAGAAGAAAAAAGAAAGAAAAAGAAATAGATTTCAGAACCCTCTCTCTATTTTTTCCTTCACATGCTTATTTCGGTCCTTTACTTTTGCCGCTTCAGTGTCTTGACAGCCATCTCCACGAGACCGTCCTTGGCCTCGCTCGCGGGGAACACGGCGATGGACGCAATGGCCTGCTCGACGTAGTCTTGGGCGAGTGCCCGCGTCTGCTCAATGCCGTCTGTCGACAGAACAATTTCGCGTGCCTACGCTGTGGTTAGCATTGAGTAATGAGTAATGAGCCGAGCCGCGGTCTGTTTCTTTTACGTCACGTTCGGCGGGTCTACGTGGGAGGGCTCACCTTCTCTGCATCGCCGGGCTGGCTGAACTTGCGCCCGACGAGCTCGCCCAGCTCCGGCCGGTCGCGCCAGGCAAAGAGCAGCGGTGCCGTCGCCAGGCCCAGCTCCAGGTCGGCTCCCACAGGCTTGCCCAGCTGCTTGGCCGAGACCGTGTAGTCGAGCATGTCGTCGACCAGCTGGAAGGCCAGCCCCAGATTCTTGCCGTAGAGGTACGCGGCCTCGACGGTCGCATTGTCGACGCCGCCCAGCAGCGCGGCGGCGCGGCAGCTCTTGCTGATCAGCGACGCCGTCTTGAGGTACGTCTTTTGGAGGTAGTACTGCAGCGTGGCCTCGCTCCAGACGGGGTGGGCCTCGTCGCTGGCTGTGTTCTTGAGCTGCATGAACTCGCCTTCCACCAGGTTGGCAATGACGGTGGCCAGCAGCTCGACGACCTCGGCGTTGCGCAGGCGCGCGAGCGCGACAGACGCGCGGCCCAGCAGGAAGTCGCCCGCAAGCACGGCCATCTTGTTGCCAAACTCAAGGTTGGCCGACGGCGCGCCGCGCCGCGATTCGGAGTGGTCGATGACGTCGTCGTGCAGCAGCGATGCCGTGTGAATCAGCTCGGTGATCTCGGCCAGGCGGCGCTGCGTCGGCAGGATCTCGGGTTGGCTGGTCTCGTCAGGTGTCGACGAAGTAGACGCGGCAGAGGAGGCAGAGGAGGCAGAGGAGGAAGGCGACGCGGCAGAGGGATCGGTAAAAGGTGAAGTCGAGGACCAGGACGGGTTAAAGTCGGACAGGACGTTGACGGGCGAGATGGACACGTCGACGCCGGCCGACGCCTGGAGGGGCTGCTGCTGCTGCTGCTGTTGCTGCTGCTGGTGAACATAGACAGGCTGCAGCTGGGGCGCCTTGGGGCAAAGGTAGGTTGCGCGCGACATGAGCAGCACAATCAGTGGCCGCATGTGCTTGCCCTCGGCCTGTGTGTAGTACTTAGCTGCACGGTCCAGCGACGGGTGGCCCGAGCCCAGCAGCTTGCGTACGTCGCCGATCAGAAATTTCATCTCCTTGGCGACTGTCCTCAGCGGATCAATCGCCATCTCGTTCTTCTTGGCTCGGTTGAACGCATTGGACACCATGTTGCCGGCCACAGACACGGCGGCCGCCCATGCCGAGGAGGACCGACGGTTGGCAAGCTGGTTCTGGCGGAGGTAGTGTTGGAGGTGGGCGGAATGTGTGTGCTGCTGCGGAAACGGTCGTGCTGATGGCGTTCGTGCCAAACTGCTGGTTTCTTGTGGCGAAGTCGACTTCTGCTGGAGGCACGTTGCCGTCGAGGAGTACGCCGCCGAGCCGCATAACGGGCCGTGCGTCGGCAGCCGCCGAACGGCTGCCACACGCTGCGCCCGGCTCAGCGGCACACCCACGGCGCCCCTGATACGCACCACCATACTTCCGCCCTGTCGTTTGCAGTCTTGATGCTGCTTTGCTGCTTTGCTGTCGTTGCTGTCGTTGCTGTCGTCGGCGTGGTCGGAGCCGCCGGTCGAAGCTCGGGAACGCTCGTCTGCTCGAATGCTTTCGGTCAAATTACCTGCCGGCGAGAGCGCACGGCGAGCAGCAATACTGACCTAGATCGACGAGGCTTGGAGGTGAGAGTCGTCGGGATGGACGTGGTGGTGACAATGGCTTTGTTTTGTCGGCGGGCCCAGATAACACGGGTTGCTCTTTCCCTCCGGCGTTGATTCGATCTAGATTTTTCCTGCCATTACTGACGCCGGTCGTTCCTCCCCACCAAGCTGAAGCGTGCCCACAGGGAGGGCAAGGAAAACCGCGGTTTTGCGTCAATTGGGCAATTGAGACCGTCATTGAGCTGGTCCAGCCAATCACCGTGCGCCGTTTGTGTCCCGCCCTTTCCCGAGTAGCTAGCTTAATACGTCGAATTCGCTACCTCGTTATGCTGCAGAAGGCAGTTACAGCCCGTGCCTGCCCTGTGGCTTCCATCAGGTCTCCACTTTTACGCCTGGAGCTTGGCAGGTGCCAGTACAGGTGCAGCACAAGGCAGGTGGCAGGTGCATCCTCCCTGAAATGTCGAAAATACAGGAGCCTGGCTTCCCCGTACAGCCTCACGTTGTCGATACTCACATATCACCAAAGCGACCGTGCAGCCCCAACCCCGCGAGCAGGTCGCCAACAATGGTGCTCCTCACGATGACGCCCTCCATAGTGGAGGGCTTGAAGCGACTGGGAGCCAATGCACACTCGGCGGACAGCGCGCAGGGCACATTCCTTGTTGAAGAGGGCGAACCCGATCTCAGCTCACCAGACGTCGCGAAACCAATCTCCCACGTCCAAATCCTGCGCCTCGCGGCCGCTTTGGACGCGCTTCATGTACCGGAGCCGGCCGCCACCGTTACCACACTCGAGACGCTCCTGGTCGGTGCCCGCGTCCATGTACCGCCGCCACCGCCGAAAACCGAACCGGTACGTCGCACATTCTTCTGCGCCGTGCGCCGCTCTTCCACTCTTTTGTCTTCTTCTTCTTCTTCTTCTTTTTTTTTATTTTATTTTATTTTATTTTTTTAGTTCACATGCTTACCTCCGTATAGTCTGCCGAATACAAGGCCCTGATGGCCCGCCTTCGCCGCGACGAACAGGCCCGTGCCTACGAACGCATGGTCAACCCACCCGACGCCTACGACACCTCCACCTTTGCGCAGGTGCACCGCCCCGTCTACGCGTCTGACACCGGCGACGACGGCGTGACGCTCAGTGACGTCAACCGCCAGGTCATGCTCATCTTCAACTTTGTGCTGACCATGGCCGGCGTGGCATATGCGCTGTGGATGCTGGCGCGGTGGTGGCCGACGCCGTCGCGACTGTTTTTGGCCATGGGCGGCAGCATGGCCACGGGGCTTGTCGAGTACGGCTTGTATGCGGGCTACGTGTGGCATCTGGCCGACGCAGCACGGCGGGAGAAGAATGCACCAAAGGAGGTGCGCGAGGTGGTGAACACATGGGCTGTTGGGCCGGGCGGGAAGGGCAACACGGACAGCCCGCAGACAGAGAAGGAGACGACAAGAACGCACGACACAACGAGCCACCAGGACGTGCTATTGTCGGGGACGACAGGAGCAACTGGATTCGATAGCACGCAGGCACGGCGACGGAAACAAGACAGAGCGCCAGCATCGTAAGCCGTTTCGTTGTGGGTATGTGGCGGACCTGTTTCACGAAAGAATAGCGTATCGCTACACAATTTAGCTTGCAAAGTAAACCCGCAACAGTAAACGCGACGTTTTAATAATGAACTGTCGACGATAAAAACCACTTTAAGTCGTTGATGACATCACGTGGTTCACGCGAGTACGGAAGACGCGCTCCTTCCTCCAAAACGCGTCAGTTGGGGGAGGTACGATGCGCGTCGCCAAAGCGGGGCACCAAAATACATGAGCACAGGGACACAGCTCTCTCTTTTTCGCGACATGGGCAAACACACGACCTCTCCATTGAATTAAGAGATTTCTTACTCGTGCAAAGTACCTTGTACAGTCTTTTTTATTCAGCCTTCTATACCGTATACAATCGCACCATTTCTGCATCTTTCCATTACTTCTCATTGTCAACGCACCAAAGACTCAACTAAACACGGCACGTCTCACCAACATCAACATCAACAAAGCCGTTAATCAAAACATCCATTCAAGAACGACTTGAGAACCGTTTGAGATCGACTCGTCTGGCCCGAGCATCGTGCGCACTTGCGGCGGCCACTGTGCCCACCCATTCCACCACAGCTCGCCTGTCCGCTATGCGATACATGACACCGGACACGCCGGGCACGCGTTCGCTCGAGGAGCCACTGGTGACGAAGGAGACGACGGCGAAGGGCGCAGAAGCGACGCCGATCGGGCAAGATTTGAGCAAAATGGGGACAACCACGCCGTCTGCGACACCGACTCCGACGCCATCACCAACCAAAGTGCCGCAGCCGGCCGCCACAACAACCAAAAAGCCCTCACGACGCGCCATCCGGACCTATGGCAAGAAGCGTTCTCTTCCCGACGAGACGACCGAACAGCAAGCAAGCAAGCGACCAAAGACCGGTACAGTGATGCTGGTGGGCGTGCCAGGGGCAGTGGCAGTGGCAGCGGCAGCAGCGGCAGCACCGGCAACGGCGCCGCCACCCGTACGGCGCGACTCTGTTGCGGACGAAGTGTCGAGACAGCTGCAAAAGGAAGCGGACGAGGCTGCGTCGAGGAACAACAGCAGCAGCAGACGGCCGCAAACACCAGTCAAGGCGACGGGCCCCAAGACCGGCCCGCACAAGGCCGCGTCGCCACGAAGAGCAGCCAGCCCGCGCCGCGTGGGCATCTTGCGATATTTTCAGCCCGCGGCACGAAGCGCGCCTGCACCACCTCATGCACCGCCGCCACCATCTCTGCCGGAACCGAGCTCGCCTGCAGCGTCGATATCGTCAATGTCGTCTCTCTCGTCATGCCCGTCACCTGCCTCGTCCATCGCCTCGTTCCGGTCGACCGCATCATCGGCAGTGTCATCGCCCTCTGCCAGGTCTTCTGACTCAGTAGATGCGGCGGCGTTTGCGGCGGCGCTCGATCCTAATTCACCACCATCGTCACCTCTTTGGAAAGCTTTTGATCAGCGACCAAGGCAGAAGCGGCGGTTGACGATACGGCCCGACCAGCAGATGACGACAGCGACGCCCAACACAGGAGAGGTTGCCATGCCGACCGACAATGGCAACGAGAACGAGAACGACGCAAAGAAGCAGTCAGAACAGCTAGAGGAGCCAGACGAGGAGACGAAAGAAAACCGCCCGTTCGCCTTGGGCATGATGGCAGCATCAAGCACGCGCATGCGGGTGCGCCTGGGCTTGTCCAGCACGGCAACGTCAACAGCGACAACCGCAAGGAAGCGGAAAAAGACAGCGGGGGCACCATCGGTGCAGACAACCCTGAGCCTGGCTACCGCGTCCAGACACGGTGGAGGCAGCGACTCGGCATCGGTGCGGGAGTGCAAGGAGTGCAACATTCTCTACAACCCCTTGCACGAAAAGGATGCCAAGTTCCACGCACGCTACCATGCATCGGTGTGCCGGAAACAAAAGGAACAAAACGGCCACGATCGCTGGCAGTCGTCTTCGGCGGCTGCGTCGACTACGGGTGTGAGGTTACGATAAGGACGTGCTTAGCTTAGAAGGTCGCACTGGCGATTTCCGTGTGCATTTTCCGTCTCACCCAGCGTTTCATTCGGAGAGTTTTGTATTCTGGCGGATGTGGTACCCACACTACAATGGAGCATTGCGAACGGTCTACATAAGAATACACAGATTCCCCTTTTGTTTACGATTTCAGTTTCTTTTCGATTTTATTATATCATATAGAGAGCGCAAACAACAGTAGTGAAAAGCAACAACAGCGAATGATGCACCGCCCGATGGCCGATTTGTTGTGATTAATAAAAAATAAAAAAAGACGACCGCGAGAAAAAATTCATTCCAGCATTATTGCACCCGATGTCCCTTCTTCGACTTTCTACAGCTTCGAGGACTCATCGGGGTTCTTGATCTCCACCACCAGCTTGCCCGTGTTCACGCCCTTGAACAGGCCGACCAGCGCCTCCTCGGCCGCGCGCAGACCGCCCTTGACAATGTGCTCCTTGCTCTTGAGCTTGCCCTCGGCCACCCACTTGGCCAGCTCGCCAATGGCGGTCGCATTCTCCGCAGCGTAGTCAAAGACCAGGAAGCCCTGCATCTTGATGCGCTGCACGACGACCTGCAGGATGTTCTTGGGGCCCTTGACGTTGGTCGTGTTGTACTGGCTGATGCCGCCGCACATGACGAAGCGCGCGTACAGGTTGGCGCGGCCCAGGGCCATGTCGAGGATCTCGCCGCCGACGTTGTCCCAGTACACGTCGATCCGGTCGGTGGTCGCCGCCTTGAACTGCTGCGCAAAGTCGGCGTCCTTGTAGTTGAGGCCGACGTCAAAGCCCAGCTCCTCGGTCAGCCACTTGACCTTGTCGGCGCTGCCCGCAATGCCGACGACGCGCTTGGCGCCCAGGATCTTGGCGATCTGGCCCACCACGCTGCCGGTCGCGCCAGCGGCGCCCGACACAACAACCGTGTCGGTCGGCTTGATGCCGCCGGCGACCTTCATGAGGCCAAAGTAGGCCGTCAGGCCAGTGCCACCCAGGGCGCTGACCAGGTCGATGGGCCGCAGGCGGCTGCGCAGGGCGGCGGGCATGGCGGCAAAGGGGTTCTCAATCATCTTCTCGTGGATGACGGCGACCTCGGTCCAGCCGGAAAAGGACACGACAATGTCGCCCTCAGCGGCCTTGGAGGACTTGGTGGCCAGCACGCGGGCGACGGTGACACCGCGCATGACAGCGCCAATCTGGACGGGCGGCAGGTAGGACGGGCGGTCGTTGAGCCAGCCGCGCATAGCCGGGTCGAGGCTCAGGTAGAGAGCCTCGACGAGCAGGAAGCCATCCTTGAGATCGGCGGCGGTGGCTGCCGGGGCCGTCTCGATGCGAAAGGTCTGGCCGGGGATGATGTCAGTGGTGGGCCGCTCGGCGAGGACGACAGAGGTATTTTGGCGTGACATTGTGAGGTGTGAGGTTGTGCGCGGCGTTGAGTGTTGTGTGTGATGTGTGGTGTGTGGAGTGTGGTGGAAATGTGATAGAAGAAGGTCGGTGTTGGAGAGTGAGGAAAACTAAAGTCGATTTGAGGGGTGGCGATAAAGATGACCTGTTGTTAAATGCATGGCGTCCCAGACAGGAAAGCGCAGAGGTGCAACGTGGAACGAGGCTTCCGTCCTTTATCTATTCTTCGAGACACCCGGAAAGCACGACTGAAGCTCAAGGGAGGAGCGCGATGCGCTAACACGTATGGCAGTAGCGATCCCAGGGCTGGTAGCCACGCCATCGGCCACATCCTCGGCAGCCGCGTCCGTCCTAGTCATAGCCTCCGACCCCGTTCTTTCCTTGTTGTTAGTTGCTCCGTGCACATCTCACCCCTCCCCTTCTCAACATTGCTCCTTCCTGCATCCTTTTTCCCTCCTTCCTGCAGCACAGGCGCCGCAGGAACAGCAACTGCTCCGAAGTCCACCTGCGCAAAAAGGCACTAGGATGCCCAAATAGAATAAAATTAAATACGGCAGCTATCCCTCGCCTCGTCACTCCTTCCTTTCTGCGACATATGCCTGCATGCCTTCCGAATTGCCCCTCCCCGTTTAGTATCAACCATATTGCGAGGCAAGAACGAAGAACCTCTGTAATTGAAAAGATAGTAGGAAAATAAAATAAAATAAAAAGAAACCCATTCAAATGCGGTGGCGCAACAAAACGTAGGGCCCAGCAGCTACAAGGTTTTCTAAGAGGGGCTTCGGCGGCTACTGTTTTAGGAACTGGATCCCGCTATTCGTGTGTGGCGAGGCGCGCTTTAACGCATTTTGTCTTTGACGGGCCAAAAATTTGTGAGACCGGCGACCGGGAAACCGCTTAGGGACGGGGCGGATACAAAATTGGATATCAAAATGTTGAGAGCCAGGAAGGACGAATCTGTGAACATGGAAACAACGAAAACGGGAATCTGTCAGTTAGAGACCGCAAGTGCATGTCATGTTGTCGTGGTGCTCCCTGGTCTCTGTCAGTTGCTCTTTCCTGTGTTCGCAACGGTGTCCCAGACAGTCAGCCAAGACAATGCAATTGCCCCTTCCCTCTGCCTGTACCCGTACGACATACAACAGATGCAAGATGCGGGCATGCAGGAACACAGAGATAGCAGGAAGGTACGACATGTACGACAGATGCGGCAGGTCGGCCGGTCCCTTGTCTCTGCGGGCTGGCAAGCACCCCACAATCGGGCTGCACGGATTTTTATTTTATTTTATTTTATTTACATATTTTTGCTTGGCTCCGCGGAGCGCGCCGGAGACTTTCTCAGTCAAAATTCCCGTATTATAAATCGAGGAGGATGAAAGCAAAACGAATCAGAAGACAAGTAGAAGAAAGATGACAGCGGAGATGTTAAAGATAATGGGGCCGTCAAACATGGCGGCACATTGCCGTTGGCATCTTGAAACGATCAACGAATGCTTCCCGGGGCAAAGGTAGCCTACCGCTTGGCGGTGGCCCTTTTTGGCGGCCGAGGCTGGCCGTTTTGGTTCAGCACTGAGACCATCGACCGCCAGCGGCGGCACTTCCGCATTGGGGACAAGTGCTGGGCGTGGTAGCAGGGATTGATAGTGGAGTTCCGGGGGGGGAGGGTTGCTTAGGGGGTGCTTTTACTTCGTAGGACGCTTGCCGCTTTGTAGTGCTGTTCAACGCCCAAAACCAGTGGTGGGACAGGGCTTGATGGTGCCGAGGCTCACGTCTTCAGCTTTGTCATTTTTTCCCCCAAAATTTCGTAGCGCATCTAAGCTCGCATGTCATGTCTATATTAGGTAACTCTCCCGGGGCGGACAGCGGGATTCACGTCATTGCCGTTGGAATTCCATGCATGCTATTGTTTGCCCACCGGGTTTCGTATTGTGCAGCTTCAAACTTGGATTTCCAAAAACAGTTTTCAAGTACGATATACAATTCCAGCCGAGGCAGAACTATCCTTCTCGAACAATCTATATTGTAACCAAGATCGCACGATGCCATGGATGCCTTGACATCGTTTCCATCGTTTTCGTTTTTAGGCCTTTGCCGAGCACGCCGAGCACGCCGAGCACGCCGAACACGCCGAATGCACAGAGTTTGTTAGGCCCGCAGCCTGTTTCCGGCCCGTGCTCCCTGCACTCTACTTCGGCTCGACGTATCCCGTCACCTTGGCCAGAGCACTGCGCACCGGTACATTGGCGTTTGCGCCCGGCTTCGGGAAGCCGTCGATCTGAACGCCTTCGCGGAACAGCAGCACGTGCGACGAGCCGCCAAAGTGGAACATGCCGAGCTCGTCGCCCTTGTTGAAGTGCTGCCCCTCCTTGACGCCAATCTCGCAGGTGCTGACCTCGTCCATGCCGACGCCGATAAACGCCATCAGGCCAATGTCCTTGTTGTCGGCCTCGATGAAAATGACGGCGCGCGTGGCCAGAGCCGTCAGGTAGCCCTGGGCCACGGTAATGCCCTTGGCGTCGATCTCGTGGTGGCTGTGGCCCTCCTCGCCCTCGAACAGCGGCTCGCTGAAGTAGGTGCCGTCCTGCACAAACGCCCGCTTCACCGTGCCCGACACGGGCGCGTGCCAGCGGTGGTACGACAGGGCCGACAGGAACGCCTGGTAGACGGTGGCGTTCTGGAACTGCTGCGCCAGCGGGTCGTGCGCGAGCATGTCGAGCACGCTGTACGGCTGGCCCTTGATCCAGAAGCGGTCGCGCAGCTTGGCCTTGCGGGCCACGTCGAACGTGCGGCTCTCGCAGGCGTTGTTGATGACGGCCAGGTCGTCGGGGTCGGCGACGGGGCGGGCTTCTTCGCGGACGTGGCGCGTAAAGAAGTCGTCCCACGACTTGTAGCCGTAGTGCTTGGCGCTCGGGTCGCAGATGTACATGTCCTCAAACTTGTGGTCTGTCTTGTAGGGGGCGTTGGCGACCTCCATCAGGTCCTTGTAGCCGACTTTGCCCAACCAGCCGGTCTCGTGGTCTCCCAGCACCTCGGCCGACTCGGGCGTCGTCAGGTACTTGCCCCAGGCGTTGAGCACCTTTTTCAGCATGCGGTTGACGTCCGGGTCGAGGAACGCCGCGTGGCCGCTCGGTGTGCCCATGACGTAGTCAAAGATGGCGCACAGAGGCACGCCGACCATGCCGACGCTCTGGGCCGCGTTGGTCCACTCGGGCGCGCGGCCGAATACGTGGTTGAGCACGTCGAGCATGTGCATGTAGTCGCGGATCTGGCGACTGCCGGTGGGGTCGCGCTGGTAGACACGGCGGTGCGGCACCTCGTCCCACATGGCTGTAAAGTACATGTAGACGCGCGGGTTGGTCTCGATGAACTCCTTGAACTCCTGGAGAACAGGGACGAGAGCGGCGCGCTTGGACTTGCTGTCGACGTGCTTGACCGTCTTGCTCAGCCACTCGTGCTGCACGCGGTGGTCTGCCGGTAGCCAGCCGCCGGCACTGACGTTGTCAGTGTTGACATCATTGGACAAGACGCCGCAACAAAAGACCGCGGCGTCCAGAAGTAGAAAAGGAAAAACGACGACGTCTGAATGACTTACTGGTGCCGCTGGTAAATCTCCGGGATATCGTGCTCGTCGCCGTGTTGCCAAACCATGGTTGCGGTGTTGATGCGGGTGGTCTGCTACACGGTATTGCTTGTTTGTTGCTGCTTTTGTCAAATGATAGCAAGCTCGATTGGATGTGTTGTAAAATGCCAAGAAACGGGTTTCTGGCTTTCCAGAGCTCCCTGCTCTGAAGCTCTTAAATAGGGGGCGTAGTTCCCCGGATGCTCTTGCCGTGCAACATGCGCTGTAGAGGGGGGGGTTTCCTAAGAAAGGATGCTGACGTCATGACCTTTAGACTGTCAGGAGCGATCGTCTTGACACAGTTTGCATAACAAAGAGAAGGAAAGAGGGGCAGCCATCCCCGCGCTTGCAAACGTGTAGCACATTTCCGAAAATCCATTGACGTATCAGCGCAGCTGAGTGGATGGATCGCGATCGCAAGTATTCATACGTCAAAAAGAATAAGCTTCGTGCCAAGAATTTCGTTGTTTTGTTCAGCGCTTCTTTGGAGCGCCCCTCTCTTTTTGCCAAGGCAAAACAGGCCGTGCCAATGTCTAATTCTGGCACTTACACGCAGACCCGCTTTAACAAGGCATGGCTGTATGCATCTATCCGTACCTTCCGCCGCATGTCGTCACCATCCGTCCATATCGACCACCTTCCCCTTTAGCTTTGACCAGCTCCGGCTTCGCTCTCTGTATTGCTTTCTCACTATTTGCCTATTTGCCCTTTGCCCGTTGTGCTTTGCCCTTTACCCATTGCCCTTTACCCATCCCCTTTGCCTTGCCTTACAGCTTGCATGCTTTCGACCCGCACGAAGTCATCGTGTGCACATACCGCAGCTTGCCCCTTTCCAGCCGCAGCTCGTGGCTGTCGGACGCGTTCATCATGTGCTCCCACACGCAAAAGACACTCACAGATCCCATGGACTCGTCAATGACATAGCGTCGGCGTGTGTTGGGCGCCTGCTTGTGGTTCGACGGGATGCCCGCCTTGCACGAGTCGTCCGGCCGGTCGTGGCCCGTGTATGCAGAGCCCTCGAGGCGCGTGCACGGCGTGCCCCAAGGGACGGCCTCAGAGGCAGTGGCATTGCTCCACATGTCGAGGTAGGCGTCAGCCGCCGCCTGCAGCACGACACGGGTGTCGCGGGCACGCTCGGGCAGGATGACGGTCCAGTTCTCCTGGAGCACGTGTTGCAGCGTCTTCTTTGCATCAAACAACCAGGCGCCAGTCGTGGTCACAATCGAGTCGACGAGCACCACCTTCTGGGGCTCCGAAAGGTCCGTCGCATGGTGAATCTGCGTCCCGATGACGTACGGGTTGGCGGGGTCGGTGGCCGAGACGAGCTCCGTGTACGTCGCACAGGCCGTCAAGTCAAAGTTCGTGCGGCGGTGGTCGATCTTGAGCGCTTTGGCCACGATAATACCGGATGCTGAACGGGACGTGGCGATGCTCACGGCTTGGTTGTTCTCCTGGTAGGTCCAGTTGGCAGCCGTGACGGCCAGGAGGGGGGCAAGCTGACCGGTCGTTTGGGCAGCGATGTACGCGTCGGCCGCCTCGGCGAGCGTAGTGTGGTTACAAGTGACCGCCTGGCCTGCGGCTTCAAGGGCAAACAAAAACAGCCACTTCATGTTAAAAAAAGTTCGATTTTGTGAATCAAAGGTAAAGTCTTGTCTTTGAGTTGTTGTTGGCTGACCAGGTTATATTTTGAAGACCAAAATACAAAAGCCGGCGCGGGTATGCTCTTTTTATTCCCATACACACGTCAAGAATAGACTGTGCGGAGAAACGGATGAATTGCCGCTGGCCCAAGGCTGCTCGCCGCGCCATTATCTATCCGCCATAGTGAGCGGGCGACGCGACAGCTTTCGGCAAGTGACGGCCAAGACTCTCGTCGGAATTCATGTAGCATTTATCGTTGTGTTCACACATGGAAGAAAGCCTCTTATGCAACAGCACCACAGTCCACAGTTCTGGATACACCAGTTTGTGCCCCTGGAAAGGCACCAACTGATGCCACTCTGCCATGTTCCGTCACCTCGGTCTTATGGTCTTATATACAGTTCTGGCCAATCCAGCTGTCCTATTTATTCGATCCATACCTACGACGCGGTATAGCCACCGTCGACAGTCCAGTTGTACATCATCCTCCGTGCCACTACAGACCCAGAATAGATCGCATCACCGTCGCCAGCTTGGCCGCACACGCCGCCTCGTCGCCGGCCACCTCTTGTGCACGCCACGCAACAAAGCGGTCCGGGCGCACCAGCACAGCGCCCGACTCGCCGACGCCGCGCAGTTCGGCCCAGGCAAAGTAGAAGTCCTCCCACTGCTGGCGGAAGCCGACAGTGTGCACGTGGAGGGGAACGCCGCCCAGGGCCTCGGACACGCGAGACGCCGCACCATGCCAGGCGTCGCCGCCGATGCCCGTGAACAGCACAAACTTGCCGTGGCCGGCGATGTCAATGGTGGAGGTGGGCTTGGCGGACGGAATGGCGCCGTGGTTGAGCCAGACGTGGGGCAGGCGGCTGCCCGGGTACGTGTTGGGCTCGTGGTACAAGATGGGGTCGACGGCAGCACGGCCGGGCAGCGTCCAGGCCTCGCTCTCGTCGGCGACATAGATTCCCTGGCCGCTGTAGTGCTGGTTCATCTCGATACCCAGGCCATTGAACTCATGGGTTGTGTGATGAATGGCTTGGCGCAGCGTGTTGCGGCGAGCTTGCCCGGCCGGGGTGGGCGCCTCGAGTTCGTCCAGAACGGCCCGCCGGTCTTTGACCGTTCTGGGCAGCGCGCCCAGGGCCTCCCAGACATTGTAATGGTCGCGGAAGCCCTGGTTGGCGCGCGTGATGATGCCTTTGCCGACAGGCTGGCGCTCGACACTGTACGTGTCGAGCAGCTGCGGGCCGGCCAAGCCATTGTGCACATAGGCGACTTTCCAGGCGAGGTTGAAGGCGTCTTGAATACAGGTGTTCGATCCCAGGCCGTTCATGGGCGGGTGGCGGTGGACGGCGTCGCCGAGGCAGAAGACGTTGCCGACCGAGTAGGTCTCGGCGACAATCTCGTTGATGTACCACTTGCTGACATTCAGAATCTCGGCAGGCGTGTCGTCACCGATAAAGCCGCGCACGCGGGCCAGGTACTCCTCGTTGGTCGTCTTCGACAAGGATTCGAAGTTGTCGGCGCCGTCGACATCGCGACTCGGAAAGAGAATGAACATCCACTCGTGCCACGGCTTAACCATGCGTACAAGGCCCATCCAGCCAAAAGCCGGGTGCTCTCGGTCCGGCTGCATGACCCAGTGCAGGTTGCCCCGGCGGGCGTCCACCAAGTGCGACATGTCGGCGCGCACGAGTACGTTGACGGCCAGGCCCTGGCCGGGTTTCTTGATGAGCGGCAGGTCCAGCTGCTTGACGACCTGGCTCTGCGCACCGTCTGCACCAAAGATGTACTTGGTGCACACACGGTATTCGACATTGGCCAACTTGTCCCTCAGTGTCGCCGTGTACATGCCTGTGGTAGTGTCCCTGGTGAATCCGAGGAGAGCAGTGTCAAAACGCATTTTGTAGCCGGCATGGGTGGCATGCCGCACGAGCACAGGCTCCAGCAGCGTTTGTGGCAGGTCCATAGGCGCACAGGGACTCGCCGACTCATAATCGCCCTAGAGAGTCAGAAAGTGATGACAAGTGACAAGTGGCAACTAAAGAGTGACAGCAAAAATCTGTGACGAAGCCTGACGGGCTTACCTTCCGCTTAGGGTCGTTGCCCCAGGAGTAGATGCGGGCGTATTCGGCACCGGCCATGCTGTGGCACCAGCGCGTGTGCATCATGCAGCTGCCTTCGGACGACACCTGCTTGAGAGCCGCGTCGAGGCCGATGTCGCGCAAGCACTCGAGCGCGGCAATGTTGGTAATGTGTGCGCGCGGCGTGTTGGCTGTGCCGGGCGCCGCGCTGATAATGATACCTTTCAAGCCATACTCGGCAAGAAAACAAGCAAGTGAGGCGCCCGAGGGGCCGGCACCGACAATCAAAATCTCGGTCTCGATGACTTTGTTGCTGACGGCAGCAGGACAATCGGCAATGCCAGGTGGCGGTGGGGGATATGTGGAGGGGATGGAGGGCATAGTGGGCGCAACAACCTCGTGTGTACCGCTGGCAGCCGGAGGTGCTCCAGACACGGAGCTTGCGTCTGGGCCGACGATATGGAGCTCGCCATTGGGTGTGGATCCATTATTGGTCGACGACGATGTATGCTCCTGGGCACAGGGAATGGTAGACTGCGGTGAAGAGACTTGTATGCTAGCAGGAATTGAAGGCGTGGTGCTGGAGCCGATGTTGATGTCAGCCGGTGCCATTGTTTCGGACAGTCGGTGAAACAGGGTACGCCAGAAACTGAGATGTCGTGAGGGTTGAGGACCGAGGGAATGTAGTTCTGACGGTCGAAGTATGATGTCCGAATTTATCTGAATATTGCGCCGGTCTCTGTCTTTTGCAGTAACTTCTCTTGGCCTCTTTAGAAGCCTTGTACGATTGTCTTCCTCCTTTGAGACAGACAAAGGTTTAGTATGTACGTGACGATGCGGAGAGGATGAAGACAAGGGAAGGGGTTATGGGTGAGAAGGAGGAGAGAGAAAAGGTAAAAGAAACTCATAAAATAGATGAAAATAGGAAAATAAGGAACCACTGGGGAAAGACGTCAGCCGAAGAGCTCTCATAGTTTCGCAATCATTGTCCCGCGCAGATCAGATGGACAGGACTGGGCGTCGGGGTCGCAGGCTTGTGTGGACTGGAGTGCATCTGCAGGCACTCGAGCCATGGTTCATCTTCACAGACAACAACAGACGTCCACCCAACAAAGGCGGCTGCAATACCCTGGCCTGCCCGGTACGGATTCCCAGTGGAGATACGGGACGAAGTGCGGGATGGTGCGGGCGAATAACACGATGGGAAAATAAACAGAAAAAAAGCGTGGCCAAACGCAGCGAAAACAGTCCGAAGATCGTCCGCAGGCTAGTGTCTCCGCCGCCTTGGCTGCTGCGTTCAGTCTCGTTTTTCACATCGGTGCTTCCCGAGGGTGTCGTGTCGGCTTCTCAACTGTGGACAAACCAATATGTCAGTATGGGGTGACTATGGCATTGAAAAGCGACTGAAAGCGAAGAAGTAACGAGAGACAAAGACATTATGTACAGAAAATAGAGACGTACCCTAGCATCAAAATGTCGTCCGACGCAACTGCCCCGGGGCCCGAAGACCAGTTCGGCCGTGCCGCGTCTGTCGTCGAGTGGCGTGCAGACCTCGACCATGCAGCTGCCACGCTGCCCGGCGCACCGCCCGTGCACGCCATGGCGGACGAGCCGGGCGGAGGATATCGAGTGGCATTCAAAGACCCTGTCGACGGCTTGCCTTTCCACCTTGTGTACGGGCAGGCACCCGTGACCGCGTAAGGCGGCGTGCCGTCCTGCGACCGGGCATTCAACTTTGTCCGTTTTTTATCCCTGGTGCTGCGCTGTCGTCATTTGTGGGATTGCTGTGAGGTCGTTGTTGTTGCCATTGTTGTTGTTGTTGTCTAACAATTGTATCGGCTGCCCAAAAACATCGCGAAGGAAACGAGTTCCAGCATTTCAAAAGGGGTAAGTTGGCGCTGGCACCTTCCTCACTTCTCAAATCTCACATCCCCCACCACCTTCCTTCCATCCCTTCTACCCCTTTTCGCGCCTTCCTTCAACTCGTTTTCTGTCTTGCTCTTTCCTCGCCAGTCCACAGTCCTACCCGACGCTCTTTCCTTGTCTGACACGGCTTCACCCGGCAATAGGACCCGCCCCCGTCCACAAGTTTGGCCACTTTGGCATGTGTGTCACCGACTTTGCCGCGGCCTACCGCTTCTACACCACCCGCTTCAACTTTGTCTCCAGCGACGTTGTCTACGATGATACCGATACCAGCCGGGACGTGACGACGTTTTTACTACTGGGTCGACCCCTCGCGCTTTGTCCTCGAGCACTATGTGGACGGCGACCTGGTGAACCGCCAGTGCAAGCCAAACCGGTCGCAGGCCTCACCAGATGGTCTGCACATATGGGGTGCGCATCCTCCTTTGCTGTCTCTTTTGTTTGCTTTTTTGTTCATTGACAAGCTTTGCAGGGGCACGACCCGACTGCTGTAGAACGGACGGAGCCGATGGACGATGGTCGTCGAATGCGTGAAAAGTACAAAGGAAGGTGTTCACAGAACGTGCTGTCCGCAATATCTACGCGAGGATAGACCAGAAAGAGAATGAATTTAGGGAAATGGCCTGTTTCGTGTCAAAGACTGTGTGGCCGTTTCAAAAGTCTGACTAAATCAAGCTGTGCTCAGGTGACATTGCTGTGTCGCCATGTAATACCGACCATTCTATGTGGGGCATCTACTTAGAGTCTACGGAGCGCTGTGATGCACATATCCACACTCCAAATTATATTGGTGTTTACTTTTCTATTTTTGCTTATAGAGAGCGAAGAGGGCGTGGCACGAAGGGTAAAAAAGAGAGTGGTGGAAACCAAAAGATACCGAAGAAAAAAAAATGGCGTGTAAAACGGCCCTCTCACGCCTGTCTTCTCCCTTTCACAAAACACAAAAGCACATCCATCCGTTCGCCGATTTAATTGTATCCTCTTCTGTGTCCGCCCGTAACAGCCGAACGTCCTCCTTGAAATATCAAAACAACACGCCTATCCTGCCAAGTACGAAACAATGAAAGGAACAAAAACAATAACAAAAACCAAAGACACGGTGAAACGCACAAGTCCCATGCGCACGCAACAAAATGTTCCCACAATGCTCCCTAACCTCGTGAATGTGTGTTGCTTGGTGTTGGTGTACTCCTGCCCCTTATCCCTTATCGCTGGGGGTTGCCCCCTCTCAGCTTCTCCCTCCTCTTTCCTGGTATATCCTTTTCCTTTCCCCACCCCATCTAGTCGTTGTCTGTCGTGCATCGTACCGAGTCTTGTCGTCATCCTTGGGCCCCGCTGTGCCTTCCCTGTCCGTCTACTCTGTTCGATAAAACTTCTTGTACAGGAGGTGCAGCAGTAGGTTGACGTTGAGCCGCAGGTTGCCCTCGAAGACGTTCATGAACTGGTGCGCCTCGAACTGCGCCTGTAGCAGGTCCTCAATCGACACGAGCGCGCTAGCACCGGGAATCTGGATGTGGCCACGCGAGCCCTCGATGGAGAACACGCCGACCTCGTCGCAGGAAATGGTCAGGTTGATCTTGTCGTAGTCGCGGTCCATAACGCCCGTCCAGGACACCACGACGCCCTTCTCGGCCAGTGCCCGCACGCTGTACTTGTATGACCCAAACTTGGGCACCCGTCCGCTGCGCTCCAACTCGCGCTGATGGTTGTACTGCTTCGTGAATGGCAGGAGGAACCGTTTTTTGCTGTTGTTTTCATGGTTAGCATGGGTTCAAACGACTTGATAACACACCCGCGTATCCATTACCCCCCCCCCCCCCCCACCCCCACAAAAAAACGTACCCCTTCTTGTTTTGCAGCGTAGCCATTGCCTGCTCAATGTAGTCGTCGTAGCTCTTGCGCTTCTGCTCCAGGTACTTGGCCTTTTCGTGCAGGTTGCCTAGCGTAAGACGCACGCCTTCTAACTCGCGCTGCCGCTGCACGCGCCGCCGGCTCTTGGTGCGGATGTCCAGCGCAATCGCATTCAGCACGTCCTGATAGTGGTTGTGCTTGGATATCCGTCCCAGCTGCTCCAGACGCAGCACGTTCTCTAGTGCCGTGCGCTTGAGGTCGTAGTAGGACATGCGGGTCACGTCCACCATGTTGGCGTCCGAGTACGCGCCGCGCGTGTTGCTGCCCACCGCAAAGTCCTCTCGCAGCAGCGACTGCCATTTCTGCTCGTCCTGTGGGTGAATCGGCTTCACCAACACGTCCAGGAGATTCGCGCCAGTCTGCACACGGATAATATACAGAATGCATCGCTTTGTCTCCATGAACAGTGCCTTGACCTCCGCCTCGGGATCTTCCACGTCATGCAGCTTGGGTGTCAGGTACATTTGAATGTCCGACGAGCCGGCCGCCGTCATCTCGTTCTCGTTGTTCTTCGCACTGCCGAGTTCCTGCACAATCTCGCGCAGCATGTCGTCGCGGTTTGGGCAAATCGCGGGCAGCTCCGACACCACCAACTGGTGGATGGCAAAGATGTCCGTCATCTTGATGTACAGCGTCGGCTTGTTCTTGGCGTACAGGTCGTTGAACTCGTCAATGTCGAAAGTGCTCTCGGCGTCCGGCACCGACACAAGTGCCTCCATGATGCGGCCCAGGCGGGCAACCGAGTCGGAGATGAATGCATTCAGCGGCAGCAAGTGAATGTTGTCGCCGCCAAATGGCCGGCCGCTGGCAATCTGGCCAAGGGCCTTGGCCACTTCGCCCAGGTTGCGCTTCTGGAGCGGGCTGAGATTCTTGTCGATAACACCGACGTTCTCCGGCGACGTGACTGCCGGCTGCAGGTAGAAGCGCCAGAGCCAGTTGCCCACGAGCTGGAGATGGTACTGTGGGGGGTCGCGCTGGAAGTGCTGGCAAAGCGAATCGAACATCTGCCGGCAGATGAAACGAATACCATACGGTAGGCGTGGCAGGAGGTCCTCGAGGGACAGCAGGAACTGATCGGAGATCTCGCGCAGGTCGCGGAGGTGGTCGATAAACAGCTCCTGGGTCTCTGGGTCCTTGATGGCGTGCTCACGTGGGACGTCGCGCGGCCGATGGCTGGGCTGGCCTGTCCGGAGCTCTTCGTTGTTGATGGCCGACCGGTAGATTTGCAAGGGATCGCTCTCCAGGTCGAGTGCCGGGTCTTCGATAATGTTGTCGCGGATCATGGGACCCAAGAGGTCGCGCAGGTATTTGCGGTCGCGGGGTGATCGTGTGTAGTTGGTGAGAAGCTTCTGCCAGTAGTAGTTGCCACGGACGTACTCCTGGATGGAAGACGACCCGTCGATTTCTTCGCTGATCGACCGGGCAATCAGCTTGAGCAAGTAGTACTCCTCTCTCCGCTTCTGCGCATAGCCAAACAGGCTCATGATCAGAAGCTCAATCCGCCGCCCCTCCTTTTCGGATATGCCCTGCATGCGAATGCGACGGAACAGGCGCGCCAGGTACTGGGGCTGCGTCTGCAGGTTGAAGAAGAGCTGCTGGTACGATTCCAGCTTCTTGCGAGAACTCTTGTTCAACGCCTTCAGGTCGAACTGGTTGGCGGACGTCATGGGCGTGCTGGCAAGGATGTTTCCGGTGTGACCACCAAAGTTGCTCTGGTGCCGCACAACCTCGTCGAGGGTAATTTTGTTCTTGACGAGAAGTGCAATCTTGATGTCGAGTTGGTCAATGTACTGCTCCATCGTCTCGTTTTGGCGAACCTGCTGCACAACGGTCTTGCGCATCCGCTCAAACTCGACCTCCTCGTTGAAGTCAAAGTCGCTGTCGTTTAGCAGATGAACAAAGTTCTTCACGGCGTTGACCGGAGGGTTCTTGCCAGTGGTGAGGCTCTTGTATGCTTCACCCTGCATCTTGGCGCGGACAAAGCTTTGGATCTTGACAACGCGTTGCATATTCTCGTTGAAGAAGCGCTTCTTCTCGGCAAACCGGCGGCGGACGATAAAGGCCTTGGCGGCAGCTTGCAGGGCAACGATCGACTCCTCCTGCTCATCGAGCTGGTTGAGGAGCTCGCCGATCTCGCCGCGCAGCAACATGGCCCGGGCGAGAGCCTGCAGCTGGACAATTCCGGGTTCGGTGGAGTGCAGCTCGTCCAAGAAAGCAGAGTGTTTTTGACGGAAGATGAAGGCCCGCGCATTTGCTTGCAGCCGCGTGATTTGGCGTTCCTGGGCAGAGAGCGCGTTCAGATCGCCCGCGACCCGGAAGCGCTCGAGCATGCCGCGGGCATGTGACTGCAGTGCAATGAGCTCCGGCTCGCACTCTTGAAGGCCGTCGAGCGTATCGGTGATGTTGCGTCGAACAGCAGCGGCCCGGACACAGGCCTGCAGCGCCTCGATCTGGGGCACATGCTGGCGCAGCTCGGCTGTCAGGGCAGTGACGGACTGCCGGGCGGCGTTGCCTCGTACCACGGCCTGCACGTGCTCCCACTGAGGTGCAAAGCGTGCAAGTGCCTCTTTCTGCAGGTGAATCTGGTGTCTCGTTAGCATAGCCCTTGCGGCGGCCTGGAGGTCGGCTACTGCGTGACTCTCAGCAAAGAGCGCCGCCTGCTCGTCCTCCAGGCGCCTTCTCAGCAGCATGCCACGAACGGCAGCCTGCAGAGCTGTGGCCGAACCGGCCGCATGCTTTGCATCCTGCTTCTGAGAAAGCATTTTTCTGCGCGCCAAGTATCCCCGGAAAACCGCCTGAATGCCTCGCACGGGCCCTGAAGCGTGCTGTAGCTGAGAACGAACGTCTCGTACCTGGTTGCGGACCTTGTTGGCCCGAATGAGGCTCTGAAGCTCGAGGACATGACCTTCCATGCTCTCCAAGTAGTATTCTTTCTCATGCTGCCGCTGGCGGACAAGGAATCCGCGTGCAGCGCTTTGCAGGTCGATGGCGAAGCGCCGCATCTGCATTCGGTAGTCGATAATTTGTCTGGCAAAGTCACCGCGAATACGAGCCTGGAGGTCGATCAGCCAGTTCTCGTCGTCCCAGAGCTGCTGCATGGATTGGCCTAGCCGCATGCGCACGAGAGCGCCGCGTGCTTGTGCTTGCAGGTCCACGATCGAGGCCTCGTTCTCGGCCAGCTCGCGGTCGATGCGCTCCTCTTCCGTTTCGACGGGCTCAGGCTCTACATCAAAGTCGGCGCCGATGGTACCGAAACTGGGCATGTTGGCACCCAACTTATCGAGACCCTTTTGCACTGCTTCGAGTTCGTGGTGCTCGAATTCGAGCTGGCCAACGAGGTTGCCGATGCGGAAGTCAACAATGCCCTTGCGGAAGAGCAGCCAACTCAGGGCGTGAATGCAGTAGATGACCTTGGGGATGTTCTTCTTCTCGTACAGATCGATCATCTCGAAGCGGAACAGGTCGGGTAGCTCGACCTCGTCGAGGTAGCGGAAGAAGTTGGCAATGTTGTCCGAGTAGAGATACTGGAGTTTCTGGTGCCGAATGATACGGAACGGCCTGTCGGGGTTCAGAGCAGCCACAACTTCGGCGAGTGTGACACCGTCTCGCAGCGCCTCTTCAAGCTCGACAATGGGTGGGATGGTGCGGTGGATGACATCCTCAATCCACTCCTTGGCCTCGCCGATGTGGCAGAGATACTCGTAGGCCTGGAGAAATTGCCGTTGCTTCTCCATCCAATTCCAATCACCACCACCGCGGCCTCCGGACTTGGCGGGTGCGGCGTTCTGCAGCCGTCGCCGGCCGCGAAGACCCACGACTTCCTCTGATGTTGCGGCGAGAGCAAAGTCATCAGCGGAGCCAGACTGTGCCAGCTTTGAGAGGGTTCGCAGCTGATTTGTCGACGACTTGCCCAGAGTCTGGAAGTCGGGTGCGGTGATGGGTGCCGTGTGTGCATGGTGGAGAGTTGCGGGCATGCTAGCATGAGCGACAGCGGCGCTTCCGCCTCGATTGATCGAGTCGGACCGCGTGAGGAGCATGGAGTTGGGACGTATGGCGGAAAGCGGAGCTTGTGGACGGTTGCTGCCAAACCGGTCATTTTCGATATTGCTGCTGCGGTTGCCGCTGGAGAGGGAGCCAATGTCGACGCTCTGGCCGCGATCATGGCGCGAGAGGCTCTTCACTGGCGATGTCGGCGGGGAGGTGACGGAGGCAGCGGGCGCTTGAGGCAGCGGGCGCAGTGACCGCCGCGCATTGCCATATATGTTCTCGCCATGTGCCTTGGGAGGTGACGAGACGTGGAGGTTGGAGAAAGAGGTCGAGAGTCGGGCAGCCTCGCTCTGACCACGCTTGTGTCCCAGCGACGAGTACCCGCCAGAATACGATGTCATGCTACTGGCGGCCGAGCTCTGGTCGGAGACGTTGGAGTAGCCGGACGAGGCGGACGAAGACGCTGTTGATGGTTGGCGGGCAACCGAATAGTCAAACGTTTGTGACTGTCGGAGGGGATGCGGTCGGTGCATCTTTGTTGCTTGTGGATGCGGCAATCAATGTTGTGCCCGGAAGTCCGGCGGGTGTCAATGACAGCTTGCAAAACTGCTGGCAGCTCCGTTGGCTTCCATATGGACACAGTCCACGGGTGAAGGTACGTGGTGAAGGTACTGTTCAGAAAAGCAGCGGCGTAGACGGACGTGTGTAATCTGAAGAGAAGTGTATCGGTCGTGGACGAAACGGGGATTGCGACGTATTGGTTATGGCAGAGTCGAAAATGAAGCAAAACAAAAGATCGTGAGATCGCGGCGAAATGGTTCCTGCGTCGCGCTTGCTCGCCAGCGTCGGCTTGAAGAGAATAAGACACACTGGCAAAGAGTTACCAGGGCGTGCAATGAATAGAAAGCGTGTCGAAAAAGATGACGAGAAATGAAACTTTACATGCCAACGACCAGAGGGCAGTGGAGTGTTGGCGTATTGGCAAGGTCCAAGAGGTGCCGTGGGAAAAATTCGGACAAAATGGGCTACCGCAGAGCATCTCTCTTACAACAGGAAGGATCCAGCGACAATAGCTGGGCGGCGTTATTACTATACTGAGGGTAGGCACGGGTTTCTGTGTGCGGCAGGTGTGGACGAGGGGCGCTCCTTCTCGATCTGGATGGCCTGTCGCCCTGGAGATCGGGCCATCTTGTTTGTTTACATTGCGCCTGCCCTACTGGGGGCGGACTTTGGTGCTAGCGTAATTTACGTCACAAGGGGCCCAGGCCACGGCACATAGAGTGTCTTTGCGCACGGGCCACGAGTTGCGGCTGGTTAAATACATGAAACTTGCTATCTGCTTACCGGGGCGCTACGACAATTGATGGGCACAGTCAAACCGTTAGATTAGACGAGATAAACATTGTGTCACGTGCATTTCATCCACCGTCCAACAGATTCTCGTCGCGGTCAAATCGGACCCCTACCCGGCGACAGGCCGAATATCGGAATATCGTAGCCTTGGACAGACGTCAACATTGTCTTCACGGTTGTCAAAAGTCGCCAGGCGAGTTGCAATTGACAATGTCGCCGCCACGGGCAAACTGGCCCACCCAGATGGCCTTCCATCGCACCTGCCTCGCAAATAGTCATAGTGACTAAGCCTTGACGACGCGACTGCCCCGCTTTAATATTTTTCTGGCACGGCGATAAAGGTAAAAAATTTGCCTGCGGTGAGAGCAAGCGAAGTTCCCTTTTTTTCCTTCTTTCTTCTAATGGGGAGAAGAGAACTACGAACGGTACGTGAAACTGCCACTGGTCGAAAGTCCAATTGTAGACGTCTTCGAACTCAATCATACTGTTTTACGTTATCGGAACACGTCTTTCACACGGTATGTGCATTTTCCCTGCGCGAAAACGCGACTAAGACGCCTCCTAAGGGGGTTGACGTCGTTGCTGTCGATCTTTTCTCCGTGACTTCTCACCGTTCCGCAAGGCGTTGCCCCTCGAACGAGCGTGGTCCAGCCTCACACAGCCTCACATCGTGACCCGTATTCGCCTGCTAACATCTGACGTCTCCAGTTTCCGCTTCACACGCCGCAAACATGCCTGAAGCAGTCAACGGCATCGACCACTTCCTGAGCGCCTCCAAGGCCCTGGCCACGCTCGAGGAGTACGAGGAGCGCGATGGCCTGGGGATCAAGGATCTCATGAACGCCCGGGTGCACGGCGGCCTCACGTACAACGACTTCCTCGTTCTGCCCGGCTACATTGGCTTCCCCGCGTCCGAGGTGGCCCTCGACTCGCCCATCACGAAGCGCATCACGCTCAAGACGCCCTTTGTCTCGTCGCCCATGGACACGGTGACCGAGCACGAGATGGCCATCCACATGGCTCTGCAGGGTGGCCTGGGTGTCATCCACCACAACTGCTCGCCCGACGCGCAGGCCGACATGGTCCGCAAGGTCAAGCGGTACGAGAACGGCTTCATCCTGGACCCCGTTGTCATCAAGGTCGACACGACCGTTGGTGAGGCGAGAGCCCTCAAGGAGAAGTGGGGGTTCGGTGGTTTTCCTGTGACTGGTAAGCAAACCCCTCGAATTTTTCGTTCAATTTATGATATATATATATATATGTATTGCACTCGACCGCCCCTTCACAGACCTCCCGCGCAGCCTGCATACATTCATGCCTTGTTATGATTATTACCACTTTTTATTATAACTTTCGTTCCACCGTCAACGGCATAACGCCATGGGGATAACAAAGAATCTTTATGACACTTGGCACATTCATTTTTCGATGTTGTTTTTAAATCCGTCTTCGTTCTCGAAGGATCGAAACGTGACTAACTCGACACAGAGAACGGCACCTTGGGCTCCAAGCTCCTCGGCATTGTCACGAACCGCGACATCCAGTTCGAGGATGATGGCAACCGCCCCGTGTCCGACGTCATGGTCAAGGACCTTGTCACCGCCCCGGCTGGTGTGACCCTCGTCGAGGCCAACAAGATCCTGTCGCAGTCCAAGAAGGGCAAGCTGCCGATCGTTGACAAGGACGGCAACCTCGTGTCCATGATCTCGCGCTCCGATTTGACCAAGAACCTGCACTTCCCTCTCGCTTCCAAGCTGCCCGACTCCAAGCAGCTGATCTGCGCTGCCTCCATCGGCACGCGTCCCGAGGACAAGATCCGCCTGCAGAAGCTGGTGGACGCCGGCCTGGACATTGTCGTCCTCGACAGCAGCCAGGGCAACAGCATGTACCAGATCGAGATGATCAAGTACATCAAGGCGACCTACCCCGACCTGGACGTCATTGGCGGAAACGTCGTGACCCGGGAGCAGGCTGCTGCCCTCATTGACGCAGGTGTTGACGGCCTGCGCATCGGCATGGGCAGCGGTTCGGCCTGCATCACGCAGGAGGTCATGGCCGTCGGCCGCCCGCAGGCCACTGCTGTGTACAACGTGTGCGCTTTTGCTGCGCGCTTCGGCGTTCCCTGCATTGCCGACGGTGGCATCCAGAACGTCGGCCACATTGTCAAGGGTCTGTGCCTGGGCGCGTCCACGATCATGATGGGCGGTCTCCTGGCCGGCACGACCGAGTCGCCCGGCACGTCGTTTGTGTCGCGCGAGGGCAAGCTGGTCAAGGCGTACCGCGGCATGGGCAGCATCGACGCCATGCAGGACAAGAAGGCCGGCGGCGGCGGCAAGAACAGCCAGAAGAGCAACGCCGGCACGGCTCGCTACTTCTCCGAGGGCGACAGCGTGCTGGTCGCGCAGGGCGTGTCCGGCGCTGTGGCGCACCGCGGGTCCATCAACAAGTTCCTGCCGTACCTGGCTGCCGGCGTCAAGCACTCTATGCAGGACAGCGGCATCAAGAGCTTGCGAGAGCTCCACGAGAGCGTCTCCTCTGGCAAGTTGCGCTTCGAGATCCGGACGGCGAGCGCCCAGCTTGAGGGTGGCGTGAACATGGAGTCGTACGAGAAGAAGCTCTACGTGTAAGCGAGGGTGTGTTTCTTATTTGACGGATGACGACTAGGAACGGGATTTGGAGAAAGGGTACATTTCTTGATTATGTTTTGTCCCTTATTTTGGCAAAGCCTCTTTTTTGACGATTGGGGACATGAGGACTTGAAGAGGAGGATACGTATATACTCGTTGTCTTTTTGCTTTTTGCGTAACCCAGAAACATAAAAAAGACGTTGCAGTTCAGTAGAGTTCGCTTGATGTGCTTGAAGGCGGCCAAGACGGCAGGGCTACGGCCTGGCCGAACCAAGCGGCCACAAGCACGGAGAGCGGACTCTACGGCCGCTGCGAGATGGGGCGACCCATAGTAGGAAGAGGAGGAGACGAGGCGACGACAGACGAGCCATGCATGCGGCGTTGGGGGCGTTCTTTTGAGATTTTTGCCTCTTTGCTGCTTTTCTTTCTTTTTTTACATCTCTTTTTTTATCTTTCAATTTTGGCATCATGATAAACCTCCAAAATTTGGATATGTCCTTGTCACTTTCCTGACATTTGAGCCGCCTTTTACCGTTCTTGTTCGCCGTCGTTCTGGCTAACATTCCTGCAGGAGCAAAAGGCGGAGAATCTCCATTCAGTGTGGCTCTGGCCGTGCCTCGTCACAGACCCTCCAATGCGGCCACCCCGGCCCTTTTCTTCCTTACTGGCCACTCTATTGGACCAAACCAGTGTCGATATGCACAAAGACCAAAGCTGGGCAGGCTGACATGCACGATGCACAAGCAAACCTCTGTCGCGACGGAAGGCTGGTCAGGCGCACAGCCACAGAGCTGCCTAAAATGCGACCACCAAGAAGCTGGGACAGCAAAGAGCCATAAAAAGCTGTTCGCATTTTCTATGCTTGAAATCGGATTCCTTGCTTTTTGGGAAATATTGTGAGTTCCATATGTTGAATCTTCCCTTTCCGTCTCACAAGCACAGGTTCACGAAATCAGACAACATGCATCGCAGACCGCGTAACAGGAGAGGTTGGGAGGATGACTCCGACAGCGACTCAATCCAGATCACTACTGTGGACTATTCGCATTTGGCGGGCAGACATGCCTTTGGCATCGACAGAGTCCCCGACGTACTGTATTCGATCAAATATGTCGACAAATCCCGCCGTCATTATGGAAGTACGTACAGAAACGGGACAAGCTACCCAAGTAATTTGTGAATCAGAGCCTTTGCTAACCGAATTCTAGCGATTGGTTCCAACAAGAAGATCAACGTTGACGAATCCAATATCGGCGATGCTACGCCCGACTCGCAAAATTATCCGGTGATCGAGATCCACACAGTAGCGGTCTGCTCACCCAGACACGCCAGGACCAAGCTGGAGCCATTCCGCAACGTCTACCACGCGGAGAGCGGGGAGAGCAAGAACGGCGCGGAGGAGGACGCGGTCGACGTTAACATTGACGACGATGACAACATGCTGGAGCTGGCAATGCAGGCAAAGCTGCAGTCGCTGGATATTGCAGCCGTGCGCGACCGCTTTCAGGTGGACACGATCGACATCAAGGGCATGGTCATCCACTCGTCCTACCTACAGCACGCCATTAACGCCGTCAAGGAGTCGACAGTGCACCTGGAGGCATTGCTCAAGGAGCCGTACCCGGAGCTGTACCACATACGCGACGATCTGGCACACTTCCGCGACAACCAGCCGGCATGCCACAACGAGACGCAGCGGACCACGACGGCCAAGCACATCAACGTTCTCCTCGACTACCTGCAGAAGGAGCTCGGCGACCGGTGCCGCGACGAGGAGCGGCGCTATGCGCAAAGCCCGCCGATGGCGACATTCGATATGATGTGGTTGCTGTACAAGCCGTTTGGGGTGGCGTACGCGAAGCGGGCCGGGCGACAGCCCGGGGCGCCAATGCATTGGCGGGCCTACGTGATCAGTTCGGTGGACACGGACCTGCTCAAGGCGCGTGTGACGTGCTGGAGCATGGTGTACAACGCGGGGATGCTGAGACGCGAGACGATGGTATTTACCATCAACTCGTTCTCGGGCGAGCAGACGATCCAGGATCTGCCGCTGGTGCCGCAGCGATTCTTCCCCGAAGACTTGGACGCACAAGACGGACTGAGCATGGCAGACTGGCAGATCAAGCTGGGCCGCCAGTATTGGGACCTGGTGCAGGCGCCGGCGTACAAGGAATATGTGGTTCCGGACGACATCGTCGAGGAGGCGGCCAGCAAAGGAGCAGACAGTGCCCCCAACCACACCGCCAAAAGCAACCGCGAAAATAAAAACAAATCCAAGAGCGAGCTCGTCGAGCGCGTTGTCGTCGACGTGAAGGGCTTCGAGACGTTTGGTCTGCCGTCCTCGACGTCGTCAATGTCTCCGGCTGGCGCCAACGGAGGACTCATGGCGATGCCACCGCCGCCGCCGCCGCCGATTCCGACGCCCATGGATAATTTGGGCTTTCAGTTGCATTTTGCGCCGCGGTGCAGCTGCGACACGTGCCGGGACGACCCGAACAGCGAACCGAAGAACCCGGGCCGGTTTGCCGAGTTCAAGATGGCGGCGATCAGTTCGGGCAAGAAGCCGACAAACGACCTGTTCTATCTGCTGTGCGACGTCGACGTGCCTGCGTTTGTGTTGTCGAGGCGCGAGTGGGTGCATGTGCACCTGGCGCGGCTGCAGCCTGTGCAGACGGACCACGAGGCGTTTGAGAACCTGGTGCTGGACGCGGACGTCAAGACGACGGTGCGGGCGCTGGTGGGCAAGTTTGCGCACGACGTCGGCGAGGGACGGGCGGACAGCGGGCGTGTCGCGCCGTGGCCGCGGGACATTGTCAAGAACAAGGGCGAGGGCCGCATCTTTTTGCTGCACGGCTCGCCGGGCGTCGGCAAGACGTGCACGGCCGAGTGCATTGCCGAGCTGGCGCAGCGGCCGCTGCTGGCGCTGACGTCGGGCGACATCAGCACGGACATGAACGCCGACGTCGTGGAGCGCAACCTCGACACGTACCTGCGCCTGGGCGAGCGCTACGGCGCGCTCGTGCTGCTCGACGAGGCCGATGTGTTTCTGGAGGCGCGCCGCGCCAGCGACCTGCGCCGCAACGGGCTCGTGTCGGTGTTTCTGCGGGCGCTCGAATACTTCCGGGGCGTGCTGTTCCTGACGACGAATCGCGTCGAGACGTTTGACGATGCGTTTACGAGCCGCATCCACGTGGCGCTGCACTATCACCCGCTGTCGCCCGAGAGCCGGCGGCGCGTGTGGATGCAGCACTTTGCGCGCATCGAGCGAGACAGCGGCGGACGCATTTTTGTGCTGCGCAGCACGCGCGAGTATGCGTACGAGGACGCCGAGGTGCACGCGCTGGAGCTCAACGGGCGCGAAATTCGCAACGCACTGCAGACGGCGGTGGCCCTAGCCGAGGCGGACGCTCTGGACAAGGCAAACGAGGACGAGGGCCAAGTGACCGTGACAGAGGCGCACCTGCGGGCTGTGATCAAAATGAGCGCCGGCTTCAAGTTGTTTATGAACAAGGCGAAGTCGCAGCTTCACGAGTGAGCACCCACACGGACCAGTTGGACGAGACGGGCCGCATGTGATGGGATGGGTTAGGCAATTTCATATCCAAAATAAAATCAATAAAACAATAAAAAACGAACCACAAGACAACTAGTGTAGGCACCCCGTGTCCTTTGTGATAGCCCATACTGTGGCCTCTGTGGTGTATGTCTGCTGGACGGATGCTGCAGGCACAAAACAATGGTTGACATCCTCTTGAAACGCCGTCGGGATCGCGTAAAATACAAAGCAAAATAAAGCAAAATACAATCGGACTCGCAGCCCATTGGACGCTCCACGACGAGCGTCTCTGCACGCCTTTACGCCCCTCACAGCGTCGCCGCCGCTCCGACGGCACCGGCCACATTGAACGCCTTCTTGTTCGTCCACCGGATCTCGACGTCGTGTGCCCACTCCATGTACCGGGCCCAGCCTGTTTGGTCAGTTCTCCGCCTCGTCTTCGGCGCAAATCACAACCACGGAAGACACTCACTCCAGTAGGCAAACTTTCGGCCGAGATACTTGCCGGCAAACGGCACAAGCACCATGGTCAGCATCAGCTGCAGCTGCTCGAGGCTGGCCTCCCACTCGCGCTGGGCGTCAGACGTGTCGTCGGAGCTCGCGTCCGAGGGGCTGATCACGCTGGTCGAGATGGACGGCAGCGAGTCGAGCTCGCCGTCCTCATCGTCGTCCTCGTTCTCGTCAAGGCCTTCGTCGCCCGTCTCGGCATCGGCGTGCGGCCGCGGCAGTGTGGTCGTCGCCGCCGCGTCGGCCAGTACAAACGATTCAGACGTCGACGCAGACATCTGGGAGCCCGCGTCGGATATTGATATTGGTTCGGAAGACATTGTGTGTGGCAGGGGGGTTGCCAGACGCGGGTTTGTTGTCCGTCGCCGTCCATCGTGAAGGCAGCACGAGTTCGCTTGGGGCCGGAAGCTGCCCAGCTCTTTGCGGGGGCACCGATGGCAGCTGCTGATTGGCTAGAATGCCGGCGTCACCTGATTGACCTCTCTGCGACCAAAGGTGGCAGGTGGCCCTAAGGACGGCAACAGCCCACACTCCAGCTGCCCCGATCGTCCCTTCCACGCCATGCCAAACTGCCCCTCTGTCGCATGTCATCGTGCTGGTTCCAGGTCCCCTGGTCGCCTTTGCGCCTTCCTTGTTTGGCGCATGCCTTTACAGTACAAACCTCGCCTATCGGGAATTTCTTCTTTTGCTGGGAACATCTTCTTTTCTTCGTCTTCTTTTCTTCCACATCATCGTCAATTCCACTACCTCGACATCGACGGCCCCGACACATCCATCCTGGCTTCGCTGCATCCACTACACGCAGACTTGCATCGGTCTCATAACAAACAGTCTCGTCGCGGATTGGCTGCAACCCTGGCTGCAACCCTCCTATTGCCTTATTGTCTCATTGCCGCACCGCACTCACAACGCACAGCCGACAGCTCGTGGTCCCTGCTTCTGCGGTGTTTCTGACGGGCCAGCGGCCAACCGACTACCCGGCGCTCCGTTTCTTGTCTCGTCTCTTGGCTCAACAACCGTCTACGGCGTACGGCGTACTTCCAAAACTCTAAAGCCAACCACCCCTGGCCAACAATCAAACGACGCTCTGCACCGCCAACATGGCGACAACCGAGACTCCTGTACGTTGCATCCCTCGTTCTCGTGTTGTCGGTCTTGTCGGTCCCCTTGCTGGCTCGTTTCACTACACATTGTCGTCTGTAACTCTTTGTGGTTATTTACCCCTTTCACTGCGCATTCACGGTCCAGTGGCTTCCAGTGTCGCCGCAACCTGCAAGTGCGACCAGTGGTGAGTTGCTAGCGCGCCTTCCCTCCTGGTTTGAGAACACAAGTACAGAACAAGACACAGAAAGAGCACCCAATCACTCCTCAAGTGCTGGATGACTCAGAAGGCAGTCGCCGCCCCGCCCTCTCGTTGGTCGGCGCCGACCCCGCCACGGTTCGAATGCTACTGTATTTTTGTGAGGGCTAGTTTTGTAGGCCAAAATTGGCCCGCAGCCAGACCAAGAAAAAAATTACGAAGCACGACCATACATACCAACGCACGGCACACGACGTCTGGTGGCTCTGACTCTTTTCTGCTTTTGCCTCTCTTTCTCTCAACAACCACCCCCTCCACTCCCCGTTTCTGTCCCCGCTTATCTGGGCTCTTGGACAGCGCGTAGACGATTTTTCATTATCTCGTCTTTTGACAGTCTTTTTTTAAACTGTCACATCGATCCGCAATCTAACATCTACGCCTCCTTTTCTTTCCGTGCTCCCTCCCGCCGACTAGATCGCCGAACGCAAACCGCGGAAATCCGTCGCGTTTACCGAAGAAGCCCTTGTCATCGACGCCGACGGACACGTCACCATGCCTTCGACCGAGGCCATTGACGACACAAAGGACACGGCGGTGTCGCACAGCCCGCGCACGCCGCCGCTGTCGGCCGCGCTCGAGTCGTCTGCCGATGCTGCTGCTGCTGCCGCTGCCGCTGCCGCGACGGGCGAGGACGGCCTCGACCTGAGCCTCCTGAAGAAGAAGAAGAAGAAGTCGTCGACCAAGAAGAAGGCCGACGACGAGGCTGAGGGTGGCGATGACGACGCCGGCACGCCGGCCGGCGACGACGGCGGACTAGACCTGACGCTCAAGAAGAAGAAGAAGAAGAAGGCGAGCAAGGACAAGGCCGGCGCGGGCGAGGGCGACGAGTTTGCCGAGAAGCTCAAGGCGCTGGAGCTGCGCGAGGACGAGACGGTCGAGGTCGAGGAGGGCGACATGGACAAGGGCACGGGCATCTGGCAGCACGACGCGGCCACGCCGCCGATCCCCTTTGCCATGCTGCTGTCGCGCTTCTACCACGTGCTGGAGCTCAAGAACCCGGACCACGCGACCAGCGGCTCGCGCAGCTACAAGATCCCGCCGCCGCAGTGCATGCGCGAAGGCAACAAAAAGACCATCTTTGCCAACATCACCGAGGTGGCCAAGCGCATGAAGCGCACAGAAGACCACATTACGCTGTACCTGCTTGCCGAGTTGGGCACGACGGGCTCCGTCGACGGCAGCCGGCGCCTTGTCATCCGCGGTCGGTTCCAGCAGAAGCAGATTGAGAATGTCTTGCGGAAATACATCAGTACGTCGCCTGCCCTTTGGCTTTCCCTTTCTACCTATCCCCTATGCGTTTGACCTTTATGCCTTTTTATACCTTTTTTTCCCTTTTTTATCCCTTTTTTATTCCTTTTTTTCTTCTTCTTATTCTAACAAAACAGTCGAATACGTCGTCTGCAAAACGTGCAAGTCGCCCGACACCGAGCTCAGCAAGGGCGAGAACCGTCTGTACTTTATCACCTGCAACTCGTGCGGCTCCAGACGGTCTGTCACGGCCATCAAGACTGGTTTCTCTGCCCAGGTCGGCAAGAGAAAGAAGACCCAGGGCTAGAGGGGAGCTGGTGCGTGTTGTGTCATGTGTGGTTTGCGCATTTGCTTGTGGGATTGTGGGATCGGTTCGACAATCTGCCTCTCCTTCTTTCAGGTGTTTCGAACGTCTCTGTCCGTTCTGTCCGGTTTTTTGATACCTCGCATGTGGTCTTGGGCGGCTGTCTTGTGTCGATATATGCGCTTCGCAGGAGTATGAGAATGCGACTGCCGACACGGTGAAAACGTGAAAAAAGTACAAAGAGAAAGAACGGCAATATTGCATGGAGGAATGGAAACCGATGGACTTTTGCAGGACTTGATTTTCATGGGAATGCATGCTGTTGGGCCTGTTCCAAGGACGATAAAAATAGACGACAGAATGACAATGAAGGAATATGAAATAAAGACGATATGCGCTGTGTGTGAGCTTATGTGGAGGTGGAAGCTGTTTTGATGTTTCAGTGCTTGTTACTCTGCCGTGTCTTTTCAATTATTCTTATCTTCTTTTTGGCATACTTTCCGTCTCGTATTTTCTAATCGAATCTTATGTATTCTCGTACTATGTGTGCGCATTCTATCGTCATGTCGCCCTTACTTCGTTTTCTTTAATTTGTTTGCTGTTCTTTTCTGCAAAATAAATTGTCAGTAATTCATTTATACCTTTTTTTTATCCTCATTTTATTTTTTTTTTTTTTAAAAAAAAATAAAAAAAAAAAAAAAAAATAAAAAAAAAAAAAAAAAAAACCCAAAACCATAGCCTCACACCATTCCCCCCTTCTTTCCCACGCCCCTCTGTCGTCGTGAACGCTGCGGTACTTTTTCATAATGCCCAGAAAATGTTGAGCCACAGACTGCGCGATAGCTGGCTATTGATAGCATTCGAAGGTGGACACGTCATTCGCCCGCGTCCAATGCGATAGCTTCCCCTCATCTGCGTCCAGCTTCCTCTCTTGGAATCGTCAACGACTTATAAACCCCAAGGGCAGGCGTTGGGTGATGGCTATATTTTCTGGGAAATAAAAACTCACAAATTTCAAGGTAGTAGCCACACCAACTCCATTGCTTTATCGCGTCCTACCTCGTCCACCACAAATCGGACCATCTTTATCCCTGTCGTTCTTCCGCAACCACACTCTCCTCAACATCGATCATGACCATCTACGAAGAAGCCCCCAAGAATGGCACGGCCGCCTCGCTGGTGAGCACGGCGACCACTCATCCCGTCGCCGGCTTGCCCAACGACAACCCTTCCAGGTCGTACTGGCTGCAGGAGCCGTCCAAGCTGCTGCTGGGCCACCGCACGACGCCTGACCTGCCCGCTGAAGTCGATGTCGTCGTCGTCGGCAGCGGCATCACCGGCGCGTTTGCCGCGGATGCTCTCCTCGAGGACGTGGGCGGCGCCGCGTCCGCCACCCGCACTGTCCTCGTTCTCGAAGCCCGCGAGGCCTGTTTTGGCGCCACCGGCCGCAACGGCGGCCACTGCCAGCCCATGGTCTACTCGTCCGCCTCGGACGTCTCCGACTTTGAGCTTGCCACCTTCCGCTTTCTCCAGCGCTTTGTCGCCGAGCACCACATTCCCTGCGACTGGCGCACGCTGGCGGGCGGAGTGCACGCGTACCTGGACAAGGACCTGTTCGAGCTGGCCGAGGCGCTGGTCGCGACGCTGCGCGCCAAGCGGCCCGACTTGGCCGACCAAATCACCGTCGTGACCGCCGACGATGTCCGGAACGCAGCAGCAAACACCGCCCTCGACGACCTGCGCCTGCGCGGCGCCGCCGGTGCGCTCGTGCAGCGCAACGCCGCGTCGGTGTGGCCGTACAAGCTCGTGGCCTGGGTGCTGGAGCGGCTCGTGCAGCGGCACGCCGCCTCGGGCGCGTTCAACCTGCAGACCAACACGCCCGTCCTGCACGTTGCCCACGATCCCCAGATGCCGTCTTCGTCTGCTTCGCCCTGGGTTGTCAGGACACCCCGCGGCACCGTCCGAGCCCGCGCCGTGCTGCTCGCCACCAATGGTTACGCGTCGCGTCTGCTGCCGCGCAGCCTCGCCGACCTCGTCGTGCCCGTGCGCGCCCAGGTTGCCGCGCTGGTACCGCCAGACAGCGACACCAAGACGGAAACGACACAAACCACAGAGAGTGCGCCAGCCGGTGTGACGTCGTCGTCGACGTCGACGTCGTCTTCGTCGGCCAACGGTGCTTCCCGGGCGAGTGTCACGGTCGTCGAGACCAAGGACGGCCAGACGACCACGACCACGACCACGACGACCACCTCCAACGCGCCCGCCGACCGCTTAACGTACAGCTACGTCTTTGTCGGCCACGACCACGGCCAGACCCCCAGCGGGAACCGCGACGAGTACCTTGTTCAGAGGCCGTTTACCAGCGGCACCAGCGGCCGCGCAACAGCCACCTCGTCGAATGGCACTGCCTTTGCATCTGCCTTTTCGTCGTCGTCGTCGTCGTCGTCGTCGTCGGGCGGCCACTTCATCTGGGGCGGCGGCCGGCAGCGTGCCTCCAACGCCGGTGTCGGGGAGTGGCGCGACGACGAGGTCGAGTCGCCCGTGGCCGGCTACCTGCGCTCCCACCTGGCGCCGGTTCTCGCTGTCGGCGGCGACAACAGCCGGGGCGAGCCGCCCGCGCAGCTCGAGGCCGACTTCGAGTGGACCGGCATCATGGGCTTCTCGCGCGATGCGAACCCGTGGGTCGGTCACGTGCCGAGCAGCGAGAGCGGCGGCGACGGTCTCTACCTGGCCGCCGGCTTCTCGGGCCACGGCATGCCGTCCACGTCGCTGTGCGGCCGCGCCGTCGCTGGCATGATCAAGAGGCACCTGGGGTGGACGACGTCTTCGTCTTCGGACAGCCATGCTGCGAGCGGCGGCGACGACAATACGCACAGGGACAAGGTCGTCGTATCCCTGCCCTTGAGCGACGGTGGCCATGCCGAGCTGCCTCGCTGTTTCCTCCTGACGCCAGAACGCATTCTGGAGGCGCGGAGGACGTGCCAGCCCGTTAAGGAGGCCGATGCCCGTGGCTTCTTGGCCGAGCTCCAGCATCTCCTGGCCGCTCGTCGGGCAGAGCCGTGAGATGTGTTTCCTTGGGGGGCATACGTCAGTATCCGAAACGCAGCAACACAGCAAAACAGCAAACAACAACACAAATCTCATAGCAATATCGTACACTGGATAGCTGTCTGCCGAAACCAAGAGTCTAGAATACACAGAAATACAAAATTGCCAAGCGAAAACTGCCAAATCGTTTCCAAGTGCCCATATCATGCCAAGTAATAGGATCCAATTCCTGACACCAAGAGAAACAAAAAGAATGAAAAATTAATGCCACTGAGCGTGTGCATCTGTGTGTGTATTCGTTGACGCGTTTGTGTGCATGTTGAGGTGTCGTCTGGCGCCGCATGGCCGTTCTAATTCGTCTCGCATTTCCTTTATAAAACAAAACGCCAGAAAAGCCCCAGGCCGACGTCTTGGAACACAAAAACTTGCAGATGAACCCCACCAAACCAAATGTAATGAAAGCGTGTCTGTAAAATGTAAACAGGAAACGAAGAGGACAGTCGAACGCGGCAAGGAAGCAATGGGATACGTGAAAACGGCGTGAAGCCGAAGAAAGAGTCGTAGAGAATCAAAGAACGCCCCTAAACATTCAATGTGTCACGATCCGTGCTGCCTGCAGCATCAGTCCAAAGATCAGGCCCCGTGCCACCTCCTCGACCTGAAGGCAGTCGAAGATCCGGCCCAGCGCATCGGACGTCGCCGACTGGCCCATGACGCCCATCAGCGCCGCCGGCACGCCGCTGCGGATCAACAGCCGCCGCGCCTTGACCCGCAGCCTCTCCTTCTCCTCTGCCGTCATCTCCGCCGGCCACGCTGCCCGTTCCGCGTCCGTCGGCATCGTGTTCTCGCGCAACGTGTTGAGATACCCAGCCATGCCAGCGTCCGTCGTGTTGGCGTCGAGCACCGACGACTGCAGCAAGCTCTGGATCGACGCCAGAGACGGGTTGCCCGGCCGCAGCAAAAACGACTTGGCGGCCGTCAGCAGCGTGCGCCGGATGTTCCAGGCCGACGAGAGCGTGTACAGCTCGTTGATCACAGCAAACAGCAGCTCCACGGCCACGCGCGTCTCGCCCTCCGTCAACGCCGCAAACTGCTTGGCAATCGTCGTGCCGGACGTGGCCACGCGGTGCAACGGGCGCGTCCCGTGTGGTGTCGTTGCACCAGACCCAGACCCAGCGCCGCCCGCCGGCAGGCTCGTCAAGTTGTTGTATGAGCCGACACGCACCGGCGACGTCACCGACGAACCAGGCATGTCTTCTATAGCGTCGGTGGTAAAAGCAGAGGTCGCACCTATTGGAAGACGGGTTCCGCTCAGGCTTGTACTCGAGGGCGAGCGCGGGTAGCCGCCGCTCGACGAGGCACGGCTGTTGTGCTGACTTCCGCGGTTGCCGCTGCTGACTGGTGTGTAGTCACCCCACATATTGTTGCTATTGTTGTTGTTGTTGTTGTTGTTGTTGTTGTTGTTGTTGTTGTCAGTCCGGCCGCGCCCGTCGGCGCCGGCCTCGCCTACCTCGCCGTTCGCTCCAGCGTCCATGAGACCGCTCTGCGACTGGTAGCTCATACGCCGACCCATCGGCACAACACGGCCGGTCTGCGACGCTACAACCGACGACCGTTGGCTGTCCATGCTGTCGCGAGAGCGCCGCGAGCCCGCGCCAGAGAAGCCACTATCCATACGGGGTGGCGTCGAGACCGACAGCCGATTCGTGTACGCCGTGACGTCCTGCAGGACCGAGGCAGGGGGCGATGTCGTTGCGCCGTTGGGATTGGGGCTGCCCGCTACATTGGCCAGCGAACCCGAGCTGGCGTGCTGCTTCTTCTGGCCGCTGCTGCCGCCAAGACCGATGTTCGTGCCCAGGTTGCCCAGGTTGCCTAGGTTGCCAAACACGCCCGTAACGCCGCCTACCATGACCTTGCCACCTTCGGCCACGCCCTTGGGCGCGTTGGACAGTGCGTCCAGCATGTTCTTGCCCATGGTTTCGAACGCATTGAGACCCGTCTTGGAAGCCGCCGGCAGGTTGTTTGTGTCCTTTTCCAAAAACCGCTTCATGCCCTCGCTCTCGGCCAGTGGCTGGTACCAGCAGGCATCGCGCACATAGCGCTCCAGCTCGCCCCGCAGTGAGCCGCGGGTGTGGATCTTCCAGTTCGGGAGCACGCCGTGCTGCTCTGTAAACGCCGTGGCGCCCGAGATCGTCGCAATGCGCCGCAACACCTCGTGCAGCTTCTCAAAGTCCGCGTACTTGCGCACAATCATCCAGCCCGGGTAGTGCGCGTTGGCCGGCTCGATCTGGATCAGGAAATCCCATGCGGGCCGGCTCTTGATGCGTCCCTTGTCCGTCACCGGCTCGTCATGAATCGTGACGTTCGCGTTGTGGAGCGTCAGTGGCGGTGGTGCCTGCTCCTGTTTCTTGCGGCCCTCCGAGTCGCTCGACTCATCCTCTTCGCGCGCCGGCGGAACGAGTTGGTCGAAGCTGGTGAACTGGGAGGCTTCGTCGGCGGTCGGCGGGTGCGGGTTTTCTGTGTTCTCCGAGCGGTTCGCGGCTGTTCCGCTGGCTGCCTCAGACTTGGCAAAAGACGATTGGCTCGGTGACCCCTGCGTAGACGACCGTGGCGTGATGGGCGTCGAGACTGTTCTTGCTGTGCGCGTCGTGCTCTCGTCACCAGACAGGCTGAGAGACGCTTTGGGAGAGATCTGGTCAGAGGCGGCGCTGGGTGACGGGGGCCCGTGTCCGTGGTGGACTTTGCGTTCGTCGTTTGCTTGCATGCCAAGCTCGTCTGCGTTGTGCTGCATGGCGTCCGCCAACCTTTCTTCGGCTTCGGCAGCACTCTTGGTCTCCGTGGTGGTGCGCCGCGCCTTTTCTTCAGCGGCAATCATCTCATTCATGCGCTTCATTTCCTCCATGGCCTCCTCCATTTCCTCGTCAGCCCGGCTGAGCTGCTTCTTGTGTGACAATGGCACGGACTCCTTGCGCCTCGATTGGTGTGCCTTGTCCGCCTCAAATGAGCTGCGCCGGCTCTTTGGCAGCGCAATGTTGCCGACGTTGCCGTCAATGTCGATCGAAGCATGGTGCATGTGGGCCGCGGCGGAGTTGCTGGTTGCGTCTTTGCTGCTGCTGGCTGTCGCCGCGGCATCGGTGCGCGTCTGCATGCCCACATCGATGGCCTGGCTGAAGTCGGGCTCGCCACCCTCCAGCAGGTGCACAATCCAGCCGTTGATCCATTCGGGCTTGGAACAAGTCTGCAGCGTCGTCTCCAGCACGGAGGTGGCCGCAATCTCCCGGAGAAACGTCCGTGCCGGGTCGCAGTCGTAGCATTGCCGATCCAGGAAGCTCAGCAAATCGTCGGCTACCATGCGGAACTTGCTCGCCTGCTGGCGCTGGCTCAGCAGGTTGGCCAGGTTCGAGTTCGGGTGCGACGCGAGGTAGCTGTAGATGGCGTCGGCGGCAGATATTGTGGGGTTGGCATCGGGCCCCTGGGGCGGTGCCGAGCCCTGCTGTTGCGGTGTCTGTGCCGCATGCTCGGCAAATGCCGTGGCCAATTCGGAGAAGAGGACAATGACAATCGACGTGGAGTTGGTGAGGAAGTCGAGGAATGCGTCGGCGGGGCGTTTGCGGCTGAGGTGGTTCGAGACCGACACGAGAAACGAGGTAAGGACGCGCCGACAGGACAGCGGGAACGACTGGTCAGATGGCACAATGGGCTGGTACCACCACTTGACATAGTCGCGGACAACCGCCTCGACGAGGCCGTTCAGTGCTTGGCGGGTCTCGGGGCGGAAATTCTCAAAGGCGCGGCCGAGGGCCAGGTCTTCCTGGACAGGGTCAAAGGCAGCCTCGGGGCCCACGTTCTCGCCGCTGACCTCGGCGCCGTTCTTCTGGTCCTTTCTGCGGTATTCAATGACCCGGGCGAGCAGGTCCGAGCTGGCCTCCCCACGGATAGCACGGGTGACGTCGGGATTGCGTGCTTCCCATGCCACAAAAAGGGCAATGCCGCCAAATGCGCCGATCAGGACGAGGCCCACGCGGCCGAGCACAAAGTAGGTCGTTGCAGCGAGGCCGACGCCGACGGCACTGAGAGACTCAACAGTCGCCGTAGAGAGGAACCGGAAGATCCGGGTAGGGATGTCGTCGTCGGAGGCTGTGCTTCCTGGCTTCGTGTTCGGCGATGGGGACTGTGGAGAGTTTGGCAACGGCGAGGGAGGAGCGGAGGGCGATGGGGCCGCGAGGTTGGGTCGTTGTGGGAGTGGCGGCGAGGATACTGGAGAGAGGCCAGAGGGCGAAGAAGAAGCGGCAAAGGTTGGCGAAGCAGAATCGAGCGACAGGTCTCGATCCGGGTCGTTCACGCTGGTCTTGCGATCGTCCATGGCGGTGACGAGACAGAGTGCATCTTCCTGCCTCGACGGCGAAGCAGGGCAAGGCGGGAGGGCGCCGCTGTCGTGTGTCGTTCGTATATGGAGTGATTACTCGCAAGTCTGGATCTGTGCGTCGAGTTGGTGGACACGGCTGGATAGGCGGTAAAAATGGAAGCGTAATTGAGGCCAACGAAAAAGTTGGTGATAATGCTGAAGACAGCAAAACAAATGGCAAATGTGCTCAGAAGAAAGGAGAACAATACAAGAAAGGCAATACGATGTAACAAGCCAGGGACAAGATGCTAGCAACAACAAACTGCGAAATGAGGACGGCCAAGAAGACCAGGGAGAGTGAGAGCTGACAGGGGGTCTGGGGCGCTGCTGTGGGTAAAAATAATGATGTGCGTTGCCCCCCGTGTTTCGAAGCCCGAACGGGAGAATTGGCGATTCCTTGGGACTTTTTGTGGGAGCTTGGGTCCTTCCATTGCCTACTTCGTACATTCGTACTTGTTTCCCCTTTTGCGAACAAGCCCGGGGTCCGGAAAGAGCGAAGGGTGTGAGCAAACCTTGACTTGTTTCCATCGCACTTGCCTGAGATGTTAGAGTGGGCTTCGTATGTCTTACATGTGGCAGGCGCAGGTTCAGACCACCTGCCCAACTTACCCACTTGCGGCGAGTCGTGCTTTCCCACAACCTGCAATAGATTCGCTGATTCAAGAGCGCTCTGGGCAGGACCCAATGACGGGCAGATACGCGCAACAGCCCGTAACAGCTTCATGATTAGGCCACTCGCACGGCGCTACAACGTATCTTACAGTACTTGCCTATTTCGGGCAGAGCGACCCCGTATTGCTGCGCGATGACAGCGCACGAAAGTCCCCAGACGGACAACTGCACCACAGAAAGACACACAGACACCCGCTTCACTTCTGAAGCAGGCGGAGGAAACAGACGATCCCTGGCTCGGATCCTCTCATCTCCAGTCGCATTCCGTGAATCGTTTGACAACGTCTGCCGGCAATCGGGGAGATCCTGTCACAAAATGGAGCCCAGAAGCCATCACGGGTGCTACAGTGTGCATTTACTGTGTGAATAGTTTGCACTGTCTGACGGTCGCAAAAGGGCAAGAGCGTTCAACATAAGGCTCTCCAAGCAAAAAGTACGACTCTCTACGACATATATAAACAGCAGCCGGCTTTCGCCAGGCAACAATTCAAACTTGCTCGCTTATTGTCGTCTATGGTGCCGCTGGCTCATGCGGATAGGGCTCGCTGGGGCTCTGTAATATTGTTGAACCAATATCTGACGAACTTTTCATTTAGGAAAATTTACGATAATGAAAATAATATGGCATCCCGATACAGTGTCAGAATACAGTGCATATAATTGCTAGGGGCGGTCGTGCTTCTTTCGCGTCACGCCCGCATTCCATCGATAGCGCGCTCACTGAGCCCACCCCGCTAAAGATACGGAATACAGCACATAATTGCCAGGCACAGCGGGCACCAGTGTACTACTCAGCACATGCTGTGCTAGGTTCCACAGCGTTCATTATCGCCCTATATCGACTAAATGCAGCAAATGTCGCCTCCCGTCCATTATTACCCGCCACAGCCGCAGGGACCGCAAAAAAGGAGGCAGCTGCCAGAGCCTGGGGTCTGCCAATAGCGCCTCCCAGCATAGTGAGCCTGCCTCCTGCTCCTTCGGTCCTGCTCCCGCTGCTTCCCCGCCCGCTGCCCTGTCCATCGTGGCTTCCCCCACCGCCGTCTCAATTCCGAACCTGCCCTTCCACCAACCAGTCGCCACCCTTTCATCCCAATTCGCATCGTATCCCAAGTGGGTAACAAATCCCCTTCTGCCCTCAATTTGCCTGCCCACCATCGCACCTTTGCACCGAATCCGAAGACGTCCTCCGATTACGCTGTCTACGGTGGCCGGTACCCCGACCCAACAAGCAAACAGCCACGATCCTGCTCGCCCCGCGTTTCTCGCCCACACTCGCACCCCCCCGGCCCTACGTTCCAAGACACGGACCACACACAAAACGGCAATCCACTTTCCACATTCCACCTCCACAGCGTCAACAACCCGAGGCAACACAAGCACAAGCATACTCCGCCGCTGCATCGACGCCTCGCTGAAACGCCCTCGGCGAACGATAAAAATCAACGCATCAACGCTGACCAGCGGCAATCAGCAAACGCCGGCTGCCACATCTCGCCACAGACTCGTGCCGTCCGTCGCCGCGCGTTGTGATCATGGGCCCCAGCCGGCTCGAAGACGAGGAGCTGTCCATCTCGCTGCCACGTAATCAGAGCCGCCGGTCGCACGCCGCGCTCGCCGCGGCTGGCCAGGGTGGACACGCCGCACCGCCCACCATCAACGTCGTCGACCATGGCGCATCACCAGCACAAGGGGGCGCCGCGGAGGCGGCGGGTGCTGGTGCTGGTGCCGGCACGGGCTCTGGCAAGAGCAAGGGCAAGTCCGGCTCGCACCATCTGCCCGACCGCATCAAGTCGACCGATGCGCGGCTCGACCAGTACAATGTCGTGCGCACGCTGGGCGAGGGCTCGTTCGGCAAGGTCAAGCTGGCCATCCACAAGTCCACGGGCCAGAAGGTGGCCCTCAAGATCATTTCTCGCAAGAAGCTCATCAGCCGCGACATGACGGGCCGCGTGGAGCGCGAGATTGAGTTTCTGCAGCTGCTGCGGCACCCCCACATTATCAAGCTGTACACCGTTATTAAAGATTCCAACGACATCATCATGGTGTTGGAGTACGCCGGCAGCGAGCTGTTCGACTACATTGTCAAGAAGGGCCGCATGGCCGAGCCCGAGGCGCGCCGCTTCTTCCAGCAGATGCTGTGTGCTGTCGAGTACTGCCACCGCTACCGTGTGGTGCACCGTGACCTCAAGCCCGAGAATCTGCTGCTCGACGACAAGCTCAACGTCAAGATTGCCGATTTCGGCCTCAGCAACATTATGACCGACGGCAACTTTTTGAAGACGAGCTGCGGCAGCCCCAACTATGCTGCGCCCGAGGTCATCAACGGCAAGCTGTACGCCGGCCCCGAGGTGGACGTCTGGAGCTGCGGTGTCATCTTGTATGTGCTGCTCGTCGGACGCCTGCCCTTTGACGACGACCACATCCCCAGCCTGTTCGCCAAGATCGCCAAGGGCGCATACATCCTGCCGTCGTGGATGAGCGCCGGCGCCGCTACCTTGATCAAGAAGATGCTCGTTGTCAACCCCGTGCAGCGGGCCACCATCGACGAGATCCGCCAGGACCCGTGGTTCCTGGTGGACCTGCCCGACTACCTCCGCCCGCCCGCACAGCCCTTCTTCAACACGGGCATCGACCCAGAAAAGTCCATCAAGACGAGCGACATTGCCCCCAACGCGTCCACCAAGGTGCAAGAGAAGCTGCACAACGAAGTCACGGACAAGATTTCCAAGACCATGGGCTACGGCAAGAAGGACGTACAAGAAGCCCTCGAGGCCGACGAGCCATCGGCCATCAAGGACGCCTACATGATTGTTCGCGAGAACAAGTTGATGCAGATCAACCGTGAGTTTCCAAAAGACGCTCGGAAGAGAGCACGGCACACAGAAAGACATGGGAGCATACTGACAGTACGCGATAGCCAATTTTGGTGCCGACAACCCGTACTTTGCGACATCGCCAACATCGGGCAGCAGCTCCGGGTCCAACTCCATTGCAGCCGTGGTGTCCGGCAGCGGCGAGCTCGACCCAGGCTCCAGCCCGCTCGGTATGTCCTCCGGCCGCTCGATCGGCTCCAACAGCACCGGCAACTCGCCACGGCCGTACGTATCAAAAGTGGGTGTGCTGCCGAGCAGTTTGCCTGCCTACCACAAGGACTACATGGCTGGTAACATCAACGCCGATGTGGTTCCTGCACCCAACGACGCGCCGCCTGCGCCCGCGCGCACGCTGGCCGAGCAAGAGGAAACAGCCCGCCGGCTGCGGCCCCACTCGCGCAGCCAGATCCGGCTCGACGAGTCCAGCAAACGCCCGCAGGGCATGACACCCGTCAACCCGCCCAAAAAATCCAAACCCGTGCGGTGGCAGTTTGGTATCCGCTCACGCAACGTCGCCTGGGACGCCCTGCTGTGCATCTACAAGGCGTTAAATCGTCTAGGCTGCAGCTGGGTTGTTGACGAGGACTTTGACAAGTACAACGACGACGAGGGAGGGTATGTTGCACCCTTTCCTTCCTCTCTCTCTCTCTCTCTTTCTCGCTCTTCTTTTTCAATGACTAACATTCTGTAGCAGCACAAGGGGCGGCGATGACAGCTACGACGACGGCTACGGCGGCTCTCTGCGGCGCAGTAGCCGCGACGACGTCACCAAGAAATACCGCCTGCCCGCCGACCCGTGGCACATCCAGGTGCGCTGGACTACCGAGGGCATCCGCCAGTCCGCCGTCAAAAACAACGCCGCAAGCGCCGAGGACGTTGCCGCGGACAAGACCACGGTTAACAAGACGGACGACGACAGCCAATACCAGGTCGTGGCCGTGCGCCTCGACATCCAGATCTATGCTATGGAGCCGTCTGTGTACCTGGTCGATTTCAAGTGCAACGGATACGAGACTGCCGAGGGCTTTAGTCTCGAGGAGAAGGAAGTGTCGAGCGCGTTTCCCTTCTTGGACCTGGTGGCAAAGCTGATTCTGATGCTGGCAGACGGCGAATAGGCTGGCACTTGCTCTTAGCCGTCCCTGCGTTTCCCAGCATGGCGTTGCACCGTCCGCCCTTTACAGTTCTATTTTAATCTTTTTATTTTCATGCTCTCATCCCGTTTAGACTAGACTTGCGTTTTGTCGTTGTTTGATTGGTTTTCTTTTCACCTGCTGCTGCTCGGATGGCATATTTCGACGGAGAAGGTGACGTGGTGCTTGCTATTGCTTTACGCGTCATTTGACGGGAGAGAGATTGGCCTTTCTTGTATCACGAATCTCGTTTTTAAATACCCCAGTTAGAAGTGGCCGGGGAGCCGTTTACTGTGCGATTTTCGGTATCGGCGATATATCCAAATGTCAAACATTTTACCAAGTCGTGGTTCCTCTCAGAGGTGGTGCTTTGTTTCAACAGGGTTCATCACGTTTTCGTGTTCCGGCTCATATCAACAACGCTCAATACGTATACTCCCAAAAAGCACTTGCAAGTTTCCAAAACCCCTCAACTCCTTTCCACTGCTCTACGCCCGCTTAATCTCCCACTTCATCCCCTGGATGCTGACCTCCTCACCGGCTTTCTCGTCGTACTCGAACCAGTCGTCCGTCAGGTCGATGCCGGCAAACTTTGTGCTGGAGTCGACACCCTCGGCCAGCCAGTCGCCCTCCGGCTTGAACTCGACAAACTCGAGGCCGCGGCAGTCAAACTCGAGAATGTTCTGCGGCTTGGCCGGCTCAGCCTGCTCGTAGGGCTTGGCACCAGCCTTGATAGAGGCCGTCGATTCTCTCTGTTTGGCGTCAGAACATTGCCATGCCTTTTTTTTTTTGTTTGTTTGTTTGCTTCTAGTCTTCAGCTTACCTTGCAGTTCTTGCACTTCCAGACAAAGTTGGCCTCGCCGCGGCTGCCACTCATTTCATTTTGTTCCTGAGGCTGTCAGTAAAGCCTCAAGCTGTGCTTCCATCCACTCTTCCTCAAAAATTCCGCCCGGAACGGAATCAACGCACAAAACGGCTCACGCCGACCCAGTTGGCATGCGTCTCGCGGCAGGACGTGCACTGGACCTTAAATGTGTACCAGAACGGCACGTCCTCTGTGTCTGCCGGCCGCAGATTTGTCACCCTGGCTACGGTCAGTCGAGTGTCCTGGTATGAATGGGCTTTCTCAACATCCTCGACGCCATGAGATTCGTTTAGTAAAATGCCGTTGCGGCGACAAACATACCCCGCCAACTCCGCCGTCAGTGTGAGGCTAAACATTACGTGCGGAATGAGAGTGCCGTCGTTCGATGCGGATGTGCCGTCGTCTGTAGGTACCGTCGTCGAGATGATATACGAAGGCGGTGTTTTGTCCACGTCTCGTTTCAGCAGCTATCGACTTTGGAGGCTTCCCGCTTAGATGCTCTTTTGTCTGCACCTGCCTCTGAGCTTCGCTAAGACACAAACGTGGAAGGCACGAGGCTAGCGGCACAATTTTAGCGCACTTCTGGCTACGGCCAAACTCGGCAAGAGGCCAGCAGCGTGCTGGGAAGGAGCGCACATTCACAAGCTCAACCCCACACCTTCCCTGCGAGCACACCCTAAGCTCGCTTCCGTTTTAGTGGCATGATCTGAACAAAAACGTGCATCCGTCTCCGACAATACTCGAAGAAAATACGACTCGCACGACACACCTTTCCCCCTCCCCTCCTGGAACCGCCGCCAGCCCGACACTCGTCAATTGGTCTTTGAACCGACCTGACGAGCGAGTCATGCACCCACGATGCGCAATTTACGGTCATGGGCTCCGCAGAGCAGCATCTGCCACAGCTGCAGGCGAGAATGGCTTCGACGCAGCACCGAGCGTCGCGTGCCAGCTGGCCACGTGCCGGCCCGGGGCGTGCGGAGCTTCCACGCAGACGCAATGAGTCGGAGAGCGTCTCCGGGTGGTCTCGTCATGGCGGCATCTCCGTCTGGGACACGCATAACGGGTATTCGTCTCGCCCGGCGAGCGAGGCGAAGGATCGGATCGCATGACAACATTTATGCCGCTTTCTACACCACCATCATGGCCACTGTCGCCGCGGCTGACGCAGAGCGAAAGGTGCGGCAGCGCCGAGATCAGGGGCAGCGTCTCGACGATGCCCGCCAGGAACTGCTGCGCATCCTGCACGACCCGTCGCCGCTGGACTACAACCTGACTAATGGCCTGCCGCCGTCCTCCGTCGATGAATGGCCGCCATCGGACAACCCGACAGTACCTGCACCGACAATCGACAACACACCAACAACAACCTCGCGAAACGCTGTGATTGAGGCTATCAAAGCTATCTGTGTGCCACCCGCCCAATTGCGTCGGCATGCGGCCGATACAAAACAGCGCGAGGCCTATCTGACTTGGCTGCACGCTCAGTTTGGCATCCGGCGGCGCTGGTGGTCACCGCGGCCTGCGTTGGACGCAGGGCTCGAGAACTTGACCGAGGCTCTGCTGGAAGAAGAAATGGCGACGCAACATACCTTGTTAGAAGGCCAGCGCGAGCCGCAAAAGGCCGTACACTTTGCAAAGATGACAGAGGCCACGAACCGCCTTGTCGACAGCCTGATCATCGAGGGCCACCGTATCGGTAGCTTCGACGACCCCGTGGCCCAAAAGAGGTCCATGGAGAGCCTCGAATCGCCCTGGCACGCCATGCGCATGCTGCGCTCCGACGGCTACCCGAGTTTTCGGCTGCCCAACCTCGACCCCGCCGCCACGACTGCCGCCCGCCGCGAAGCCAACGAGGCCGCGCGCAACATCTTCCGGACCTGGTCCCAAGCTCGGATCTACGGTCGTCCCCGCGCTTCGGCATTGCAGATGGCCATGGGACGCACGCAGAACGTGACCCCGGCTGTCTGGAACGCCAAGGAGGTCAAATTCTGGGTTGCCAAGCTGTGCTACAACATGCTCGTCAGCAGCGCACCTCCCGGCATCCACAACTACAACACGCTCATACTGGGCTTTATCAGCGTCGGGCAGCACACGCTGGCGCAGCTCGTTGCTGACTCCTTGTTGTATGACACGCGGCTGCTGCCCACACAGCAAACGCTGGTCTGTCTCCTGCACCAAGCGCGCGCACAGGGTGATCTAGTCGGCTTTCACCGCGTGCTGCGACGCATCGTGGCCCTGGATCCGCGCGGCATCAAGATCCGCCGCCGCGCCACCCCCGACGTCGCCCGCTACGGCCTCCACCGCGAGTGGGCCCGCAACAACGACGTCAACCTGGCTTCGGGCTATGTCGTGCAGCGCGCCGATGTCGACGGTCCCGTGGTCGAGGCCGTCATCTGGGGCTTGCTCTCGCTGGACCAGGTGCGCCACGCGGCCGTGGTCTTTTCCACCTACCTCGACGACTGCACGCACATGGACGCGTCCACGCTCAACTCGGTGCTCGACCCGGTCCTGGACGCCGTGGACATTCCCGGCGCCCGCGTGCTTCTGCGCGGCTTTTCCAAGAACGCCAGCATCGTGAACAGGGTGCTCCTGAGCGAAACGCGCTCGGCGGAAAAGCTGGCGATGCGCATCCGCATCCTACTAGCCATAGCAACCGCGCCCGAGCCCGCACTACAGGCCCAGCCGAAACAAGAGCCTCCGCGGCCGCGCCAACGGCAGGCCGTTGTGACGCATGCCGCATCTGAGGCGGCGGACGACGAGCTACAGGAAACTACGCCGGAGCCGGGGGTAGAGGACGAGGACGAGTATTGGACCGAAGAGGTGGACGACTACGTGGAGCCCGCGTACGACAACATCCCGGAGCTCGCCTACGCAAGGAACCTACGAGCGGACGGCAAGCCGCTATCCAAGTCGCAGATCCGCATGCTTAAGCAGTTTGACGCCGCCACGGCCGCGTCCCGTGAAGTGGATATGGCAGCGGAAGAACAACGACTCGAGAGCCAGCGGTGGCTAGACAGAGCCGCAAAGAATATGCACAATGGCACAGGCTACGGCTACGGCTACGGCTCCGTCTATGGTGGGTACAGCAGTGGCGCCGACCAACTGGCCGCCGCCCTGTTTGTGGCAGAAACAAATGTCTACCTCATGCGCCTGTCCAAAGTCACGGACGCCGTACAAAAAGCCATTGACGCCTACGAAGACGAGTCTGCGCTTGCGGACCGCGCCGACGGCTGGTCGTCGCGCTTGGAAAGTCTGATCAACGTCCCACAGAGGCAGCGGCATGAGCAAGAGCAATACCGCCGCATGGCCCGCCTCAAGGCCGTCGACCAAACCGCCGAAGCCGTGCTCTCGTCGTGCTCTCATATCATGGAGCAGTTTATGGAAACCGTCACGGCCGATCTGGCCGCGACATCCGCTGCCGCGTCTGCTGCCGAGGCGGCTGCCGCGTCCGAAGCCCTGCAAATGAAAACAAACTACTCGTTCCTGTCCATTCTCCGGTCTTTTTTGAACCGCACCGGCTTGCCCTTTGGCGTGCGCTTGGCGGCGTACTTGTCGACTGCGAAGACTTACCAAGCGAACAAGTCTGAAGCCGCGGCCCAGGCTCATGCGGAGGCAGAGGCAAAGGCAGAGGCAAAGGCAGAGGCAGAGGCGGAACAGGCCGGCCATGCCGAGGCGGAGCAGTGGCACGGGGCAGGAGCCGAGGTTGACGCTGGTTGGTCGGACAATGGCTACGACCACAATTACGCTGAAAATTACGACTACGACCCCTATGACGACCCTGAGCGAAACCCCGATCGCGACTCCGGTGAGCAAGCGGTGCCGCCCACGCCACCCTCGCTGCTGCCCTTCTCGCTCTCGCCGTCTCTCGCGCAGCAAACGGCTCTCCTCGAGCGCCATGTAACTGAAGACATGCCCGCTGTCACGTCCCTTTACGAGAACCAGCTCAAGGAGGTCCTGCTGCAGGCCATCTTCCCCATCGCCGACAACAGCCGCAATAGTCTGGAGAAGACCTTTGCGCTGCGACGCGCCGCCCTCGACATGACACTTGAAGCTCTGATGGAGGCCCGCCTGCACCTCATCGAGTACGGTGCCACCATTGTCATGGAAGAAGCGCCAGCCCTGGCAATTACAGATGGAAGTGAGACGCATGCCGACGGCGTGAGCTGCGAGTCAGAGATGGCCGACGAATTTGCAGCCACCGAGTCTACGGGCGGAGGAGATAAGGATGCGTACGGTAACTTTCGAGTAGGCGCCGTCGTACCGAGTTGAGGGCAACTGACAAGCCACATTTTATCGGACGCACGATACCATAGAATATTAGAAGTACTTGCACGACATACATACCGGAATAGAGAGCCACCCCATTCCATGGAGTGGAACCAACACCGGCACATGACGACGATGCACTGGACGTCTTTTCATTTTGACTTTGAATTTGAATTTGCCCCCTCACACCCACCGCTAAGGCTCTTCGTCCCTCAACGAAGGCACGAGGCCCTGCATACACTAGCGTCAGGGACAGTATTGGAAAAAGGACCACGGAAACCCGAAAGTCGGGCAGCCCCTAACCAGAGGCGGCCGGAAGCGGGTAGAGCTTGCGAGCAGCTGGACAAGACGGGGTAACCTGTCAAGGCAGCAAGACCGACCCGAAAGAAACCTGGTGACGCGCTGAGGGCTCTGCCAGCAGCCACAAAACCGGCAGAGCGGCCAGGCCAGCAGCACATTCGAGCTCGTGACCATGGTCAAGTGACAGTTGTGCATTTCCGGCGCTACGAGCAAAGGAAGGGGACGGGGCGTTCCAGACCAGCAGAGAAGACGTGGAAGGGTCGACTCAGTTTCGCGGCTGCTCTTTCCCTTTGCGATTTTGCTTGGCAAAGCTGACGCCCTTCTCTCCTTCCCCCACGAAGCGCGGATAGAGCGGTGTGTTTTTTTTGGGTGTACTTTGTAAGGTATGAAATAAAACGGCTTTGCCGAACGGGAAGGTAGGCACACGACGCATGTCTTCAGTAGGCTAGTGCCGCAGCGAACAGGGTTGACGGTCTGCACGAGGACATTGTGTGCTGTTCTGCAACGAGCCAATGACTTACACGGTTTGTATTTCACATATTCGCGTGCTGCATAAAATCTCTTCTGATAATCGCATGAAGACGCGGCAAATTCTTGCGCCATCCTTCTGGAAGGACTTATCAACGCTCTTTCCCGCTTTGCTTCATGAATGCGCCCTTTCCTAATGGAAAGGCATCGTGTGTCTTGGTGAGCAAAGGGAAGCAGGGAAGGTACAATCCTGGCGAAATTCAGGTTGAGCCAGTGAGGAGCGGGGCCCGATCCACGGGACGCCACTGTGGCGCTCTGACTGGCTGCTGGTGGGGGCAATGTGGAGCCGTGTGGTACAAAGCAACTTTGCACTTTCTAGAAGGGACGAAAAAAAAGCTTTAAATGGCATGTGCGAAAAAGAAACCAGAAATGGAAGTCGTAAAAACACGAGCGGAAGAGATGGAAAGAGGCAGGGGCACCGTTCAGTCAAAGCCGACACCTGCGAACAAAAGGAAGGTGCGCACGAGGTAGGGCACAGGGAGTGTAGTCTTTGACTTTGGTCCTGGCACATCTGCAAAAGCACGAACATCACTAAGAATCCTCAAGCACACAGTAATACTGCTCAGACAAAGACACGGCGTTTGCGGTCTGATGTCAGCATGTTCCATCAAGTGCAGCTCGTAATTTCTATAAGCACACTAACTGCCAGCCGCTGTCCGTCTCTCCTTCCTCCTTTGGCGTCTTGCGCTCCACCTACGATTTCATACTAGCCCATCTATTTTCCCGTGCCTGTCTCGATACCTTCCTTCCGCAAAGGTGCTCGACGTCGCTACCTCGTATTGCTGTCGAGACGCAAAAAAATAAACGGAAAGACCCTTTTAGGACCATATCTGGACCTCCGACCACGGTGCACGAGCGTCGCACCTTCCTTCTCTACTCCCCCCTCAGAAGCGGTATGTTGTCGTGGTCGAGGAAGTCGAGCTCCATCTGCCGTCCCTCCTTCCCCCGATTCACCAGCTTAACCAACCAACCAGAACGTCGCATCCAAGCAGCTGCCACGACCCCAAACGTCGTCTTGCAGCTCGTCCGTCCCGCGTTCTTCTGTTTTGCTATCAAGCTCCGTCCCCCGACTTCGCCGCTCCTTGTGTTTGCTAGTCCTTTTTAAAATCTGTTTTGACATTTTGGCGTTTGACATTTGACATTTTGACATTTCATTTTTATCTTGGTTCGGCATCTCTCCGCTCCTTACTTCATGGCGAGCAGGTTTTGGCAACGTATCTGCCTCCAGACGACCGGCTTCTCCTGATACTCGCACGAGTACCTGCAAAGGACCTCTCGCCATTCTTTATCTCACGATCTGGGAGAGCTTCTCGAAAGAGCTGCTCTGCCCGCCTCTTGTTGAAACTCGACTGCGCTCGTCAATCCGCTGCGCATCATCAAAACAACAACCCCCTCTTTATCGAGCAACAACCGAAAGAAACCGGCGCCATGAAGTTCGGGAGAAAGTAAGTCTTGTGCCTCTGGCGACTCTCTTGTGCACTTACTCGACAAGACACTGACGCACGTGCAGCCTCCCTCGAAACCAGGTGCCCGAGTGGGCATCCTCGTACATCGACTACAAGGGCCTCAAGAAGCTCATCAGATCGGCTTCGGAAACGGCAGAAAGAGGAGAAACTGCGGATCTTGCAGGTGGGACTCCCCTTGCGCTCCATTGCGTTACATGACAGTCGTTCTTCGCTCCTTGGCCAGCAGTTGCGGCTCAGACATCATTGGCCTCGAGTTGTGGCTCACTCCGACGTGTATTCCCCATCGTGTATTCCCAGAGTCTCGACGTATCTCTCTCTGCCTGCTTTATTTTCGTTTCTGCATTGCCTCCCCTGGACACCCAGGGCACCCTCTGTTCCCACACTCTGCCCGCGCTCTTTGGGACCGACTATCGGGGCCATAGCCTAACGTATATTTTTTTTGGTTCCTTCTCCTCTTTGGCGAATATAGAATTCTTCTTCGCCCTGGACCGCAACCTCGAGGATGTCGACTCTTTCTACAACAAAAAATTCGCCGATATCGACCGCCGGCTCCGCCTCCTTCAAGGCCGTTATGGCACATCGCCCGACGTGGCCGCCAATCTCGACCAGGACGAGATCGAAGAGCTGATGGGGGCCCTGCTCGAACTGCGCAGCCAGCTGCGCAACTTGCAGTGGTTTGGCGAAATCAACCGGCGAGGCTTCGTCAAGATCACCAAAAAGCTGGACAAGAAGGTGCCCAACACCACCACCCAGCACCGCTACATTGCCACCAAGGTCGACCCCTGCCCGTTTGCACGCGACACAACCATTGCGCGTGTTATGGCCAGGGTCAATCGCTGGCTCCTGGCGCTCGGTGATGCCAACCAGGTCGACGACGCCCGCTCGGAGCGCTCCGTCCACTCACTCGGCCGTGCTTCGACAAAAGCAATGTTGAACTTGTCCAGCGCCGTCCTTGAACAGCTGAACCAAGCCATTCAAACCGACGACGTCAAGAGCCTGGAAGCTGGTCTCCGCGAGAGCCATCTTCTAGACTTGGGCGAGGGCCCTCCAGCCGAGACCAAGGCTCCCGCGCTGGAGAGATCGTATTCGGCATCCTCGTCCTCATCCACGATGCCCTCTTTAACGTCAGCAGCGTCATCCCACAGCCTGCTCCTCAACCTCCTGCAGCGTGCCATTTCCGTCCGCTCGAAGGAGACCATTCGCTACTTGCTCAGCCACATACCGTCACTGGACGAGCCTGACGATATCAACCAGCGCACTTGCATTCACCGGCTTGTCATCCACATTGGCCGAAGCAAATCTACGCCCCCTGAGACAGTGCAGCAGGATACAACCAGTCCGGCGAACCCAAAGTCGCACATCAACCACTACTCCACCCAGTTCGTCACACCGGCGACGTCTCCGATGCCCGTCCCTCGCGCAAGCTCCACAAACGAGGCCCGGCCGCTCGAGGCCGGTGACCCGCGTGTTCAGCTCCTCACCTTCCTCCTGGACAACCTCAGCCCCGCCCAGCGCCTCTCGCTCAGCGCCCGCGACTCGTTCGGGCGCATGCCTCTTCATTACGCCGCGCAGTTTGGCTTTGTTGTCGTGTGCCAGACGCTCATGTCTCGCATGCAATTGTGGGGTCAATACAATGTGGCGAACGGCATCGATTCGCCAGAGTGGCAGGACAATGAGGGCTACACGCCGTTGCACCTCAGCGTGATTGGCGGCCACCCCTTGACCACCAAGGCCCTGCTCGACAGCGAGGATTGGCAAGGTGTGAGTGAGCACAAGAGCGCGGTTCGGAAGACAATGGTCAAGTCCAGCGCGGTGCTTGCCATTGCTACAAAGCACAACCACTTCAGAATTGTGCAGATGCTTGTCGACGCGGGCGTCGACCTGAACTGGCAGGACGAAATCGGCGAGACCGCCCTGCACATCGCGGCGCGCTTTGGCCATGACGAATGCGCCAAAATCCTCCTCAAAGGAAGCGAGACGCAAAAGGCGGATCTGGAGCTCGCAGAAAAGTCCTATGCCTGGACAGCGCTTCACATTGCCGCCGTGGATGGCCATATCGGGGTCGCTCGCCTTGTCGTGGAGGCAGGGGCTGACGTCGACAAGGCCGATTCCTCCGGCTGGACTGCTCGGGAGCACGCAGCCCTGCGCGGCCACCTGGACATTGCACGGCTCCTGCTGCAGCACTCCCGGGCGCCGCCGGGAACAGAGGCATCTGTAGATGGAGCTGCCAGCGGCACGTCATCCAACGGCACGCCGCCGACCGCGGATCCAACCCCGAACCCCACACCCGCGCCTCTTGGTGCGGCAGCGCCGTTGTCGTCGGCACCACCCTCGTTAAGCACGTCGCCGGACAAGCACTCGTCCCTCGGCGATCGCCGGTCGAATGGGGCATCGCGACTGGCTTCGGCCCATGATGCAGCCCCGCCACCACAGCCCGTTCGCACGTACGGCCATCGTTATCTCACCGACGAATCGCTGGTCCTGGTCAGCCTGGGCTCCATGGATATGCGCAAGTCTGTTGAGGCAGTCAAACTGGACGATGTTCCGCTCACCGAAGCGCACCAGACGCAGCTTGACACGGCCTTGTCCGTTGTGGTGTCGGCCGTGGGAGCCACGGGCGAGCCGTCGGTGATTGACCTCCCTGTCCAGGAGAATATCTCGACGGAGCCGATTGTGTTCACAACGCGCAACCCCAGCGGCGTGAGATTCCAATTCGACATTGTCCCGACGTACTCTGGCAACGAGAAAAACAGAATTGGCCGCGGCGTTGCGCTCCTGGCACCGCTGCTTCCGGACCCGCATGCGTCGCTGTCTGGCCTGCAGAGGGACGTCTCTGTGCCGATCCAGTCGGCCGATTTCGACGTGATTGGCAAAGTGAACTTCAACTTTTTGGTGGTGACGCCCTTCACGCACCCCAAAATGGGTGTGCGATCGGAGCAGACGTACTGGAAGAAGGTGTCGTCGACGCCCATGGTCATTGGCCACCGCGGCCTCGGCAAAAACTCGTCGTCCAACCGGTCGCTGCAGCTCGGCGAGAACACCGTACCGTCGTTTATTGCGGCGGCCAACCTAGGCGCCAATTACGTCGAGTTTGACGTGCAACTCACCAAAGACCATGTGCCGGTGATCTACCACGACTTTTTGGTCAGTGAGACCGGCCTGGACGTGCCCGTGCACACACTGACGCTGGACCAATTCTTGCACATTAACGGCGGAAATGACCGCAGCAGCAAGAACAGCGGCGGCCGCACCAGCAGCGGCCATGCCGACGGCGTTAAAAAGGGGGACGGCGCAGCGGATGCCGGCGGGGCATCTGGGTCTCGACCCCAGGCTGCTGTTGTGGCCGAGACTGCCAGCGGTACTCTGGCGGTCGTCGGCGGTGGAGCTGGTGGTGGTGGCGTCCCTACCGTACACTTTGACACCAGCGTGGTTGATGCTCGCAGCCACAGCAAGGGCGATCGCAAGAACGGGTACCGCCTGCCTCGCCGGGCCATGTCGATGTCGATGGATGACTCGTTGGAGAAGCGCGACAATCTCAACGAGCGCATGAAGCACACGCGCGACTTCAAGGCCAAAGGCTTCAAGGCCAACTCGCGCGGCAACTTCATCCAGGCGCCGTTTGCGACGCTGGAAGACCTGTTCAAGCAGCTGCCTCCGTCGGTGGGCTTCAACATTGAGATGAAGTACCCCATGTTCCACGAGTCCCAGGAGCAAGGGATGGAGCCGTCGGCCGTCGAGCTCAACATCTTTTGCGACACGGTCTTGAAGACGGTCTACGACTTGGCCAACGGCCGCGACATTATCTTTTCGTCGTTCAACCCCGACATTTGTCTCTGCCTGTCGTCCAAGCAGCCCAACTTCCCGATCCTGTTTCTGACCGACGCAGGCGGCGCGCCCGTGGGCGACATCCGCGCAAGCAGCCTGCAGGAGGCCATCCGGTTTACGCGGCGCTGGAAGCTGCTGGGCCTCGTCAGCCTCGCGGACCCGTTCGTCATCAGCCCCCGGCTGGTGCGCGTGGTCAAGCAGAACGGGCTCGTCTGCGTCAGCTACGGCGCCGTGAACAACCAGCCCGAGATGGTGGAGGTTCGTAATCTGCCCCGCGTGCCTCGTATTCCCCTTTTACGTTGTATAGTGTTGGTGCCCGACGACATACTGACAGAAACAGCGCCAAGTCAAAGAAGGCATCGACGCCGTCATTGTGGACAGCGTGCTGGCCATTCGCAAGGGCCTGACAAAGGAGGAGGCAACGACGTCCAGTGTCGTCGTTGGCGACGACGTCGCTGAGTCAACTGATGTATCCGGCACGAAGTCGGAGTAAGAGCGGAAAGAAAGGAAAGAAAGGAAAGAAAAACCAAAGGAGAAGAAGATGTCATCCACCTGCAGCGATGTTTTGTTCACATTTAGGCCGCGAGGCTTGCTCTCGCATTTGGACAGCAATTGACTGACGACTAAACTCGTCAATGTTTCCACGCTCAACAACGTTCCACGCGACCAAGCAGCACACTTGTACCTCTCACCGCTCACCTCGGATTTGCGACCGTCCGTTCGGGCGTTGAGAGGCTAAATGCTGAGAGGCTGTGCCGGGGCTATTCTCATTGCAACTAACAAAAACGCTTTTTTTTTTTTTGCCTGTGGCCTGTAGGGGTGGTCTGCCGCCTCGTGTCGTCCTCCAGCGAGCTTGTTGTTCATCTTGAGATGGCCCATTGACGTGCGCGTCACGACAGACGATGCGCAAAAGCAGCGACAGTGTCGTGACAACGTCGCATTGTAGCCGCATTGCTGCCGTTTTGCGCATCTTTTGCGCATGTTTTGCGCATCTTTTGCGTGCTGTCGCCTTCGACACCTCATCCAGTAAAATACAGTGGTCGGGCGGTATCTCGCAGCGATTGTGCGCCACCAATCAGTGGCCGTCTCTGGTCTATTTTCGACCACAATCTGGCCACGCCGAAAAAAGACTTGGTGGCGGGGCGGCCTCCTGCCCTCGACAACGTCCGATTGCTTTGTTTCTGTGTCCCCAACAGGGAAGCTAAGGTACCTGTCGTCAACGAGACCCGCCGTTTCGGCCAGATCAAAGCACCTAGAACTGCAAGAGCTGCGGAGCGTAGGAAGCCAAGACGAATGTTGTAAACAGCCAGTCGTTCCTTCTCTCACCTCGTCCCCGTGCGTGAGTCGCTCCTGGCTTGTCTGGTGCGGCTCCTGCCCCCTCCTCCTCGCCTTCGCCTTCTCCTTCTTTCCCCTTGCGTGTTGTAGTTTATTGACAGTGGTTCTCTGTTTCCTTTGCTATCGTCCCCGTTCCTCCCCAATCTTTGGTCACCGTCCGCTTCCTTCCTGTGTTGGGCTGTCTGCTGCGGCACGCGCCTGCCTTAGCCCGGCCTAGAATTATAAGGAAAGTCACTGCCCCCGCCCGCATCAATTCGTGCCTGCCCCTCTGCCACAACAATAAGCTCCATCTTCCCACCCACCACCGTATCAGCCGGTGGTACCTGCTCCCGACGGTCTCTCGAGCCAATTCGCCAGAGCTTCCTCGTCACTTCCTGCCTCCCTTCTCCTTTGCCCTTGTTTCTCGCCTTTCTCTTGTTTCTTTCTCGTCCTTCTTCTTTATCCCTCCTCTACTCTCGTCACCGCCAATCCGAAGCGTCGCTCGCGATCCAGCAATCACACCACCCAACTCTGTCCCCCGCCTCCTCTTATCCTCTCCTCCTCTCCTCCACAATCAACATGGGCGGCCCCGCGTCCCCCGGCGGCGGCGCCGGTCCCTCGTTTGCCCCTCCGCCATTGCCTGCGGGCTGGATCGCGCAATGGGACAGCAGCAGCAGAAAGTACTACTTTGTGCAGTTGTCGACGGGTGTGTCGCAATGGGACACGCCGACCGACGCCGCGCCGGTGGGCGGCGGCACGCCCACGCCCAGCCATGCCGGCAACGACCACCCCTTTGGCATGCCCAACGGCGTCAACGGCGTCAAAGACAGCAACGGATCGACGTACATTACGCACGCCGACGGTTCTCAGACGATCCGGCACGCCGACGGCCGCATGGAGCCGGTCATGCCGAACGAGGAGGGCGGCACGCGGGGCGTCGACGGCCCTACCGGCGATCGCGGACTTGGGGTGAGTTTTGTGCCGACGCCACGTACTCCACAGCATGAGGTACGCTTTTGCCTAACCTGTATCTTCTCTTCGTCTAGTCCTTCGCAGTAAACATGCTCCAGAGCCAACTATCCCATGGCGGCAGCGGCAGTGGCAGTGGGAGCGGTGGAAATATGCTTGGCCAGCTGATCGGTGGCATCACGCACTCGGGCGGATCCAACAGCGGCGGCGGCAGTCATGGCGGAGGTGGCAGTGGCAGCAGTGGGCTCGGCGGCAAGCTCGTTGGCCAGCTCGCGTCCAACCTCTTCTCGCCCAACAGCAAGCCCGCGCCGCAGAACTACCACGGCAACCAACAGGCGCACACAAGCAACACGGGCGGTCTAGCGGGCGCCATGATGGGCGGTGTTGCCACTATGTTTGGCGGCAGCCACGGCCCGCAGAGCCAAGGCCAGAACCAGGGCTATGGCTACTCGGGTGCAGGACAGACCGGCACCTACTCGGGCACCGCACCACCGACGTCGTATCAGGCGACCACCCACACGCCGCAGTACAACACACCCGGCGGCGCGTCGTCCAACAATGGGGCGCCGTCCTACCAGCCGCCGCCTCCCAATAGCGGCAGCGGCGGCGGCAGTGGAGGCGCACCATCGTATCAGCCACCCAACTCTGGCGCACCGTCCTATGCACCTCCCCCGACTTCGGCCACCGGCCAGCCGCCTTCATCACAGTACCCGCCGTACGGCGGCCAGCCACCACCACAGCAGCAGCACCAACACCAACCGCCACCTGCTTCACAATACCAACAGTACAACCCACAACAACAAACACCTCAATCCTACCCGCCACCACCCGGACAGCCGCAGCAGCCGCCGCAGCAGCACTCGCCCTACCAGCCACAGCAACAACATCAACAGCAGCAGCCATCTCCCTATGGCAATGTTCCGCTTCCGCCGCCGCCGCCGCAGCAGGGTGGATATGGCGGACCACCGGGTGGCCAGCAAGGCGGTGCTGGTGGAGGGTACGGCGCCCCAGGCTACTTCCCGCCGCCACCGCAGCAGCAACAACAGCAACACCAGCAGCCACCGCAGTATGGTCAGCCGCAATACGCCGGCGGTGGAAGCAGCCAGACGCCATCCTACGGTGGGGCTCCGCCGCCGCAGCACCAGCAAAATATGTACGGACAAAGCGGCGGCGGCGCACCCGGAGGTTATCCAGGGAGCAGCGCACCACGGTACTAGTACACCGGCTATAAGGTGCCCGTTTTCAAAGTCATGAATTGTATTCCGGAGGTGCTGTAGTGCGATGGAAGGAGCGATGCCTTTCTCTTAAACCCCATGTGTTTTACTCTTCTCTTCTTGTAGGCTTTTTTCTCTCGCATTCTAGTTGTCCATTGTCATTTACGCTTTCTTTGTGGAATTTTCTTGTTCTTTTTACTATTATTATCATTCTACGTTCAACATATATCGTAGCTGCTCAACATTGCTTGCTTTGCACCTCATATTTTATCACACATTGTCTCCGCATGTACATTGAGGTTGTACATACCTTACTAAATCACTGCCCTTGTTGCTTTGGAGTGTCATGACTCAGCGCACATCCATTCTCAGAAGTATTTTATATCTTGTGGCGTGACCTCAAGCACAATCAGAAAATATGAACGCGGTACCCGTATCAAGTCACTCTATGAGCGCACTTTGTCACGACCCCGCTGTAGTTTATCATCTATCCTTATTCTGCGCTTTCTGCGCTTTGCGTCCTTTTGTTGGACGTACTCCAGCAGCACCAACAGCACCAGCACCGCCATCGGCAACGGCCCGCAGCTGCGGCAGAATTACGCGCCGCGCCAGCCACGCACTCGCGCCCGCGACAACCACAATCGCCGCCACGACCGGCAGAAGCGAGTGCGGTACCGCATTGAACAGGTACGGATCGAGAATGATGTCTGTGAGCACCGGCGGCACACGGTCCGGGTGCATGGCAGCGCGGTCGGCCGCTACAAAGTCGGCTGCAGCAACGATGCGAAGCAGGGAGGCTGTGGTTGTGGATGTCGTAGATGGCGTAGATGGTGCAGCTTTCGTCCCGGGGCCTCTCTCGACAAATGAGGCCAGCGACGCAGAGAGCGCCGGTGTCGCCGCGACAGTTGCCAGATCAAACACGTCGACGGAAAAGTCGGTAGGTTGCTGGCAGCAGTGTCCGTTAGAAAAGAGTGTCAACAGATAGGCAAGCCCATCGCAAACTCACAGACGCCGCCCAGCAGACGCGAAGCTCGTATCTCTGGCCCCCGGTCAGCTCGTCGAGCAGGAGCCATGTCGTGCCGTTGGTCGGGAAGTTGTCGGCCCAGGGGAACGCAGCGGGCAGGCTGGTCCGCCAGGCATTGCGGTCGGGCGTCAACCGGGGGAGAGAGGAGGCAATGCCGCTCAGCGCGATGCGATCAGCATCACCACCGTCAGGCCGTCGACTCTGGCCGTCGCCCGCCACAAAGACGGCCTTTTCGGTATTGGCAGCGACAAAGACGGCTCCGACCAGCAACGCCAGCCAAAGGCGTGCAACAAGGCGTGCAGCCATGGGGCCGTGGGTGTTGGTGAGTATAAGGGAGACGGTGGAGTGCGTGTGTTGAGAGCTCGCCGTTGTAGGGCGGAAGCTACCATCAGTAGGGATACTTGATAGCGTGTTTAACGCGCTGTGCTTTCAATGGCTCTTTGGCTCATCCGAGACGACCCATAAAACTCACCAGCCACAGCACAGCCACATTCACATGCAAAAGTGAATGTACGTAGTGACTCCACAAATTTCCACTTTTCGCTCCGTTTGGGAGCAGTGCCAATTGGCAGGGAAGAAACCTGGGGCGCCAGAACAACCGTAGACCCGCTTCTGCGCAGGTGCCGTCTGGATGGGCAACTTTCTTGGGGGCATTCCGGGGGCGGATTTGCGCTTTTGGCTCAGTTCTGGTGACGCAAAACGCCAGTTATTCCGCCAAGGGAAGTCACAGGCCAAAAGGTCACGCCTGAGAGCGACTCTGGGTAGACTCCACCAACCCCAAAAGAAGAAAGAACTCAAGCACGACTTGGTCGCCCTTTCTCTCATCCCCCCAATGCTCCAACCTCACCTTCCCATTTTCTCCAGTAATACATTCCAGACTATCTCCTGAATTTCTCTATAGTCACTTGTCTTCTACTCTAATATTTCCAACAACAACAGTCAACCGTTCTTCATCAAGCGCGCCAATCCCGACGTCGACGACAATTCGGTAGAACCGACATGCATACCCGCTCGTAAAGAGCCTCGGCGCTTTTTTACGACAACCGCTCTGCAGCCCACCCATCGCTGCAAGTCACAGTATCAATTGTCACGACTCTCGTGATACTTGTGTTTGGACGACTTCAAACTCCGTCCGAATTCGAATCCGCTTGATCCTTCGATTCTCTCAATCCAACGTGTGCCCCCCCATCTCGAACAACGTCCTCGTCCGGCGCCGCCCATCATGGCTGCCCAGTCCAAGCTGGCGCCCTTGCTGGGCGACCACGAGCGTCGAACACTGCGGAGTCTTCTGTCGTCGTTGACTCGTGGCTACCTCAACAACCGCACACGCATCTCGCGCGCCGTCTATGTGACGCTGTTCCTCGCACTCGTGAACCGCGTGCGGAACGCCATTGCAGAGCAGCGCGCGGCCGGCGAGGCCGAGAAGAAGGACCATGCGTCCGGGCTGGTCGACTCGTCCGCAACCTCCGGCGAGCCCGGCAGTGCCCCCAAGCGCAAAAAGGTCGAGCTCGACCGCGCCTTCTTCCGCTCCCTCTTCCGCCTGCTGCGCATCGTCGTGCCCGGGTGGCGCTCCAAGGAGGCCCGCCTGCTCGTCAGCCACAGCGTGTTCCTGGTCGTGCGCACACTGCTTAGTCTGCAGATCGCTGCCATGGACGGTGCCCTGGTCAAGAGTCTTGTACGCGGCCAGGGAAAGCAGTTCCTGAAGCGCATCGTGTGGTGGATGCTCATCGCCGTGCCGGCCACATTTACCAACTCCATGCTGGCCTACCACCAGGCCGAGCTGGCCCTGCGCTACCGCACGCGCCTGACGCACTTCATCCACGAGCGCTACCTGTCCAACATGACCTTTTACGGCCTGTCTGCGCTGGACGACCGCATCAAGAACCCGGACCAGCTGATTGCGGTCGACGTTGCCAAGTTCTCCAACAGCCTGGCAGAGCTCTACAGCAACCTGGCCAAGCCGATTCTCGACATGGTAAGTCGTGCAGCCCATTCTACGTCCACTATCACCGTATCACCGAGATACGCCAGAAGATTAACGCCTGCCTTCCTAGACAATATATACATACTCGCTGTCCAAGAGCGTCGGCGGCGAGGGCGTCGTGTTCATGTCGCTGCTCGTGCAGCTGTCGGCCATTGCCATGCGCGCCCTGACGCCGCCATTTGGCAAGTACGTCGCCGACGAGGCGCGTCTCGAGGGCGAGTTCCGCTTCCAGCACTCGCGCCTCATCGACCACAGCGAGGAGGTCGCGCTGTACGCGGGCCACTCGGCCGAAAAGGACACCCTGGACAAGGGCTACTTTACGCTGATCAAGCACGTCAACTACATCCTGCGTCAGCGCTTCTACCACGGCTTCATGGAGGACTATGTCATCAAGTACCTCTGGGGCGCCCTCGGCCTGCTGCTCTGCAGCATGCCCGTGTTCGTGCCCATCCCGGGCGTCGGCGGCGCTCCCCTCGCCGCGGCCGCAGGAGGCAGCAGCGCCGCGGCCAAGGCAGGGATGGCGTCGGTTGTGCGGCACATGGCCGACCGCACCGAGAGCTTCGTGACGAACCGCCGCATGCTGCTGTCGGCGTCCGATGCCTTTGGGCGCATCATGTTCTCGTACCGCGAGATCATGGAGCTGGCAGGCTACACGTCGCGCGTCTCTACCCTTCTCGACGTCATGAAGGACGTGCATGACGGCCACTTTGAGAAGAACCTGGTGTCGAGCAACGACAACACCGACGACCATGCCGCTGTCCTCAAGGGCCGCGGCACGGTCGTCGAGAGCGATGTCATTGAGTTTAAGGATGTGTACGTTCTTGTCACCCAAAGTGTTTTCTTTGTTAATTTGTACTACGCTTTTTTGCACGATACTAACCTTGCGACAGCCCCATCATTTCGCCCAACGGCGACGTTCTCGTCCCGGCACTCTCGTTTTGCCTGCGCGCCGGCGACCACCTGCTCGTCGTGGGCCCCAACGGCTGCGGCAAGTCGTCGCTGTTCCGTATCCTGGGCGGCCTGTGGCCCGTCTACGGCGGCTCCGTCCACCGACCGCCGCCCACCGACATCTTCTACATCCCGCAGCGCCCGTACCTGCCGCGCGGCACTCTGCGTCAGCAGATCATCTACCCGGACAGCCTGCGCAACATGCGGTCCAAGGGCGTCTCGGACGCGGACCTCGAGAAGCTGCTGCAGCTTCTGGGCCTCGAGGAGCTGCTGGCCAGCCAGGTCGACAACGGCGGGTGGGACGCGGTCGCCGAGTGGCGCGAGGTCCTGAGTGTTGGCTGGCAGCAGCGCGTGGCCATGGCGCGGCTGCTGTACCACCGGCCGCGCTACGCCATCCTCGACGAGTGCACGTCCAGTGTCACGCTGGAGATGGAAAAGACCATGTACGAGCAGGCCAAGGCCATGGGCGTCACGCTCATGACCGTCAGCCACCGCCGCAGCCTGTGGCAGTACCACAACCACATTCTGCAGTTTGACGGCCAGGGCAAGTACATTTTCACGCGCCTCGACGCAGAGCGCCGCCTGCGCCTGGAGGACGAGAAGGACGACCTCGACCTGCTGCTGCGGCAGGTGCCTGATGCGGAGAAGCGCATGGCCGAGCTGGAGGAGGCCATGGCGTGAGAATGGTGTGTGGTAGATGTAAGAGGTTTTTTTTATTTATTTTGTATAAAAGAGACGTTACAGTTTGTATAGTTTGGAGGGTATTTTCATTTTCATAATATCTGGTAGCGTTATTTATTTGTATAAATTGTTAAATTTCAAGGTGCATCTTTTCAAATTATATACATGTTTTGTAGCCAATAGTCAACTCGTAAGTGCTTTACATTTCAGGAAGCTTGGAAGTCAACTGAATAAGATTAAGTTCTGTGCACTACATTCGCTGACGATTAGTGTACACTTTCGAATTACAGCAGTGCACTCCGGCCCCTGTTGGGTGTCGTTTGGCGGCGTTAGTTCAGTACCGACAATTCTGAACAATCCTTAGCGGTGAGACTTAGTGTGCATTTTGCCGCCAGAATAAATGCTCATCAGAATTCGGCATCAGCCTCTCTCTACTATTCCATCCTCCCCTCATCGACAACCACAAACGCACTCCAAATGACTGTCGCACAACACCTTCACACACCAAAATGGCGGCTGCTACATCTGCACAGCTGCGTTTCCTCACAGACGCGGCGTATTTGATGCGACAGGCGGCGCCGCACACATCCGCCCATCTGATGCGCCGTCGAATCGACTTGGCCCTGACCGCACAAGCACAATCCCAGGCGCCAGGACAGGCAGCGACGGGCGCGTCTGTACCTGTCGCGGCGCTTCCCCAGACGGATGTTCAGCGCCAGCTTGTTTGCGCGAGCTGTGGCCTCGTCCTGATGCCCGGCAGCGACAACACGACACTGACGATCCTGTCCGGGCGGTCCTCGCAAAAGAATAGACGGAAACGGAAGCGGGACGAAAAGACCGGCACGGCTGCGTCTGAGCCGGACAAGAACAAGAAACCCCATGGTCCGGCAGCCGAGCCCCATGCGGGCATTACAAAGGTGTACAAATGCGGTCTCTGCCGCCGAGAGACACGAATTGTCCTGCCACCACCACCACCACTCTCGAAGCAACGAAAGCAGACAAAGCAAACAAAGCGCATGCCCGCAGCTGCAGCCAGGGCCAAAGACGACGACATCAAGCCGGCACCGGCTGCTGCCCAGACTGCGATACCACCGTCAGGAACGCCGAAACCAAGCACGGCGGCAAGGACAGCAGCCGTTCCTCCAGCACCAGCCAAGGCATCATCCAATGCCAGCAGCAAAAAGCGGGCCAAGAACAGAAAGGCCGGGCTTTTGGCCCTCCTCGACAAAAGCCGGAGTTCGGACAGCAGCGGATTGGGTGGCTTGAACCTGAGTTTCGACGATTTTCGCAGGAAATGAAGGGCTATTATACGTCTGGCCGCTGTGCGGCGATTTTTCTCTTTCCTCTTCCACCCAGAAATTGGCCCACATCAGTACATACGTGGGTTTAGCATGGCTTCCGGAAAGGCGTTCTATCTAGTCCGTCCACATCCCCATTCCTGTCCACAAAATACCATGGGACGTCGTCAAACCTGCATCGTGCTACGAGGTCACATCCAAAATTTCCATCCTTGCCGGTCTTCCCACGCGCCCACGCCGACCAGCTCCTCGATGCCGCGCGCGCCGACGGCGCTCTCGAACCGCTCCTGATCAATCTCTTCGCCCTTTTCCCCATCAGGACCGCTGCCAAAGACAGCAGGCCAAAGCACACCCACGCCGTTGGCGCCTAAAATGGCCTCGTACGTCGCAAACCCCTCCGCCGCGCACGCCCGCTCGAGCCCGCGCACCGCTTCCTCTTTGACGTCGGGCCGCAGAACAGTAATGGTGCATCCTCCACCACCGGCTCCTGTGAGCTTGGTCCAGCCCACGTCTGCATCGTTGGCCAGCTTGCAGACGCGCTCGAGGCGCGGGTGGGACACGCCGAGCGCGTCGAGCAGGGCGTGGTTGGCGCGCATCAGCGACCCCAGCTGGTGCATGGCGTCTCCTCCTGTGCTGTCGTCCTGGAAGGTGCCCGGCGACGAGACCAGCGCCAGGGCCGACGTGGTGAGCTGGCCGATGGCGTCCAAGGCGGGCTCGACGACGGCCGGCCGCGTCGTTTTCATCTGCCGCACTTTGTCCACCTGTGCGGCGGTGGAGCGCGGGTGTTTGGTGTCGACAAGGAGCAGCCGCAGCTTTGGGAAGTGGGCGAGCGGCGTGACGGAAGGCGAACGCCCCGCGGGGTGTTTGCAGAACCGCACGGCTTTGCCGCGGGACGAGACTGTGTTGTCCACGCCACTGGGATCTCCATGGATGCAAAGTTCGCCCACAAAAGCCCAGCGGTTGATGCGCTCGATTTGTTCCTCGGCTTCGTTGGCGGGTTGGTCGGGATGCGGGCCGGCCAAGGCGCGCATCTGCAGCAGCAGCGCCGTGCTCAAACAGACGCAGAAGCTGGCACTGCTGCCCAGGCCGCCGCCAACGGGGATCGTCGACCGGAGCGTATACGAGAAGCCGGGGCTGTGGGGGGCGCCCAGGGAAAGGAAGAGGTAGAGGAACGCGGTGGCAGACCGTACGTGGGCCTTGCGCTGCTCCTCGGCAAGATCGTGGGACACGGCCTCTGCGTGCGGTCGGATGGCGTCGAGCAAGTCTGGGTCGAGGGCGTCGACACGATCGTGGTAGAGCATTTTCTTCGCAGGGTGGCTGAAACGGGACCACGGAAGGACGTCAATGGGCCAGGTGTGGTGGAGTCCGATGTCTTTGAAGTTCAAGGTGACAGTGCGCTGGGACTTGGACAGCGTCCGGACCAGGAGGTACGACCGCAGCGAAACGGCGGCGGCGATGGCCGGCTTGTGGTACACCGCCGCATGTTCACCGAAGACGATGGCCTTGGCGGGCGCGGACACCATGAAGATGGGCGCCATGGGCGAGGAATGCTTTCTCTCCATGGCTGCAAATGTCTCGCGGAGCGGTATGAGGACTGTTTGCTGTTTGTGTGCGGGCTGCAGACGAAGGGGGAGATGGAATTTGAGGCTGGAATTATCACTCTACGATTTCAGGAGCTTCTAGGCAGCGATATTATTGGCCAAAGCTGCGAGGCAAGCTGTACGAAATACACGCTGGGGATGTGCACGTTCGACACGCTGTAATTACGGGTTTACAGCGCAGGGCCGGCCCGTTTTGGCTTTACAGCGATAAAGTACGCCCCATGTAGTTAGTCGTTGGTGAAGCTACAAGGCCAAGACACAGGAGGCTCCCGCCGCGGTATTGGAGCTTCACTTTGTAGGGCTGCAGGGGGTCAATAATCTACAAATTTGTTGCCTTTAGAAACATCTTATCTTGTAAAGGTAAGCACCAAAGACATTAAATTTTACTCTTGTATATATCGTGATATGCTATACTTTGTCACGTATTTATTATTTTATTTTATTTTATTTTTGTTTACAAAAGTGGTCATGGTTGAGCTTGAAGGGAGAGTGAAAAATGTTGAAATAAATTAAATGTGCAATATAATCAACGAAACTTATCATCAGTGCCTATATAACTGTCAGAACCGACTGGAGCATAACACGTTTATCCAAGTCGAGTGAAAGCAACAATCACCAAACTCTCCTCCCTGCAGCTTCAGGTGTCTTGACAGATCAAGGTCTGGGGAGTTCGGAGACTGAATCTGCCACTTGTAACTGCACCCTACACTCATACATATTGACCATGCAATGTAAGCTTCATATCCTAGAATTGACGAGTATTCAAGCTGATCATTCGTATTTATGACATATTTGTCCGTACGTGAAATACTACAGCATGGATGGAGGAGGGCGATCAACATCCAGTGCCAGTCGACCGGTCTTGCTATCTATCTACAATGTCAGAGTCTACCTCCCTCGTTCCATTATCGTACATCACCGGAAACATCTCTGTATCGTGGCGTGAAGAACCAAACTTCGAGCCCGTCTGATTCGCATCGGTCAATCGCTATAGGTGCCTATTCTTGCCTATTTGCCTATTCCAGCACTCCGTAGTGACGTAGCGGCTACTCTTACAGCCTAGAACCTTCCGGATGACTCAGGTGGGCCTGGCCGCCTGTCACTGGCCGTTTAGGCCTGCGGCAGCTTCTGAGTGCACGCAGGAACAGGACCGCTAGCGCGTCTTGCAGCTTATAAACCGCCCCGCTGTTTGCACTACAAGGATTTTCGCCGCCTTATCGACTAACACCCCTCCAAAAAAGTCTGCGATAAGGCTTCAAAAGTTGCGAGGCAGCCGAGTCGAGCGCTCCTGCCGGAAACGATCAACTGTGATTCAAGGGCACAAAGAGGATACAATCTGCACCTTCCTGCTCTCGACACAGAAAACGCAGCAAACAACATCTCAAATCCCTGGAGCCACCGCTGTCTCTCTGTCTCTCTGTCTCTCTGCCTCTCTGCCTCTCTGCCTATCTGCCCCTCTGCCTCTCTTTTCCCGCACACCGCACCACATCATGTCTCCCCCCGAGGAAAACATTGTGACTCCCGATCAGATCTTCGAGTCGATCGGCAGCCAGGTCGCCCACGTCGACGGGCCCACCGCCGGCCCCGATGGTGAGGTCGCCGACGCCGAAGCCGACGCCGACGCCGACGATGACGGCCGCGTGGTCGAAGAGATCGAGTCGCTGTGCATGAACTGCCACGAGAACGGCATGACCCGCCTGCTGCTCACCCGCATCCCCTACTTCCGCGAGGTCATTGTCATGTCCTTCCGCTGCGAGCACTGCGGCTTCCAGAACAACGAGATCCAGGCCGCCGGCTCCGTCCAGACCCGCGGCACCCACTACGAGCTGCGCCTGACCGCCCTCGACGACTTCTCGCGCCAGGTCGTCAAGTCCGACACCGCCGTGGCCAAGTTCATCGAGCTCGACATTGAAATCCCCGCCGGCCGCGGCCAGCTGACCAACGTCGAGGGCATGCTGAGCGGCATCGTCGAGGACCTCGAGATGGACCAGGACGCCCGCAAGGCGCAGCAGCCCGACGTCTACGAGAAGCTCAGCGAGGTCATTGTCAAGGCCAAGGCCATGCTCGCTGGCGAGTCCTTCCCCTTCCGCGTCAGCCTCGACGACCCGGCCGGCAACAGCTGGATCGCCCCCGACCTGCACGACGGTGTCGGCAAGTGGGAGAAGCGCGAGTACCTCCGCTCCGCCGAGCAGAACACGGCCCTGGGCCTGGTTGACACCGGTGCCGAGGCCGGCGACAGCGCCACGGCCGGCACCGTCACGTCGTCTACTGGCATGGCTGGCGGCTTGTCCGGCTCGGACGGGGTCATTCCCCTCGGCGGCCAGGGCCGCCTCAGCGAGAACGACGAAATCATCCCTAACGAGGTCTACACGTTCCCCGCAAGCTGCCCGGCGTGCATGCACCCGGCCGTCACCCACATGAAGATGGTCGACATTCCCCACTTCCAGCAGGTCGTCCTCATGTCGACGCTCTGCGACAGCTGCGGTTACCGGTCCAACGACGTTAAGACTGGCGGTGCCATCCCCGCCAAGGGCCGCCGCATCACCCTCAAGGTCGCGTCCGCCGAGGACCTGGCCCGTGACATTCTCAAGAGCGAGAGCTGCGCTCTCGAGTGCCCCGAGCTGAACCTGTCCGTCAACCCGGGCACGCTCGGCGGCCGGTTCACGACGGTCGAGGGCCTGCTCACACAGGTCCGCGGCGACCTGCACAACCAGATTTTCCAGGCCGACGGACCCGCACCCACGCCCACGCCCACTACTGGCGTGACCGCGGCCGGCGTGACGGCCCACCCGCCGCCCGTTTCGAACGAGGGCGGCGACTCTCTTGCTGCCGACGAGCGCACCCGCTGGAATGCCTTCTTCCAGGGCCTCGACGACGCCATTGCCGGCAAGCGACCCTTTTCCATTGTTCTCGAGGACCCCCTGGCGAGCTCCTACGTCCAGAGCCTCGCCGACGACCCGCGCGAGCCCGACGCCCAGATGACCGTGACCGAGTACGACCGGACGGCTGAAGAGGAGGAGGAGCTGGGCATCACCGACATGAAGACGGAGGGCTACGAGGGTGAGGCCGAGGCCAATGCTGCCGCCGCTGCTGCCGATGCCAAGGAGTCGAGCGCGTGAGAAAGGGCACGGAATAAAAATAAAAAAACATAAAAAATTGAAACGGAAAGAATGCTTTCCAATAAATGGTCATGAAAAGGTTGGGCGGGTGGAACAGGCACATGGGACGATTCATTTTTGCGAGTACTTTTATGATTTGCATTTACACACGTGCAGGATTTGGCACAAGTATACCTTTGAGTTACGAGAGACGACAGGCATGTTGCGAGGGGACACCAGTTAGAAAATAAAATGAACGTTTATAAATAAAATCTAAAAGGCTACGAGTACTGATTCCAGTTCGCTAATGCTATGTGTAAATGACTTCCTATGGAAGTGGACAGCGGGACAAAAACATGTACAGAAAGAAGGGGGGAAGAGAACGCTGAGGAAAGGATACTTTGAACCAAAATAACCCAAAATGCTGTAGTCAGTGATAGGCTGATACGCGGAAACACAGGAAACGCAAGAACAAATAGAACCGGCGGTGTCTGTCGACAATTACCGGCGAGACGAGGCTGCCATGAGTCTCCGCTTGCGCTCCTCCTTCTCTGCCTTGAGCCGCCGCTCCAATGCCTCCTGCTCGGCGTCTTCGCGCCGGGCCTGCCGCTCTGCACGCTGCTCTTCCTCGTCAATGTCGGAGAGACCGGCCTCCATGTCCGACTCGTCCTCTTCCTCGTCGCTATCATCGTAGCGGCCGCGGCCGCGGCCACTACCACCGCCATATCCGCCGTAGCGCCCGCCCACAGTCTGCTCTTCGTCCTCGTCCTCGTCGTACTCGATGAAGTCGTCCATCTCGTCGTCGTCGTCGTCGTCGTACCGCGACCGCCGGGGATTGCCAAATGGCATGCGCGGTGCACCGCGGTGGCGTGAGTCGCTGCCGCCCGACCGGCCAGCACCAGCACCAGCACCAGCACCATCTCGACCAGCGGGGCCGGTGCCGGACGAGGAGGACGTTGGTCGTGGCCGGGCGGTGCCCTGGTAGCCCGTCGTCGCTGTGGCGGCCTTCTTGGGCCGCTTCTCTTCTTCCTTGCCGTCAGCAGCGGCCGCACCGGTTTTACGCCGGCCCGCGTTCGAGGCGGATCCAGCACTACCTGTTCCTCTTCCTGTTCCTGCTTTGCCCAGAGGAGGAAGACCATTGCCTCGCCTTGGCCCCGCTGCAGCCGATGCCTTGCTGCCCAGTGGTGGTAGCCGGCCGCCTGGCCGTGGCCGGCCACCTCCGAGGGGCGGCAGGCCAGAACCGCGCTTCGTCACACCGGCACTTGCACGCGACGTCTCCTCGGCCTTGGTCATCATCCGCTCGCGTTTGGTGGGCATCTTTTCCAGTGGCTTGTGCTGGATCTTGCCCATCTGGCCCATGGCGGACTGTGCCGCCTTGGCCCGCTCCATGATTTCCTGGTACGAGCCCCGCTTCGGAGCCTTATTCGCGGACGCTGCCGCTGTGCGTCCCGTGGTGTCTTCATTGCTTGCGCTGCTGCTGGTCGGTCCACTGCGGACGCCACTGTTTGGCAGGGAGGGTCGAGGTGACGATGACGATGCCGATGCAGATGCTGAGGCGCCAGGGCGCTGTGCTGCCGAAGCCGGTTTCGAAGCACTCGTGCTCGGTAGTGGTCGACTCGATACGTTGGGCCGGGATTCGAGAGTCGGGTTGCGTGCTGTGCCTGTATATCCGTTTGGTCCTCCGCTTCGATCCCGGCCGCCCGCGGGCGTCATCGTCGTGGTCGTCGTCCGTGGCAGTTTGTTGGCCTGGCCGTTTGGCACATCGGCATTGGCCTTTCGTTTCGGCGGCAGCGCCGGCGTAGACGGCTTGGAGCCGCCCTCGCCGGATATCTGGGCGAGGAGATCGCTAATCTGGATGCGAGCATGCTGTTAGTCATTCAGGCATTGCTATCACGCCGTCCACGATATGAGCTGTAACAAAGGCGACGTACCATGTTGGAAAAGGTGAACCAATACAAGGAGCAGTCGGGTGTCTTCCCTGCTATGTCGAAATATCCTGCCCGTGACGGCGGTTGGAGAGGGCGGATGGTGAACCTGTACCGTTTGCCTTTTGCCAGCACCGTTAGGCGTCTGTCCGAACAGAGGCAAAGCGACACATTTGAAGGCCTCTCCCACAACGGGTTCTCGAATACAGTCTTGTCGTTGTCGTGCAGATGCGCGCAGGTGAGCCCGGCAGCACGACGAGAGGCTGTGGTCGATACGGAGTCGGGAAAAGACAAGACGAATCTGGTGGCAAAAGTTCGTGAAAAGGGAGACCCGCACCCGTGACGTGCGTTGGAGAAACGAGCGCAGGGAAGGTACGCAAGCGGAAGGCGCGCCAAGTGCTGAATAGCGGCAACACGGAAGGTGGCGTCCACACGGTTTGAAAAGGAAGGAAGGAGCGTTTTGCCGGTTGCGATGGTTGAGCACGAATGATGTCCGGAGTCTATTTAAAGATGCTAGACGTTTTCGCCGTTTGCAGACTTTGAGCTGGTTCTTTTTTGGACGGCTTTGCGTCTCCAAGCGCCAGCGACAGCGGTGCCGTTGGAAATAAGGCGCTTGGCCGTGTACGGCCTGGGGGGCAAATGAATCGGCTTTGGTATTGTCAACCGCCAAAAAAGTCCCACTGTTTGATAGGCGACGCGATTTGCGCTTGGTGATTGGCCGGCGCAGCCCGGGCCGCTAATGGCCCCGTTTTGAGCATAAATGATATGCGCTTGACGTGACTTGACGATATGCATGTATGCGGGCTAGTTGGCTCCCCGCTCGAAATTTAGTCACCTGATGTAGTGGGTCTCTTAGGGCTTCGGCGCAAGGTGCACCAGAACGGGATTGTGTGGGCTGGGGGGTTTGGCAGGCAAAAGCTAAAGAGGGTAGTTTTCGATATTTTTTCTTAGTCGCATTTTGATCTTTTCTTCGACATCCCGCAAAACCATCACCAAACTTCCACCACTTTTTGAGCAAGAAGGTTCAGTCTCCGCCACAAACTTGCGGTTAAATCGATTGAAATCTCGTGTTCTTTCCAACCAACACAACATCTGTACGTCTGCGAACGCTCCATCGCCTGTCTGCGAACATCGCCATCGCGTGTTTCGCGCCTCTCGCTTCTTCTTTCTTCCTTCTTCCTACATCCTTGTCGTCCCGGGACGCCATTTCTAACATTTTCCAGATCAAAATGAAGCACCTCGCAGCTTACCTCCTGCTCACCCTGGGCGGCAACGCCTCCCCCTCTGCCAAGGACATCGAGGCCGTCCTCGAGTCCGTCGGCATTGAGGCCGATGAGGAGCGCCTGAACACGCTCCTGTCGGAGCTCAAGGACAAGGACATCAACGAGCTGATCTCTGAGGGCAGCTCCAAGCTGGCGTCCGTCCCCTCGGGCGGTGCCGCTGCCGCTGCCTCGGGCGGTGCCGCCGCTGGCGGCGCTGCTGCCGCCGACGCCCCGGCCGAGGAGGCCAAGGAGGAGGAGAAGGAGGAGTCTGACGACGACATGGGCTTCGGCCTGTTTGACTAAGCGTTGCGCTCTCTTTCGAGAACTGCTAAGCGTCAAGTTCGCTCCAGCCAAATGTACCGACAACGACCAATACACTCGTCCATGCATTCGAACGAGGAATCTCGAGCACGGCCACCGCACACCCATTTTTCCGAATACACGAGCCGACGGGGCACCGGCGCGTTTTCTTTCACCAACCCCCCACACGGAAACCTGGCGGACTGCTCTCTCTGTCTTGCGTAGAGGGGCTTCTGCCATTTGCAACTGGATCTGGGAAGGAAAACACTGGCGCTTTGACGACATTCTAATTCGGTGGAAAAGAAGATGGCTGCGGCAGCCTTGCTTCATGGGTACATCTGGGGTTCAATCTGCTAGAAAACAAAAATTCAAAAAGTGGAAAGCAACGTGTGGTTAAACGTGAAATGGATGCACAAGTACGACGTAGAGAACGATGTACACAGGGACAGACATTGGCCGCCCCTTCACACATCTCGCCGAAAAGCAACTCCTACTTGGCTCGTGAAAATTCAGGCACTTTGTCTTATCTAATCAGTCACGTGGCCCATTTGCATAAATCTGACTAAGAACGGAAATTGGTACCTGCTATGCCGTTTACCAAAGTGGAGACGCCTGGTTGCTCACGGCAACGAAGTCGACGCGCTGATTGGCTGGACCCATCTACCAAAATAATACTGGGCCCCGTTATGGAGCCGTCCCCCCCAAAACAGAAGCTCTCAATCGAAACAAGTGCACGATGGCACCCGAACCAGGATGCCAGGGCGCCATGCACAATAACAATTACATGCTTGGGTAGGCTCCCGTACGATCCTCTGTTCCCTTTTCTTTTTTTTTCTTTTCCCTTGTTCTCCGCCTCGTTCATGAAACACCTTATTGCCAATCCCTGGCTGCCTCATTCCTACCTTTGTTTTTGCGTTTCGTTGTTTTCGCCTCTTTTCGATTTTCTTTTCGACGAAATCGTTCGCGTAACCTCGACCAGCACCTCTATATCAATATCGATTCTCGCGCCGTTGCCATTTGCCTTTCAAACGGTACTACCATAGGCACCCTTGACGCCATTCCCAACGACGGAGATCCAGCATTGCATCCGCCACCAAAACGACATCGCGAGCATATCATCATAGCCACGCGTATTGACATCTGACATCACCAACCCCTCGCCAACACCACAATGGCCACGGTGTCGCCCACACCCGCCGGCCAGGGGAGCCAGTTCACCTCGATGGGCCGCCGGACATCGGCTCGCCAGGCCTTGCGGCGCCCACCGTCGCGCTCGCAGATGAGCGGTGCCGCATCGGGTACGGCCTCGAAACGGACCTCGAACGCGGCGGCCGCCGGCGCTGCAACAGCGGCATCCGACTCGCAGCAGCAGCAGTACGCGGCACTGCACGACAGCTCGGATGACGAGATGCCAATTCCCATGAAGCTGAGCGCCCTCACCAAGGCGCTTCTGAGTGACGGGGCATCGGCTCCTGAAGGCACGGCGGCAGCAGCGGCAGCGGCAGCAGCACAAGAAGCGGCGGCGGCGACAGCGGCAGCGTCGTCAACAGGCACCGGTATGGCGACACGGCGAAGGAGTGCCCTGAACCGTTCAACATCGTCTACCGCAGGCGCCGAAACAGACGGCAGCAGCCAGCTCCCGTCACAGAACGACCGTCCAGGCGTGCGGCAGACAAGACGCCATGTTCGTGCTGGCAGTGTCCAGGCATCGGGCGGCGCTCCCTCGTCTGCATCGCGGCCGACCTCGCCGCCCACACTCCTGAGTGGCAACAGCAGTCCTGCACCGCGCAAGCGCGTCGTCCGTCTCAGTACCACTACGCCTGCCGGCGGCATGGGCCCTGTCCAGCCGCCCATCCGTCGGTCGCTGTCGGCATCCAAACACGCAACGCGACGCGGAACAGCCGCCGCGGCCGAGGAGAGGGGCGCTGAGTTGCCTCCTGCAGCTGCGGCTGTCTCGTCAATCGATGCCGTCATGTCGACTGCAGCACCGCCTGCCGCGCCTGCTGAGACCATCAACACACCTGCATCGGCCGTTCGTCGTGTGCAGATCGCCGTCGGCTCATCCGGCGGCCGGAGCGCCAGCCGTGCCACGCGTCTTTCCACGTCGTCGTCATCGTCGGCACTCCGGACCACCCGCCGTACCGAGTCGGCTGCTGGGCACCACAGCGACGCGGAGCAAGCCGCGCCGTCCCATGAGGAGCCTCCATCTACCGTCGGGCGTCCGTCGTCGCAGCATCAGCAACAGATGGGCAGCGCCCTGCGGTCGTACGCGGGCGGCAGTGGTTCGTCGGCCGGCACAACGGCTCGCAGTGGCAGCCGCGACATCGATCCCCAGCAGGCCCTCCAGAGCTCCATGCGTATCAAGCGTGTGGGCAAATCCCTGGGCGGTGGATTCCTGAGTGGCCCTGCGCGACGGGGCCGGAGACGGACGAGCGACGAGGAGGGCGAGGGCCACGGTCCTGAGGACATGCTGCAGCCACACCATGACAGCGACGCCGGCGGCCTGCTCATGTCGAGCCAAGAGAGCGAGGCAAACGCCATGTACAGCAGCCAAGGCGCGCACAGCGGCAGCGGCAGCGCCTCCCGGTCGCCGTACTTTGATCCTTATGCGCGAGGCGACCGTGCTGCAACGGGCAGCCCTGTGAGCGGCAGGACATCGTCTGCCCAGCGTGCAAGCAGTCTTCGCAGCCACGCGTCAAACGTCGATCTGCAGCAGCAGCAGCAGCAGCAACCGGAGATGATGCAATACGAGCCTAAGCAGCGATACGAGGCACCTGCTCCGCAGCAAGAGCCGGAGCAGCCAGACCTTGGCCTTTTGCGCCGACGATCATACCGTGCCGAGGACATTGCGACAGCAGCACCACCACCCAAGGCAGCACCACCACCACCTCCGCCTGTGTCGTCGAATCGGCCCAACTTGCCGTCTGCGCACGACCAAGAAAACGACCTCGCCTACCTGGGCCGCTCGGTCAAGCCTCTGGTTGTGTCCGGTATTGCCGGCCTTGGCGACAAGGAGTACAACGTGAACCAGATCCGCCCCCTGCGCGCAGCTCTGCAGCCGGCCGTGGCCGACGTGAAGCTGCCGTCTGTGTCTGCCGCTAAGGCGACCAGCGCCGCCGCAGCACCACCCGTCGTGTCACCCGAGCGCAAGGTTCTCTCGACAATCAGCCGCAACACGCCGCACCGGTCCGCACCGCCACCGCCACCACCGAAGATGTCCGTGCTCGAGACGGCAACAGGCGCCCCGGCTGGCGCTGCGGCTACGGCCCAGGCTGGCAAGAAGCCGCGGATCCTGCTCAAGGTCAACGGCCGCTCGTACCAGCGCGTAGACTGCGTGGGCCGCGGCGGCAGCGGAAAGGTCTACAAAGTGACGGCCGAGAACGGCAAGATGTTTGCCATGAAGCGCGTGTCGCTCGAAAACGCCGACGAGTCGACAATCCGTGGCTTCATGGGCGAGATCGACCTCCTGAAGAAGCTGTCGGGCGTGGACCGTGTGATTCAGCTGTTTGACTTTGAGATGAACAAGGAGAAGCAGATGCTGAGTTTGGTGAGTCTTCCCCCCCCGTGCCAACGTTCTTCCCATGCCCTCGTACGCCGACTAACTTTCCACGTGCGTAGCTTATGGAGCTTGGTGAGATGGACCTCAACTCACTTCTGCGGCTGCGCCAAAACCCCGAGAGCGCCAAGATGGACCCCGTGTTCGTGCGCTTCTACTGGAAGGAGATGCTGGAGTGCCTGCAGGCCGTCCATGTACACGACATTGTGCACTCTGACCTGAAGCCGGCCAACTTTGTGCTCGTCCAGGGCCGCCTCAAGCTGATCGACTTTGGCATTGCCAACGCCATCCAGACGGAGATGACGGTCAATGTGCACCGCGAGACGCAGGTCGGCACGCCCAGCTATATGTCGCCCGAGTCGCTGATGGACGCCCAGCAGTACGCCTTCACAGCGAACCACCACGGCGCCGGCGGCCGACCCGGCGTGGGCGGCTTTTTGGGCGCCCCCAAGAGCGCCACCAAGCTTGTGAAGCTCGGCAAGCCCAGCGACGTCTGGAGCCTGGGCTGCATCCTCTACCAAATGGTGTACGGCCTGCCGCCGTTTGGCCACATCCAGAACCAGATGGCCCGCTGCCAGGCTATCATCACCTGGACGCACACCATCGACTTCCCGGCGCGCGGTATGGGCGGCACGCCGGTGCCGCCGAGCCTGATCAACACGATGAAGCGCTGCCTCAACCGCGAGCAGCAGCTGCGCCCGACCTGCGACGAACTGCTGTCGCCCATGGATACCTTCCTGTTCCCCGAGGCCCAGTACATGAGCATCGGCGGCGGCGCCGAGTGCATGCCCATCTCCGAGGAGCTTCTGGGCCGCATCATCCAGAGCGTCGTCACCCGCTGCCGCGAGCGCATGCCCACCGATGCCGAGGCTGTTTCGGCCTGGCCGGCTGCCTACTGGTCGAGCGTGCGGCGAGCCGTGGCTGCGCGGGAAGAGAAGCAGCAGTAATGCTGGCGAAAAGCATGCTGGCGAAAAGCATGCTGGCGAAAAGCGCGCTGGAGACAGCTGCGCACAACACAAAATCCCCACCTCCTTGGATTGAATGATATACTGCGTAATTTGTTTCGGGCTCTTTTCTGGTTCTTGGTCACAAAAGAATGGCGTTCCTGCGAGAGTTTCAAAGCGGACCATTTGCATTTCATTGACGTTCTTTTGCATCTGCTTCACTTATGGGCCTTTCTCTTTTTTTCCTTTCTTTTCAGGGCGCACCCATACATTATATCCCTCCTACTTCTTTTTACTTTTGCTCTTTTTTCTGCTTTTGTCTTTTGGTTCTTTTTTTCTTGGAAACGACTTCACTTTTTTTGTATATATCGTTGCTGTTTCGTTTTGCGATGCCTTTCGTCCTCTTTTTGTTTAATCACCTTACGAATCAAGTCCTTTTCTGTTTGTTCCTCGCACTACTCGTCTTTTTGTTCGCCTTGGTTGTGATTCTTTTATTCTCATCCACTCTATCGTAAATACTGTACAAGATGCCATCCGCTGCAAACCAATGATGCTGCCTATGCCTCCGCCTCCACAGACACCTCCTGGATCCGCAGCACCGTAAACTGGTGCTTGCTCTTCACCGTCCGCTTCCGCCGCGTCCGCCGCTTCTTCTTCACCATTGTCCGCAGCGGCTCCGTCTCTACACCCAGCACCACGGCCTTGACACTCGCACCAGGCACATACGGCACGTCAAACGACTCGCCGTTGCTGCTGTTGTTGCTGGTGTTGTCGCGGCCGGCTTCTGCAGTCCCGGCTGACACAGTTTGCGACGTGCTCGCCGCCACCGCCGTCACCGTCCGGTTGCCCACCACGCCCACACGGTTCAGCAGCAGCTCGTCGCCCGGCTGCACGCCCGGCATCTTGAACGGCAGGCGCAGGCTGTCGCCCGGCGTGACGAGGTACGGCCGGCCGTGTATCTGCACGGTGGCGTAGACGGACGGGTGGTTGGACGTGACGGAGGCCACGGCGGCGGCGGTCGACGGCGTTGCGGACGAGGAGGAGGAGGAGGAGGACGACGACGACACTGGTGATGGTGCCGAGGAGGGCGCAAAGAGAATCTGAGAGAGGACCGACGTGGGAAGAGCGGGTGCCGCACCGGTCGAGGAGGAGGTTGACGAGGTCGAGGGAGAAGAAGAAGAAGAGGAGGAGGAGGATGAAACAGTCGGCTCGTTGTGTGAAGACCGGCGGGTCGAGGTGGAGAAAGACTGTGTTGCCGCGGTGTTTGCAACGGCCGGCAGCCGCAATGGTAGAGCAGCGGCCTGGGGGAACGGAGACACTGCCACCTGCCGGCCGGAACCGCCAGCGCCGCGGGCTGAGGTGAGCGCACTGCGGAAAGCAGCGCGCAGCGTGGGTTGCGAACGCATCGTTTTGCCGTTCTGTGTCGTCCTGGGTGCGTCGTCTTTCTGGCCCCTAGAGACTCAATTGGAGACCGCAGAATTGCCACTGCTGCCGGGTATGTATCGGTCGATCAGACAAGCGGTCTGCAAGTTGTAGCGGGACGCCGTGGTCGTCAAACACGCGACAGGATGAGGCGGTGCGTTAGGACAATCGGTCGGTTCGAGAAAAAACAGACGATCGCAGGGGAAAATTTGGAGCATGCCGGGTACCCACTTTTTACAAGGGAACATTAGCTAGGAAGTCGTGACTGGTCACGTGTTACTTCTGGTTCCACTTCACGAGGCCGGCAAGTGGAAGAAGGTTAAAATATCCTGCAAGCATGTAAACACAGACGCCCTGGGATTTCGAATTTACCCCGTGTAACTTATGATTTCGGGTTTGGTAAATAAGGTGGTGCGTTTTGACGAACGCAGTGTTGCTGGATGTGGCTCTCTTGTATCACGGCATCTAGAGTTGTCAACTAAACCAGCCAACCACAGGCGCTGAAAAAAGCCACTGCCGCGACCCAATACACAAAGCGTCGTAGAATATCATTCTCACAAGGGGAAGTCGCACGTCGTCCTACAACTTGCTTGTTTTTGTCTGTTTTCTGGTCACGCTCGTACATTCCGAAGTTGACATCACAAGAACAGCAACATCCCTTTTTTTTCTTTTTCTTTTTTGGATAAAAAGAGGTTTAGTGACTTACGTACCAGGAACGCTTTGTTCGCGCAAGTAAATATGATAGAATAACAAATGCTAGGGATGAATAAGAATGCTAGAATGACACTGTTGCAGCTTTCAGAAGAAGTAAAGAGTAAATCAGTCGCTCACAGGCGCGGAACAGGAAGCCAACAAGCCCAAGAGTGGATCAACACAAGCCACCAAACAAGGATCCTCAAATATCAGACAGCAACCCTCACATATTTACCTTTCCTCCCTAGTCCACCGATGGCATATATAGAGTGATAGGGTATAATAGTAGAGATGCAAAATAAACATACGGTAACAATGAGCAGGGTCAAGTAAGAAAAGCAGTGCTATGTAGTGCCAAAATTCCAGATATTGCAAATCAAATGGGTAATAGACAGAAAGAAACGACAAAAGGACAAAAGGACGAAAAAGACAAAAGAAACATCGGTCTCGAGAAGTGGTATTAAGAATCAAATAGTGTGGGTGGCGACCACAGCTGATCAAAGGCCAAAAGGACAAAAGGTAAATTGGACAAAGAATCAAAAGAGAACCGAGAAGATGTCAAAAAAGGAAAAAGGCAAAAAGAAGGGAGATGGATACATGGATCGGGACGATCACGTTTTAGAAAAAGGTCGGCTTCGTGAGAACGCGGTATTCAACATAGTCTTCGCCGTCAATCGACAGAATCGTGCCGGGGCTCACCAGCTTGCCCTTAAAGGGACCCGTCGGTTTGCGCTCATACTTGACGCCCATGTAGATCTTGGTGTCTTCGTTGCCGGTGCTGCGCAGCCGCGACGCCTCCTGCGACGCCCAGACCTTGTTAAGGCGGCCGATGTTCTCGTCGAAGGCCTGGCGACTGCTCTTACCGCCGCTTTCGTCGGCGCTGCTACCACCACCTGCACTACCGCCACCGTTCGTCGCTGCCTGAATACCGTTGTGGTGGCTGCCGGCCCGTTGCTCGTTGCGCTGCTGGATGCTCTCCATACGCGTGATCTCACGACGGGCGAGACTGTTAGTGCGCTCCACGCGATCGGTATTATCACCAACAAGCTGAGGCCGGTTCGCTGACAGGCCGGGCCCAGCGGGAAGAGAGTGCCGACCGCCACGGGGTGCAAGCGGGTTGGCCGACCCAACGCCACCAGGCGCAGCGGAAATCGACGCCGGGACCGCTGGCTCGCGGATGTCAAGGGTGGAGCGGCGGCTCTGGCGCAGCTCCGGACCCGAACTCTCGCGTCGGGCACGGCCGTCCAGGACGCCATCTGGATAGGAGGACGGCACCACGCCGTTCTTGTCCAAAGTAAGGTCACCACCAGTCCTGGCGAGCTCGTGACGGTCAACAATGCGACCCGCTTCCCGATTAAGGTTGGCCGCAGTGGCAAAACTGATAGTATCAAGTCGGCCAGAGGTGCCCAGGGTGCTTTGCGCAGCACCGCCTGCGTTGATAACACGGGCCTGGGCATCGTACACGGCATTTGCCTCGTTGGCGGTGCGCTCACTAGGCTTCTCGCCTTCGTCGATCTGACGCTGACGCACACGGACGTATTCCTTAACCTCGGGGCGGGACAGATGCCGGATGTGATTTTCGAACTCGACCTCGTCGTAATGGATCCACAGAGCGCCGGCGCCCTGTGGAAAGTTGCCGAGAACCGGTCGGCCGTCGCGCGTCTCGCGCGTCACTTTGACACGGAACATGTCGTTGGCACCGAGGATGCCAAAGACAGCGTGCTTGTCTTCGACTTTCTCCTCGCTCGAGCCGCGCCAGTAGCCCAACAGAATCTTGGTGGGCCGTGTGCCAGGCAGAAGGTCAATGGCAGACCTCTGGATGGCGGACGCCACGGAGGCCGACCCGATTTGCGCCAGGTGGCCGTTGGAGGGCAACGGGGCGTCGAGCGCGCTTGGGCCCGGGTCCATGGATGGCAAGGAAACACCGTAGTGGCTGCCCATACGCCGCTTCTTATCCGGACGGTTCGCGTTGACGACATAATCTGGTAGATCAACGCCGTATGCAATCTGGGCGGGTGGCTGGTTGTCAGGAATTGGGTGCATGGCCGCGCGACGCATCGCTTCCTTGACAGCGGCCTTTTCGGCCAGATCACTCTCCTCGGGTGTCTCAGGCACGCTAAGCGCATCGGTGCGAATTTTGACATACTCCTTGACCTGATTGTGGTCAAGGCCGATCAGGTGCTTCTCGAAGACGACGCGCTCGAATGTCACCCAGCTGCCACCGGGGCCCGGTGGGAGGGGGTACTCGGATGAGATAGGCTGACCGATACGGGTGAACTGGATGACCCGGGTGCGCAGCCGGTCGCGCGTGTCAATGAAACCAACGACTGCATGGCGCTCGGACACGTCAGGCACACTGGAGTCGCGCCAATAGCCGAGGGCAATGGATTTGGCGTTTGTCGTCGGCGCTTGAGGTGCTGCTGGCTGTGTTGTCTTGGGCGTCCGGCGCCACGCTTCAAAGTGCGTGGTTTCGTGCGATGGGGGACTGCGGTCTCTGCTGTCGTCGGCGGTATCGTTGTAGATAGACGATCGTTTCCGCTTGAGGTACAGGTCTGGGGACCGGTCCCGGGCGTCATCCATAGACAGGTCCTCATGGTCAGACGCGACACGGACGGGAGACGAATGAAAACCGTTGGATTGGGTATCGACAACAATCTCATCCTCGTATGCGCGGGCCGGAAAGTGGCCGTTGGTGTCCATTAGAGGCCGGTCACCGTTAGTGGTGAGTGGGCGCGACGTGACAGAGTTAATAGGATCCCCGGACGGGTCCCGGACGCCTCTGTCGGCCGCAGGCAACTTTTCTCGATGGTCTGATGGTGCGCTACATAAGAGGCAATGGAGATCAAATATTAGTCACGTGTCGTACCGAGCCTTTGTTTGACAATGAAAGATTCAAAAAAGGGTACAAGTGCCAAACGAAAAACAAAATAAAGGAAGGGGATTGGACTGGTTGCAGAGGCGGAGTATGTGAGCTCCCACTCAAATCACATATACGTTCACTCCTAAAAGTGAGACCGAGAACCAACGCCGAGGAGATCAGCAATGATATAAGAAATAACAGCCCAGCTAGAGAGAACAACACCAGCCCACTTGGTTTACCAATACGCCAACGGAGAATTAGGGAGACACGTCAGGCTTGGGGTGTGTGAGGTGACAAGAAAGTTGGCCTGAGATTCAAGATGAGTTGCGATTTGGACGAAGCAACGGCGCGGGGACAAAAATCGCTGCGAGAGGGAGAAAGGCAGCAAGGCACAAAACCCAACGTACACCTGATGGGAAATGGGAGGGAGGGGGGGGGCTTAGAACCAAAGTGAATAAGCCAAGAGACAAAGCCGGCACCTCGCCGTTGGCAATCCAAAGCCAGGTTGCACAAGTAAAAACACGTGTGGTGGGTAAATGCGAGGTTGGATGAAGCGGTTGAGAGATAAATATAGCAGACGCGGGAAGTCTCGAGGGCAGAGGCAAGGGGAGAGAGGACACCGAAAAGTAGCATGAGGTTTAAAAGTAAAAGGGTAAAACGAGAAGAACGGGACAGCGAAAGAAAATAGAAAATTAGGCAGGGTTGTGCAGAATCGGTTGAATAAAGTAGCAGGCGTTACGTTACGCACGTAACATGAAAAGGGCGGTTGGACACCAAAGCGACAACTCGTGCAACTTAAGCATACGATGGGAATAAAGAAGCGAATAGCAAAAGAGACAAATAATGAGTGCGAAGGAAAAAGAACGGCGGGTAGGAGCAGAAAGGTAACAGGCAGAAGTTGACAACCAAAGAGACACGACAAGCGGCAAAGAGGAGAAAAAAGTGGAACTCATCGTGGATGGGTAGGCAAAGGAGGGTGTTGTGTTAGAGTGGTTGCATTGGCACGCAATGGACGTCAAGTGACGGCAACCGTGAACCAGAGGCTTCGAGATAGGGGGGTGGAGGAGTTGCTGAGTCCAGCGTCTAGACAGCGTGTCTGCTTGTAGCTCCTCCAGCTCCTCGAACCTGCAACCCAAAGGGTAAATGAGGATAAATGGGGGCTAAATGAACTGTGATGAAGTAGATTCTGATGGCGGTCATTCGGTAGGCGCGAAGGTCGTTCTGTTCTGTGCAGTGGAGTGCATGAGAGCAAACGGCGAAAGAGAATGGTCTGTGCATGCCTTTCGTTTATGAGGACATTTCCACTTGGGGCGACATGAATTATGAGGCCTTATCAAGCTCATGATTGCAGCACGACAACGCGTCAAAACGACTTTGGAGAAGACGATCGGGATGCGGGCAAGGCGAGAAACATGACATGATGAACAAAAACAACCATAAACAAAATGCAAAGATGTGAAATGAAGTACATACCCAGACACGTAGGCTGTCGATGTCCGTCTCGGAAAGCCGGGGATGAGGCCTGTGGAGGCGGCCAGGTCGGCCGGTGCAGCCGACGGTAGCGGACGACGCACCTTAGGCGGCGGCGAGGGCACCGGCGACGGCTGTTGCTGCTGACCGCGAGATACGACTGGTGGCAGCTCAGCGGATGGTTGGGTGTGCTGGTTTTGCTGGGCTTGCAGGACTGGCTGAGATGGCTGCGCTGGCTGAGCAGTCGGCGGTGGCGGCGGGGACAAGCCCGAAGCATGAATTGTGCTCTCTCCAAAGTCCCTGTCCTTTTTGGCGGGTGACGCCGAGCCCGAGTGAGCAACCGATGCACGGCGTCCAGCAAGGGCAGCGATGGCGTCGAACGCAAGATCGGACTGGTTGGCCGCAACAGCCGGAGCAGTCGCAGCAGCCGGGGTCACAGTTGGCGAGGCTGTCGTGTTGCGCACACGCGCGACCACCTCGGAGTCCATGAGGCCGTCGGACACCCGGGGGGCGTGAAACGAGGAATGGCGATATCCGGGTCGTCAGGGATGTTGATATCTATGTTGATGTGAAAGGGGCCAAGCTTGAGGGCTTGGGGATCTGTTGGAAGGGAAGGGACGTTGCAAGACAGCACAAGGCAGAAGGCAAGGAGGCAGCAAGGAAGTTGCGCCCCCAAAAAGAAAAAGGGTGTAAGCTATGGAAGGGGCTTTTTGTTGACAACAAGACAGGAGAGAGCGAAACGAAGAAAACGAGCAGGAACGAACGAGCGAGCGAGGGGACGAAAGGGAAGGGGGGTATCAAAGAAGGAACAGGTGCCGGGCAGGCAGGGACGATGGACTGGTTGCTCGCGAGGCCTGCCGCCGTATGGACTCGACTCTGCCTGATTAAAATGGATATAATTGTGGAACAAGGTTAAAAATACTAAAAAGAAAGCAAGGATGGTAAAGAACAGCAGAGGCGCATACAACGTACGTTGGGCGCACGATGTATGTTGTATTTTGCAACGGGAAGAACGAGAGCCCGTTGGACCACAAAGGGAAGAGCGGGAAGATACCTCTTTGCGAAGAAGGCAGGGGGTGACGGGCGGGCTAGGGGAGTTGGTTGAGAAAGAGAAGTGGAGGAAATACGAAATTAGGCGTCTGTTTTGGTTGTCAATTATCATTAAGAATTTACCTTGGGGGGGTGGGGGGTGATCTAGGCCAGGTCATGTGTTCTGAATGGCCAGTAGTTAGGCCAAGCCAGCAACAGCAATGGTGTCGAATAGGGGCCGCGAAAGTGGGTGGGCACCAGAAAGCCCGCAAACTACAAAAAAGGAAAGAGCGGTGTTGCGAAACATCGAATTGGGAAACAACAATGGTACGGTGTTGGCAAACATACGTGCAACACGACGCGACAAGAGCAGACCACAGGCTGCTTCCAAATCAAGTGTAGGGAAGGAGACACCAAAAAACGGTGAGCAGGGCGCACAAGAGGGAAGGAGCGATGCAGCAAGCGCGTCGTTGGCGACGGCCGAGAGACACGATGCAGAATGGTCGTATCGGCAAGAGCCCTGTGGACAGAATAGGAAAGAGCGATGGTGCAGAAAACGGCCGATCTGCCCAGCCCGCCCAAGAGCCCAGCGACATGAGGTGAGAATGAGAATGAGAGATACAAAGGCACGCATTGCTAATACGAGCTTGTCAAGAGAGCGCTCTGTAGAACGGTCCTGCGGCTGCCGGACCGTGCATCTCTGGGCCCTTTTCGCGCCGTGGTGGAATGCAATACGCGAAGCGCAGCAGGACTTCGTTTCTTCCACTCGTGGTGCTCTCATCTCAGTGAAACGAACGTAGAATACGACAAAGTTGGTGGCTTGGTACTGTGTCTTGCGGTCTTTCCTCGTCGCAGCGGTCTCACTCCGAATTTAGGAAGCACGGAAGCCGTGTCTGTTGGTTCGGGAAGGCTGCCAGCCGAAGGACAAAAATAGGCAAGAGCGATGGCAAGCGGCGAAGGGGAAAGGCGGGAAGCAACGCTGGGCGCGAAACAGCAATAAATGAACATTGTAAACAAAGAAAACGACAGAGCTGCGACGTACGGAGTAAGGCCAAAGACCAAAGAGACGAGACGGCAAGACACGAGAAAGTAAATGAAGTCCCCTCCACGACGAGAAGCCCGTTTACGACGTGATATCCCGCAATCCTCAGTGTCAATTTACGCTGGTGGAAAGGAAGACGAAAAAGGCCCCAAAGAATACAGCCCACCAGGTTTGCGCCGGGTAGGCCTTTCCAAGACGGGCCAGGGGGTTGATGGTATTTGGAAGGGTCGCTATTTCCGAACCTACTCCGTATGCCGTACGGCAAGAGCAGTTTAGCGTTAGTGGCTCGAGACGAGAAGTGACGGTCGTCATGGAAGTCGCGCCTTCCTCAGGATCCTCCATTCCTGATAGGGCCGTCATCAATCGATCACTCCAGGCTTCATTTCCACAAAAACCGAGACGTAAATCCTTCAACCTCGTTGGTTCTACCGGGCCAGCCAGCTCAAGCCTGTCTACCTGTCTACCTGTCTACTTGACTACTTGTCTACAGGCTCACGAAGTCGCCAAGAAACGATATTACGATATTGCCAGAACCCTCACCGCCGTCACCCTCAGCCTGTGACGGTGTAACAGACGACGCTGCCACTTACCACGTTCTCTGTCCATTACTCGTTTCTCCTCTCCTTGTGGAAACGTGGAAACGAACTAAAAGTTGGCTGATTGCCAGTGATGGGAGCAGGTGAGTTGGGTATGTATCTTACGGAGTAGGGTGGCCGCCCTGCAATGTGTGGTTACGCAAGTCTGGTCGTGTCTCGCTGTTTTGTACGTGCAACTGTATTTCGTACCTGTACGATGTACCTCTGTCTCTTTCTGGTGTCTGTGCGGTCCTTTATTGCTGTCCATTTTATGCTTTCCATTTTGTTCTCCGTCTTTGTCTGTCGCCGTTTTCTCTACTTTCTCTACTTTCTCGTTCTTCACCTATGTCGTACATTTTTATCTCTTGATCGTCGCTTGCCGCCCAAGACTTGGCGCCTGGAAACACGGCTCTCGATTGCAACGATGGCAACGATCCAGGCTGCGGCGAGGACAACTCCTTTTCTCATGCGCACGCACGGCCATGCATACTACATAGCCTGGTTGGGTTGTCTCAACTTCCAACGCTTGTCAACTGCTTATTGGACAGACTTACATTAGCTCAATGGGTCACAAGAGACTATGAAAGAGCGGAAGAGGGCAAAGGAAGCTGGACACCACCCTGTGCCAAATAGGCGTGAACCAAAAGAGTGCTGGGCGGCAAATTGAAACGAAAGAAAGGCCAAGTAATTACTATTTCTCGAAAGAGGGCTCCATGAACAGCTCCTGTATGTCGTCCTTTGCGACGATGATACGTGGCTCTCTGTGCTCTCTGTCTATTCAATACTTTGTTCATTTATCCAGGAACGACGTGGTGAGGGAATAATAAACCCGAAAGATGTACAAAATAAATGAAGTGAAGCTCCCAAAAATGGCTCGTTGTCCAAAAACGCCCAATGCAATGCTGTGTTTCGTGAAAAAGTAAAACAATCAATGCAGCACCCAAGCAGCCAGGGCCAGGGCCAGGGTCAGAGGCGACCGACTTTGTCCAAAATATCCAGCCGCCAGGCTCGACACCCTTTTCCCGAAACGTTGACAACTCAGAGCGTGCCCCTGCGCCACCCAATCGTTGCAGTGGGGACACACAGGGAGCCAAGCCAAATTGGCCTGGACCAATGCCCAACGCCCTTTTTTTTTGGTTCTTTTGGTTCTTTTGGTTCTTCCACCTCAGCGGCTGGAAAAAGGCTGAAATAGCCGCCCACGGTAACCCTCTCTCTGGCATGTATTAGTGTGTTTTTGGGAACCCTTGTTCACAACTCTGGGCTTGGCTCTTTTGCTTCGTTCCTCTTGTTGCTGTTGTTGTCGCCTTTTCCCTCTGTGACAGAATCTTGGCCGGCGGCACTCTTAGCATCGCCATTCTTCTTCTTCTTCTTTTGGTTCTTGCCGCCACCCGCCTTGCCCTTGCTGCCGCCGTCGTCCCGGGCGCCTCTGCCGTTGCCGGCAGAAAACCGCCCCGCCGCCACAGCATCGAAGCGTGGCCACAGCGGGTCTGTGCTGAACGTGGTGTCGGAGAAGCGCATGTAGTTGACGAGGCCGTGGTCGACCACGGCCACGAGGACGCAGCGGCGGCCCAGCTTGAGGCGGCGGTAGATGGTAGGCAAGGGGGGGGAGGCAGAGGATTGCTTGGAGGGCGTCGACGACGGTGCCGGTTCGGCCGCAGTGGTGGCGGACTGCGCCGCCAGCCGGCTCCTCTTACTCAGATGTGCCGTGGCGGGCAAGGGAGGCACAGAGGCCAGCAGCTCCGAGACCTGCTCTAGTGTGGGCACGCCCGTGGCGTGCGCGTCGGCCACGGCCATGTAAAAGTCGGGCGGCGGGGGCCGAATCTTGGAAAATGACTTGGATGACGAGGTCGTCGACGTGCCGGACTTCCAGACGTGAAAGACGACGCGGAACGGGTTTTTGGGCCGCTGCGACACGTCCTCTGCCGGAGGACGTGCACCGTATCGATGTGGCCGTATGAGGCGCAACTGCGCATAGATCGGTCGATATGACCGGTAGAGGCCGGGCTGAACCAGCGCCCCGCGAGGGGCATGCTCTCGCAAAGGAAACGACGCAATGGTCGACGAGGGAGAGCTTGGCGACAGTAGAGAAAACAGCCATTGCCACAGGCTCGTCGGGGTTGGTGGACCTGGCGATACTGGTGGCTCTGTTGGTGCGTCCAGTGGAGTCTGGGGATTTGTCTTGACGGCCCGCAGCACCTGGTAGCCGGACCGGCGGAGGTGCGTGTAGACTTGGTAGGTCGGCAGCGGGATGCGGCCGTGCTGGGGATCGTCGTCCGGCCCGATGAGGAGGGCGTATGCCGCCTGCAGACTGAGCGGGATGCCGTGCTCTTCGTCGGCGTCGGTGTCGGTGTCGCCGCGGCCGCCGCGCAGGCCCAAAATCGCCTCCATCTCCCTCAGCGGCCACCACAGCTCCATGGTCCCACGCTCCACCAGGAACAGGGCCTCTTCGGGCAGTAGCCACACGCGGTCGTACCCAGGTCGTGGTGTTGGCTGCTGGTCCTTGGGCAAGGTCGGAATCCATTTGGGCTTGCCCGGGACGGCACCGACCGACGCAAACATGGGCCCTCGGTGGATCTCGACCATGACGACGCGGTGGCGCGTGTGTGCAAAGCGGCGGCGGGTCTCGCCGGCCTCATTGTCCTCGCCGGCCTCGTTGTCTTCATGGTCCCTGTTGCGCTCGGCCGGGCCCCCTTCGTGATCTGCCTCGTCCTCCGGCTCGTCCTGCCAGGCCTCGGGGAAATACCAGCCGCGCACAACGTCGTTGCTACCAGCGTTCTTACCGCCGCCCGCCGTGTAGTGCGTGCGCGTGTGCGCCAGGACCGTCTCCATGACGGCGCGGCTCTGCTCGAGAGCATCGCGCTGGGCGCGTGTGCCGTGTTCTTCAAAGTCCTTTTCGCCCTTGCGGATGGTCTGCGAAGAGATGTGCGGTTTGCGGTTCCGAGCAGGCGTGGGCGTCGCAGAGGGTGCCGACACGCTTGCATCGCCGCTGACATTGGCTCCGACAAACGCAGCAAACGCGCGATAGTCCTGGACCTCGACGCCGCCGTCCTCGTCATCATCGTTGTCGTCGTCCTCGTTGTCGTCGCCGCCGCCGCCGCCGCCTCTCCGAGATGGTCCAGCAGCATTGCGGCGCCTGCCTGGGGGAAGGGCTGCTTCATCATCGTCGTCGCCACCCACCAGCAGAGGGTCCTCGCCCTCGTCCGCTATCGTATCATCCGAGACAGCGACAGGGCTTGAACTGTCGCCGTCCTGTCGTATTTGCGCCGGAGGCATTTGTGAGATTATGTGAGTGTAGGGGCAAAGATGGCGAAAATACAGAGATATAAAATACTATGGGCAAGCGCAAGTCATGGTCGTCGAAAAGTTGTCGTTTCTTTCTTTGGCAAGAACAAGAACTTTATGATTGTGATGTTGTGTTGTGAGTATCAGCTAAAGAATGCCTTTCCATTCAGTGACTGGTAAGGCTTTAGTTCGAAAAGGCGAAAAAAATTACAGCGGGCTACCATCCACTAAGATAGCCTCGGGGGAGCCAGCTGCCCGTCTTTTCATATAAGGCTCCACTTTTGCCCCATACAGAGCCTCACGCCGTCAAAACCTCACAGCCTTCTCAGAACGTCGTGTACCTTGATCAACTTCCTACGCCGTAGAGCTGTAAGTTGATATTACATGGTTTCTATTGGGAGTTGTGCATTCAGGAGGAAGATGAAAGTAACTCCTTCGGAAAGTAAGAATACTGGGCACATGGGCGAGAAAAGCGAGACAAATGATTGGGAATATGGCACAAAATACAAGACAAAATCGGGTCGTAAAACGTCGCCTCTTTGCCAGGCGCGGATCCTTCTCCATCTTGTGCCTGGCAACGCATCACATATCTAGCTGGAATCCCAGCTGCGTCTCCACTGTGCCTTCCGTAGCCTCGCGTGTCCCGTTTCAAGGCTTGACTCCAAAAACACCAAACGGCCTGCCCCATAGTCCCCAAGAACCAGAAAAATAGAATGTATATATGTACGACACATTGTGAAGTAAGAAGATGAAAATGAAGATGATGAAAATGCGCGGCAGAAGTGAATCGAAAATGCCAACGAGGCCAAGAAGCCAAGAAGCCAAGAGGCCAGAACAAGTGGCCAAGACCCGGGCTCGGTCCGTAAGTGGAGGCCTGAGCGGCCGTGTAAATGCGTTCGCTGATATCGTGGTATATAACAAGTCATCAGGAGTTCGCTTCGTTTGGTAGAGCAGATAATCACTGTCTCGCGGGAGGCATGAGAAGCAGTTGCTGCAGCTGTTGTGCCCTCGACGACTGGCTCTGTCGGTGGTCCGTTTCAATCGGGAGGGACAGATCCAGGCCATGCGCAGCATCGGTGCACACGTGCTCGGTTAACGTGCAGCGGTGATGGATTGGGGCTGCTATTGCTGCCGTTATGCCATCGATGGCGAACTCTTCGTCGCCTCGTTGTGAAAATAAAAGGCTGAGAACGAGTGAAGCCTAGCGTGATCGCCGTGCTGCCGGCTGCCGGTTTCACTCGATCAGTGGCTTCTTCTGGCCGGCCACCATGCACAGGCCGAGATGACGGAGCGAGTCGCGGTCGTTGGCGAGGACAATGGTCCGGGCGGGGAGCATAGGGTTGTTGGGGTCGACCTGAGAGGCGTCCTTCGCGGCCTGCTCGATGGCATCCATTTCCTCCTTACAGGCTTGGTGATCGAGAGGGCAGATGACGATGGGTAACCGCAGGGTGATGTCGCGTGCCGAGCTCATTTGGGCCTGAACGTCAGTGGTGTCAGTGGTGTCAGTGGTTGCGGAACGGAAGAGACTGGAATGGACAAGGACAACAAAACAGTACAAGGGAAAGCTACCTTTATTGCCAAAAAGTACTCGACTTTGTAAAGAGTGGACGTGGTTGTAAAGGATGTCACCTCGTACATGGGAAAGGCCGGCTTCCCCCGGCGGATGATGCCGTCGCTGTCGCGCAGGTCGCGTGCCGGGAAGACGAGTCCGAGGTTCGTGACGTAGCCGGCCTCGGGCATTTTTAATTGCACGTTTTGTGTGTGCTTGGCAATCTTGTTGATCTTTTTGGTCGGCTCGTCACCTTCCGGGTTGAACGTGATCTCCTCTTCGATGCCCAGTGTAATCTTCTGGATGGTCACGCGCTTGGCTTTGCTGAGCCAGTCTGGGTTCGGTGCCAGCTTGATGTATACGGTAATGGGGTCGAGCGGACCGTAGCTCCACCGCGGCAGGGAGATGGCCAGCGTCACGATGTTGTCGGCAGCCACGACGCGGTTCTCCTGCTTGTTGTACATGCCGAACGTCGACAGCGTGTCATAGCGCTGCAGTGGGATGGGGAAGGCGTATTTGTTCTGCATGCTGGCTCCTTGCTGGACCGTGACCACGAGCTCGTAGTAGGTTTCGGCGATGCGGCTCGGCAGTTGTAATGAGGCGGGTGGTATGCGACGGTTCGATTCTTCGCCGCCGCGGCCGAATGGGATGAAGAGGACAAAGGGCAAGTCCATGGCGATGACGTTTTCGGACTCTTTTCCCGGCGGACATCGGAAAAGGAGGAGTTCTTTGCCGACGACGTCGGTGGTGTCGCGGCGGGGGGTGCCAAGGTGCTTCTTGGCCATGTTGTCGGCAGCGGGATGAATGGTCTCGCGGCGCTGCAGGCATATTCGCACGAGCGACACGGCCACGGGCATAGAGAAGCCTTGTGACGGACGAATTTCGACCTTGCCTTCGATGCGAGGCTGTGTAGAGCCCGGTTAGTGATGCAACGTCAGGAAAGAGGAGTGCTTGCTTTCTCAGTCTCAGCAAACTTGAAACGCACCAGAGTTGCAGAGATGCCCGGGTAGCCAACAAGGAAGTTGCTGTTGGGCGGGCCCGAGACCCTCACAAAGGCAGCCATGGTGCTCGCGGCCCCCGAGGGTCCAGAGGGTAGCGGCGGCGACGGAAGCGGGCACGGAGGATGCTGGGACAGAGACGGCCGTGCCGTGCGGGACCTGGGTGTGCGACAAGCGCCAGCAGGTAGGAGAGGAGAGGCAGGGAGGGCGAGGGGAAGTCAACAGCAAAAGGAGCTGTGGATGCCGCGGATACCGTGGACGCGGTCGAGGCCGAGAGAAAGAGATCAAGCGGCCTGGATGGCAAAGGCGCGTCGGAGTGAGCGAATGGTCGTCGAAGTGGCGGTCCGTGAGGCTGCGGTGTCGTCGTTTTGTCTGTCGAGCGTCAACCGACGAAAAACTAAAAACGGCACCTCTATTCGCACCCGGTCGACGTCTGTTCTCGTCGCGGCCAGGTCCTGATCGCCTTGTCCGGACGGAGGCGTTGGTGGGTGTGGCTGTGGTGGAGCGATCGGACTCTGGAGTGCGCAAAGTGGCATCGGACGTGGTGCCCAGCGCGGGCGATGGACGGTCGTGGCCGCGTCTGTGGTCGCGCGTGTGGTCGCAGTCGCAGTCGCAGCTGCAGTCGACGTCGCCAGAAAACTGAAACGATCAAAGAAGTTGCGGAAGAAGAAATCAGAATGTCGTCAGATCAGGCTTTCGTCGGAGTCTTGGCTGCTGGCTGACGCTGATCGAGCCTGTTGGCAGGGCGCTGTTTGACGCTGCGGCTGCCACAATGTGGGGTATTGTTTGCGAAACGGGCCAAGTGCTGTTGTTGTCACCGTCCAAGAGGTCGCTCGTCCTTTGCGGTGCGCTGTAGGAGTTGTCCTGTTGTAGAACTAGAGTAATACAACAAAGGCTGTTCCGTTGCATCCAAGAGCGCTAAGCGCCCTGGCAATTTCTCCGTCACTAATTGGCTTGGGCCAGGCGAAACACTCGGTCCGCTGTTTCTGGTGGGACAGTCGGCCTGGTTTTGCGTGGCGTCGACCAGGAGCTGTGGCCTTCAGCGTTGGCGTTGGAGGTCGAGAGTGATTTGAGCGGAGGAGAAGGCAAAACCCAATTGAAATCAGGAAATGAGGATCGAAAATAGAGTCAACAGATGGTGTTGACAGGCAAGGCGGAATGATGCACCGTTTGGGGCAGGCACGACTGTGGTGTGCTGTGAAGTGCTGGTGCTGGTGCAGGCAGGTGCAGCAACAGTATCTTAGTTGGCTGGCCCCCGTGGTGCGGAAGGTGCAATCGTGCAGCGTAGTCTCTCACTATTTTCAACCTCGTTTTCGTCGCTTTGTTTTCTGTGTTTCCTGTTTCCTGTTTCCGGTTTACGTCGTACACATTACCCGTGCCAGTATGTGGGAAAGACGGCCTGTAGCGAACTGCGCCTGCCTGTTTGCCTCTGCAGCTCCTTCCGTCGCGGGCCTCTTTCCTGTCTGACGACGGGCATGCCTGCCTCTTTTGATGTTTGCAGCGGTTCTGCACACCGTTCCTTGCAAGCCGCCCTTTCTTATTTGATGTAATTTTCAAGGGATCGACTCCGGAACCTCCTTCCCCAATCCCACGCTCTCACGCACACTCCACCCGCAAGCCACCCTCTCGCAATACGCCCCTGCCATCCTTCCCATCCATAGGGCTGTTTATCGGTGCAGCGGGCGGCAGAGTTGGCCGACCGCATCAGGTCTCCCATAAGAGTTCCGCGCACACAACGCTCGTCACGCTTTAGCCTTTATACGCTGACAAAACGTTGTCCACCACTCTCCATAAGTTTCCAGAGGACGTGGCCAGGAAACAACACTGACGAGCAGCAACATTGACCCCAGGATGCAGACAGAGTCTGTTGTCGGTTTCATATTATACTGGCGTCTCAAGAAACACCTTTCTGGTGGCGTTGACTCCTCCAGAGTTTGGCTAGTGTTGGTCGACGACCACTGTGAAAACTCGCTTGTTTGACAGTTTTAGTGAGCTCTACCATCCCAACACTTGAGCCTTTACTGCCAGAGAGCCGCAAACTGCGTATTCCGTACAGCTGGACGCACAGTATGGGCAGCTGCGCATCTGCAAAAGGGAGGCCGGCATCGGGTGCTCACTGGACCCTGGGCTCTCTTGACTCTCGTTTTGCGGTGCTCCTGCAGACTTGCCAAACTCACCCCGCCAGCACTCCAGTCAGGGTCCTCACCATTGGGCCACCTGGCCTGGCCGACGTCACATCGTAGCGGCGAAGGCGATGGTGTTGGTAACCCAATGACCGCCCACCCGAACCACCCCAGCCGTCATCAAGCGCTTCGCTCTGTTCCATGTGCACACGTGACCTGCTGTGGAGTTGATCGTGAGCTGGACACATTGACAAGCATCACGAAACTCGGAGCAGGCCATTGTATCTTGTCATCTTCTGTCGTCACTTCTCGTCATTGTTGCAGAGACCATCATCTTGTCACCAAGCCACTGTGCCACTTTCATTCAACTATGTGCGGCTGAAGGAAGCGGGATGGCAACTTGGACTTGGTTTGCTCTCCTCAGCACGCTGGGGCTTAGCTGCAGTCGTGCACTAGCATAAGGCTTTCTCTGGTCTTTTGTGAATTTCTTTGCGAAACACACCCTTGCCAACCCAAATACAACAGATATTCTCGTCTTGGGTTCCCGTAGCATCAACCCGCCGCACCAAATCAAATAATCTTACAACTAAAGGAGAATACGGACTAAGTGGACATTGTCGTGAGATGACGATGACTTTGTCTTTTCGAATGCAGTCCAGAGTACTCTGTCTTATTTTTCGGCACTCGTAGTCCTTCCTCAAGGGCGACCGTAATTATTAAGAATATGGATTTCCTGACATAGATTCTAGATGCCAATGTCGTGGAGGGCAGAGATGAGTTGTGAGTTTGAGAACCATGAATATCAACAAGATACACCGTGCCCAAAGTATTTTGCATATAGTAATGCACTGTGTGTCTTACTCCATCGTACAACACGTGACTATTTAAGGACCAGGGCAATTAAGGGCTCGAAGCCCTTGGCCCCGCCAATGAGAGGCGCGTGGGCTCCTGCCCCAACAACTAGCGTATTTTCTCCCAATTAATTTTTTTTTCGCCTTAGCTTGTCTCTTTCCCAAGTAGTCGATTTTCCTTGCAGCGGGTTTTGCATCGTTACTTTTTTCTCCATTCTCCCATCACGACCACCTCGACAACCACATCACAACCGCCAACATGGGTAAGGGAATGTAAGTATCATACATACGAGCAGAAGGAAGGGCAGGAGAAGAAAGGACGGAGAGAGGGCATTGTCACTGGCCACTGCGGCGAGCGGACGTGGAGGACGGAAATAAAACGAAGCAAAAGAAAGAGAACCAAAAACAAAGGACGACGAGACACATCACGAACATCAACTGACTCTTGCTCTCCCCTCCTTCAGGAAGAAGCACCAGAAGCGCCTTAGCGCGCCCTCGCACTGGCTCCTGGACAAACTGTCCGGTGTCTACGCACCCAAGGCCTCCCCCGGCCCGCACAAGTCCCGCGAGTGCCTGCCGCTCATCATCTTCCTGCGCAACCGCCTCAAGTACGCGCTCAACTTCCGCGAGACGCGCGCCATCCTGCAGCAGCGCCTGATCAAGGTCGACCACAAGGTCCGCACGGACATGACCTACCCCACTGGCTTCATGGACGTCATCGGCATCGAGAAGACGGGCGAGAACTTCCGTCTGATCTACGACACCAAGGGCCGCTTCACCGTCCACCGCATCCAGGAGGAGGAGGCTGAGTACAAGCTCGGCAAGGTCCGCCGCGTCCAGCTCGGCCGCGGTGGCATTCCATTCTTGGTTACGCATGATGCGAGAACGTACGTTTTTTTGTTCCCCCACAAAACAGAAAACGATCTCTTTCTCTGCAATCTATCAGCCGTTGGATCAAGCTTTGGAAGGCCGCTCGACGGGGACGAGGATACGGGCAAAAGAAGGCTCCATTGGCAAAAGAGAGAATGAGCAGAATTGAGAGATGAGATGAGAGGTGAGGCGACAGCCGTCGGCGGCGTCGTTCGAGAGACAGTCATGGGAAAGGGTTGACGAACGGTGGGTAGAGACGCATGGCGACAGAATTGAGAAGGGCAGGGAACTCTTCAGAGGGGCTGCGTGTGCCGTTCGCCGGGGCACGTAGTTTCCTAGGCTGTAGTTTTTTGCACCTGGGGACGGCTAGCATGCAGCTCTGACGGAGAACCCTTTCCTTTTCACTCTGTCGGCAGTGTTCTCTCCGCTGCCTTGGTGGCATACTTTTCTCATCACAGTTCACATACCACGTCTCTCACTCTCTTTCTCTATCTCTTTTATTCTCACACCTTTGGCGGTCCTTCTTTCCCGTCGTCCTGTCCCCAAGAGTGGCTGGAAGGAATGCTTGGAACAGCGGCTGGTAGGTTCTCCCTGGTTCCCTACTTGAAAACTAACATGTTCTCTTTTACAGCATCCGCTACCCTGACCCGGCCATCAAGGTCAACGACACCGTCAAGATCGATCTTGCCACTGGCAAGATCACCGACTTTGTCAAGTTCGACACCGGCGCCCTGGCCATGGTCACCGGCGGCCGCAACATGGGTCGTGTTGGTGTCATCACCCACCGTGAGCGCCACGACGGTGGTTTCAACATTGTCCACCTCAAGGACGCCATCGACAACTCGTTCGCCACCCGTGAGGCCAACGTGTTTGTCATCGGCACGGAGAAGCCGTGGATCTCGCTGCCCAAGGGCCGCGGTGTCAAGCTGTCGATCGCCGAGGAGCGCGACCGCCGGCGCGCCAAGGGCAACTAAGCGTGTCGCTCTCGTTTTGTGACGTCTTAGCTGTGCTTGTTGTGCGTTGCGTGTTCCATGGTGAAGATTGAAATACAAAATTAGGGCGAGGATCGGCGTTGTTTGTTTACGTCTTTGGTCGACTTCTCTGGAAAAAGGTTGGCGATGCCCCCAAAGCCGAGTACGCACATTTCATCTACCTCCTGCTGTAGCTGTCTGCCTCACCCTTTGGGCAAGCCGCGGATCCATTGCTTAGTTATAATGCCCGTGGCCGAAAAGAAGAAAAAAATGCCAAATTTATGAAATCATGATATTTTGTCTACGTGTAAAGTGAAGTGACCCGGAGTGCGCTCTGTCTGGCTTGTCGACGAGGAAGCCGCTCACATACGAGCGCTGCTGTACCTTCCTCTGTCTCTGTACATTGCCTCGGTAGTCGACGATGTTGACGGTGCTTCTTCACCGTCTCTGTTGTCACATCATGCATGGAGCAGGGCATGGGGGTTTCCACGAGGGCAGCAAATCGCTGGCAAACATTATTCTGTTTTCACACATATTACTAAACTGTCTCAGTGTCATCGTACATACTTCATTCAATAGTTTTATTATTCTTTCATTCTTTCATTCCTTCATCCCGCACTGGCCTGGCGGTGAGCGAACAGTGCATGTCCGCATGCATCATGCATCATCCCCCTTTTGCTGCAATCAAACGTGGGGGCTCTCCAAAGCGTGGGATGTGGTACCAATGGCCCAAGGGACATTCTTGCGAAGGAGTGCATAGACAAGAGGAAAGTAAAAGGCAATGTTACGAGGCAATGCTACGAGGCAATCTGCTTAACCTTTCCATGGCGCATCTCGGCGGCGGAACTCTGCACGCCCTCGGTGCATTCTTGCGTCATTCACTCAGTATCGTCTTGGACTGAGTCGTGCCAATTTTGATGCTTCACATAGCCTCAAAAACGATGTGCCCCCATCTCATCCTCCTACTTATGTAACAGGACGACTAATAACGAGAGTCCTATGTTAGACGTACCGAGGGGAGGGCGGAGAAGATGGCATCTGAGAGGATATCGTGGTAGACTCGATTGCGCCATTTTGAGCCCAGAGTTGGACTGTTTCCATCCCACGCTCTCTCCTTGAATTTGCCCTGCCGTCACCGCACGTTCTCTGAGACGGTCGACGTGCACCTTGCTGGTACGGCATGGTCGAGACCAATCCAGGCCGTATTTGGTCTCCCGCGTCATCTGTCCCCGGATGTTTTTAAGTGTTTTGAGAGAATTAGCTTTGCTTGACTAATACACCGGTCGATCCGCCTACAATTCTGACCGTTATTTGCCGTGTGAATTACCCATGACGCCTTGCGCGAGGATGCGCATTGCCCTCTGAGAAAGTCATAACTTTGCCACAAGTTTTTTGTCCCCATTTACCCAGCAGAGCCTCGTCCGTCCAGTTGCCTGCCGAGGCGATGCAGTGCATGAAAACGATGTAATAGAATTTTACGCTGGCCGTTCAACGCAAAATTATTCCGGGTTTCATGTACCGGGAAAATGTTTTTTTTGTCGGTTTTGTAATCTTGTGACTGCCCAACATACACGTTCCGTGCAGAGAGAATGACTCGAGTTCCTTGGTCTCTCTCCTACACGGCGTAAATTATTCGTTTTTGTCTTTTCGTGGTGGTCAGCTCGCCTGCGGCACGGCATGCAAGCGAGAGAAAACGGACAGCAGATTGCAGCTGCGCCCCGATGCCTCCATTGAGGACGACGGCAAAGTCAGTTCTGTGCGTCGTAGGAGCGATGCTTTTGGCTAGCATCTTATACTCTCGCAGCACCGGCTGCACCCCGTATAACGTTGCAGCATCCCCATACACTGTCTGCAGTCCCTCTTTGCCCTCCACCCATTACGAGAAAGTGGTCTCGTGGCCACTACCTGCATTTGACGAAAACAACACTCAAGAGCACAGCATCAAGCGGTCCACGCACCCCGAAAAAGAGTCGAAAGAAACTGAAGAGATCGCTGGCTGGATCCCACAAACGATCGGCTGCAATCCATAATTGCGGACCACGTGGTACAGCGGACGTGCAGGTGAGGCGTGCAGTGCATCCTATGGTGCATTTTGCAGGTGCAATACGACACCAAAACGAGGAGAAGGAATTTTATAGGGAGTATATATTAGGACAAACAGCAAGGCAAGAAGGGAGTAATACTCCGAACATGGCAAGGAGAGCTCGTTACCAGGCTCGAGGTAATTCACAGTACGTAAGAGGCAACAGGGCCGAAAACGACGAGAGAACACGCCCGGGCTGCAACCTCCCCAGAGTCATACAAAGAGTAATGGAATGGGGAACGTCAGTCGGGTGAGGGGAAGAGAGTGCTGCTTTCTTCGGCACAAGCTGCCGTGTTCGAGGAGGCGCCCGTCTCGTGCCATTTGCTCTGCACGCTTTGCAGCCCGCAACGGTCTGGCATCCCTCATTCTCTCTTGGCTGTCGTACCAGGGGCACGGGGTCAGGTCTGTCACATATCACGCTGATCCGCAGCCCTCCGAATCATTCTGAAAATCAAAAGGAACAACTGGAGCACGACGTACTCCGTACGATGTACTCAGTGGAACATGGAATCCACAAACGGGCTGCTTCCGTATGTCGAAAATTGGTCTCATTTGTTTCGCCCCGGTGGCGGTGGAGATCTTTTCCCATTCGCAACGGCCGACAAGCGGGCTGGGCAGCAGGGGTCTTGTCGTCGGTGATGGGTTTCCGACGCAGACAGCCACAAAGGTGTCCTGTGGCAGCCACCTGGTCCCAATGTGGGATGCGACCGAACAGGGATTGCCAGCTTGGCTCGGTGTGTGCTTTCACAATACGAATGCACCTCGACCGTTGCCTCTTTTGCCTTCACCGACAGTCGCTGCAGCCTTGTTTTTCGTCGACTGCCGGCCTCGCCGTCCGGTGTTCGCATTGGAGTCAACTGTTTTCTTTCTCACTCCGAGCAGCAGACGCATGTTGGCTCTCCGTTTACTTCCAGTCACTCCCGGATGTTGTGGTGCTGGACGCTGCACATCAGGCATCACCATTTGACTGACTCTTCATTTCGTGCGACCTCGTGCGACCTGCTTTGCTGCTGAGCTGTAATTACGTCGCACGCTGACACGGTTCCCCGCCTTTGCCCCAGAAAATGAATTGTCTGAGTCTAGGTCTGGGCCACAGTCGTACAGCATATTCGTATCTGTCCGGGACGTGTGGATTTCTTTTTCCTGTATGTCGTACTCTGTGCGCTATAGTCTCTGACTTCCCGTTCGATGTCCTGTGTCTGTTGGTAAGAGCCTGTTGGTCTTGGTAAGCCGAAAACCCGTTTGTGTCGTATTGGATATGCACTGGCCACAACAGGTCGTGAAACCGTCACCCGGACTGACAGGACAGAGAATGTAAAACTAGGGGCTGCAGGCAAGAATAAAAATATAGTAAATAAATCAAAGGAAAAGAAAACAGCGGTGTGATGGGAACACAACAGGGCTACGAACGAGGAAGAGGCATGGGAAAAGCAAAACAAAGTGTTCTCCAGCTCACCACAAAAACCAATACATCCTGTATGTCGTCGGCGCCCGATTGGGTTCCCACGTCAGTGCAAGTTTCGCAATGAGTGCCTTCAGCCGATGACCAGCCACCAAGACCGGGTTCCGCAGCGTGGTTTGTCTGATGGTATGAATATCTGGTAAATGTGCAAATACTTACATTTGTTCGAATGCCTGTGAAAGAGTTGTTTTGGCGCATGTCGCTGCAGCGGAGACATAGTAGGCACATGAACAAGCTCGGCAGCCAGACACAGGGACGTTCCCCATACATGTCGGCGCCGCAAGCGACCGCGCTTCTGGTGTCATTGCTGCAGAGGATAGCAAGCTCGTTGTATCTCTTCCCACACAAAAATGCAACGTCGTGAGATTAGGAATCTGGGTTGCGACAAAGGGAAAGCACCAACCATGCATGGGCTGGCGAGGGTAGGGCGTACAAAAAGAAAGAGCGGACGGCTAAAGATGCTCAAAAGGAAGGGACTGCAGCAAATGAAGACGAGTCAAACACTTCCAATATAGGAAAGAGCTTTGTGGGCGTGAAGACCAGAAAAAGACGGTGCCTCCTTCCAGAAAACACCCGTGTCAAAACAATACCGAGCCAGTAATTGCTCCATTCAATGCCCCTCCTTTCCGTTTGCTTCCTCGCCCCTTCCCTCGCGCCTGTCTCATCGTCTCCTTTTCGCCTTTCGGGAAAGAACCACCAAAATAGCAACATAACGAAAGAACGATGGACACAAACAGAAAAAAAAAAAAGAAGCTCGTCCACAAAAAGGAAGGACCAAACCGAGCACAGATGTGGCTCGAAGAAGACATCTAGACTTTCGTCTACTACGTCACCAAGTTCACTTCCTCATCTTCTTCTGCCTCTCAGCTTCTAGACCCTCGCATGCAGACTTTTCCCATCAACAAATATAATTTACCCGATTCGTAACGCCCACTCGTGCCCAACGGAGTCTCTCACACAGCGACCCTCTCGCACCGTTTCTGAGGTGGCCTTCCCTTGCCAGCTGTTGACAAAATACTGGATTCACTCGACATTGCAAAGACCCGTTTTTTCTTTTTTTTCTTTTTTTCTTTTTTTCTTTTCACCTTCTCTTTTCTCGTATTTTTCCATTCTATTTCAGCCGCAGATGACCGGCCTACAGACGGCCAACTTTCGAGTTCCCTCCCTCCCGAATTTCAGTTGGCCTTGCGCTCTGCTGCCTTTGTCCCGTGTGTTCTTTTCTCCTTTCGGTTGTGTCCTGAAAGGCCTTTCATCGTGTAAGTTGGCAGTCTCCTTCCCAGCTGCACGTAGCCGTGTCCCCATACATATAAGAACAACTACTGTACAGCTAGCGTGTGTTGGGAGGAACAGGGGTGCAAGAAGAAAGGAAAAGTTTGAGGAAGCTCAGACCCTTTCCACTGTTATATAAACATCTCATCACTCGCACTTTATTCTTTTGCCAGCCTTCCATACGAGCCCAAGCCTTCATTTCCCTCGCCCTCGGGGTTTTTTTTTTTTTTTTCTCTTATTATTTTCTTTCTTTCTCCCTTGTTTCTGCACATCTACTCTGCTCCCTTTCTTCTCTTGTTGCTTTATCTCTCACTGCTCACACCTTGTCGCTCGCTTACTTTTGTCCCTCGTGACCCCTCGCTCTGGAAGGGTCTTGATACTGAACGACAAGCCGCTCCCCACAACTTACAATACCGAACTAAAACGACTCCGATTTAGTACAGAGAAGCGAAAACAAACTCGGTGGCTCCGGAGGAGGGTCCTCAAGAAAAGTAGGCCCGAACGAAGACGCCATAAAGAGCGCCGTTCCCCTCTTTACCAAAGTCGTCGTTGTGCCATCCACGGCCTGTTCCGCACATTTGTCAACGGCAGGGAAAACGAACATAACTCTGCTTTCATACCGTATCTGTGTTCCTCAGTTGGGTGTTTATCTTAGCAGACAATACAACGACTCGTCGAGAATAAGAATCCTTGACAACCCCAGAAGGACGAAAAAGGAAAAGGGAAGCAAGACCAACATCTGTGATCCAAGCGCCAGTGCGCATGACAAGTCGAATACGTACCGCCAAGGACCCCGGCTACAAAACGTCGTGCCGGAAAATCGGTCGCCCTTGTCGCTCAACACGGCACAGTCTTGTTTCGGAAGATAGAAAGGGAAAGCCGAAATCACGAGAAGGGTAAAAAAGGCCATAAGAGCAGTCACACCTCGTCCTTCTTGTCGTCCTGCCTCTTTCTGGCCTTGACATGAACGGTGGCAGAAACCGTGGAATACAATTTGCAGAAACAATTACACGATGGCTTCACCCGTCCTAAGCCGAGCGGCAGCCTCGTTTGCCCGCTCTTGCAGCAGACGGGCACCATCAGCAACAGAGACGCTACGAAATACTTCACCAATATCCAGACGCATCAGGCAACGAACATTTACTGCATTTGCGCCCCGGCGCCAACAGTCAAGTTCACCAACGGCAACAAAGTCAAGGTCAACACCAAAACCATCAACATCAACGGCTGGCACCACAGCGACGGCTTCCCCAATCTCCTGGTGGACGGGCCAGCGAGCTTTCGCCGCTGCGGCCGCTGCTGGTTTGGCTGGCTGGGGTCTAGCGGCCGTCTACTTTGGCGGCTGGCGCGGTGGCGCGGCCATGCGACTCGACAGCGAGCGCACGACCGTATCGCGTTACGCCAACATGCGGGGCATGGAGGTCGCCATCGATGAGATCCGCAGGGAGATCAAGACAGCCGGATTTGAAGACAGCGATGATATTATTTCCACCGACCCAGAGGATCTGCTTGCTCACGGCTATTCCGAGTGGTCCAGCACAAACCCGGACGGCCTACCGGTCGCCGTGGCGTATCCGCGGTCTACCGAGCAGGTATCCGTCATCATGCGTATTTGCCACGCCCACCGCGTGCCGGTGATCCCCTTCTCTGGCGGCACGAGTCTCGAAGGCAACTTTTCCGCGCCCTACGGTGGCATCAGCGTCGACTTTGCCTACATGGACCAGATCATACAGTTCAACAAGAGCGATATGGACATCGTCGTGCAGCCAAGCATCGGCTGGCAGGACCTCAACGACCAGCTGGCGAAAATGGACAGCGGCCTCTTCTTCCCCATTGATCCTGGTCCGAGCGCCAAGATTGGTGGCATGATCGGTACAAACTGCTCCGGCACCAACGCCGTCAAATACGGCACGATGAAGGACTGGGTCATCAACCTGACTGTCGTGCTGGCCGACGGCACCGTCATCAAGACCCGCCGCCGCCCACGCAAGTCGTCTGCTGGCTACAACCTCAACAGTCTCTTTGTCGGCTCCGAGGGCACTCTGGGCCTGGTCACGGAAGCGACGCTCAAGCTGACCGTCATACCCGAGGAGCTGTCTGTGGCCGTTGTGACATTCCCCACCATTCGCGATGCAGCGTCGGCTGCCGCCGAGGTCATGCAGACCGGCATACCCGTCGCTGCCATGGAGATCATGGACGAGGTCCAGATGCATGTCGTAAACCTCGGTGGCGCCACCGCGCCCCGCGTGTGGAAAGAGATGCCTACGCTCTTCTTCAAGTTTGCCGGCACCAAGGCCAGCGTGCGCGACAATATTCAGAACGTCGCCAAGATTACAGCTCGCAACCGCGGCTCCAACTTTGAGTTTGCCAAGGACGCCCGTGAGCAGAAGCTCTTGTGGTCCGCGCGCAAAGAGTCCTTGTGGTCCATGCTGGCGCTGCGCAAAGCCGGCGAGGAGGTCTGGAGCACCGACGTGGCCGTGCCGTTCAGCCGCCTGGCCGACATCATCGAGGTCAGCAAGAAGGAGATGGACGATCTGGGCTTGTTTGCCAGCATTCTGGGCCACATTGGCGACGGCAACTTCCATGAGAGCATCATCTACAACCGTGCCGACGTGGGCGAGCGCGCCAAGGTCGAAGCGTGTGTCAAGAACATGGTCAGGCGCGCGCTGGACATGGAGGGCACCTGCACGGGAGAGCACTCTATCGGCTGGGGCAAGAAGGACTCGCTCCTGCTCGAAGTCGGGCCGGCGACCTTGGGCGTTATGAAGGCCATCAAGGCGGCTCTGGACCCGCACTGGATTTTGTATGTCATCCTCTTCGCCGCCTCTCGCCTCTCCCCTTTACCTCCATGCCAATACTAATCATATAGGAACCCTGGCAAGATCTTTGACCAGCAATACCTAGTCCAGACGTAGCAGTGGGGTTGGAAAGAGACACGACGAGCTGTGCAAAAGCAGGTGCGCCGAGAGTGAGAGGAGAAGACAGAATGGGTTTTTTTTTACTTCATACTTGATCCATGTATTTTCTATTTATTTGCCTCATATCATCGATTCCCTATTTCTGTTTTATCTATACGTCATAAGGGCAACCATATCATGATTCGAGATACAGCCGGTGAACGTGGATGACTGTCGAAGGAAGAATATTGGGCCAAAACGTCGTTGAGGGGTGAGGGCCGTTTCTTTTCCTTGCTATTATTTCCTTTCCATTGCTTCTTATTTATATTCTTGGCTTTCTATGTCTTTTCTCTCATATGTCGTTGTTTTGTCTCTCTGAATAGTTTACGTTTTCTGAATTGTTTGTAAACGATCTACATCATCATAGTGTCAGCATTGAAGCGGGCGGCGGTTTGGCACTTGTTCGTGTTTCCTTCCACGTAATATCCATATTGCATTGGCCTTTGTATTTCTGTTTGTATTTCGTCATTCCCCTTTTTTCAAACTGGCAGAGTCCATTTTGCACGCATTGCGTTTTAGGGCTGCCTTGATAAACAGACAGACTCAGGTTTGTATCAACTTCTTAAGCTAACCACAGCCGGTCACCAACGAGTGCACAACTCCCTCTTGTACGAGACTGAAATGAAAGTCACGATACCCAGGGATTCAGTCTCGTGGAGAGCCGAGGGGCTGCTCATGACGACGTGACACTATCGCACTTATCCGCGATTTCCAGCGACCAGCACACCTACGCCTTCCACTTTGACACAGGTAACTAGTTGCCTTGATGTTTTGGTATTTAATTTCTCAGCCCAATGTAAAACTGGTACCTTTTCGCGGTGTCCTGGACACGTATTGGTTTTAGTAAGGAAACCAAGACCAGTCTACCGTTGTGTCCGTCGTTCTGTCCATCTGCCGTTCTGTCGTGTTTATGATCATGTCCTCTGCTATGCTACCTCCGGCCTTTCCACGGCCAATACCAAGCCGTATTGTTCTTGTCGACTTTTTGGTCGACATTTCGGTCTTTGTTTTGGTCTTCTTTTTGTCCCTCCTCTTGCTTCCCTCTGTCCAGCGTCTTCACCACAGACCTTGCATATTCAACGTAATTTCTTGACTCGTCGCCTGCACACCCATAGACCGCTGTCAGACACTGCGCATACTTGGGAAGCAGCTCCTTCAGACGCTTGGCCGCCGCATGTGCCAAGAATCGGCCACGGAACGCGTGGTAATCAAGGACATTCGAGATGAGATTTCGTACCAGAGGTGCTTTGAAGACATCCGCGTGGGCCGGAAAATTAGATTGTGTTACGAGCAGCTGCAACTGAACCGTGTATCTGTGCGTGAGCACATTGCACATGGAACTATATGCCGCTTCCTCGTCCACCTCGTCGCCGTCGCCGTCGGCGGCCAAAGTGGCGCTCACTTTCACCAACATGCTGACCAGCAGCTCCGTCGTTTGATCGTAGCCTTGTTCAGGCAAGAGAGCGATCGTGCCGCCCAGTCCCTCTAGTATGTCGACGAGTATGTTGGCATGCTGGAGGGCTAATCTTTTGTCCTCCTCTTCCGTTTTAGCTGCAACGTGATCGTCGAGAATAAGCTTGTACGTATCCAGGATGCTCTTCCGAATGAACGACAGCATTTCCTTGGTCATGTTGACTGTATTCTCAAGGCTCTTATTGTTGTCGGGGTTGAGGTCCGGGTATGATGAAGAGGACGGGCCGTCGCCGACAACCGTGTATTCGCTTGTGTCGGACATGGCGTGGAACGAGACGATCAGAATGGGCTCGTCGACAGGAAGCTGGATGACTTTGCGGTGAATTTGGCGAATTTGGTGAACTGGATGATGATGGGATAGACACAGGAAAGCACAAAACGTTGGGAACGTGGGAGACGACCAGCTAGTCAAAACGGCCACCGGCCCTTTTCATCTCGAGGAGTTGTTAGCACACGTAATACACCACTTGTGCTGAGTGAGAGACGGCGACGTATGATTGTATGTACTTGTCTTTCAGGCCAGTGTGACGTCGTGGTCACGGGAACTCAAGTCATCCAGGAGCCATGGAGCTTGTATCATACGCGTCGATGTTCGATGTTGGTGCGTTTGGCCGTGTCAGGGAATGCAGCACGTGCTGCCACCGAAGGTGTACCTGCAAACGAGCATCGCAGCTCCTCGCTGCCCGGCAGGCTTTATAAAGTGCGACGGGTGCAACAGAATATGCCACGCATCCCTTCCATTCTGGGCAATTTGCACGCATCAACCATGTTCCACGCGTGCCTTCCATTCTCGGCAATTACACGCACACCCGCACGCTCAACAACGTTTCAGGCGTCCCTTCCATTTTGGGCAATTACACGCACAGCCGCAGCCCTCAATAACGTTTCAAGCGTCCCTTCCATTTTGGGCAATTACACACCCACATTCATGTCTCCATGTGCTCCTTCCTCGTCTCATGCCCCACAATGCTACCACAAAACACAAACGCCCAGTCACCAATTGACCTCCGTCTCACCTCTCCCACTTCCCTTCGTTACTTTGCATTTTCACGATACACATGCTACCGTGACGAGGTATCCTTTGACCTGCCACCATGGCCGGCCACGTTGCCGCAGAGATCTCGCCTCCTGGTGCTGAGAACAAAACTCCTCGCCCGGCCGCTTGGCGTGGCCGCGGCTTTGTCTCCATGACCATCATTCTCGGCTCTCTCCCACCTCAGACCACTACTCTCGACATTTACAAATCCATGATGCCGCTGGCCATCACGTCGATCGATATCCTGGAGGACAACCGCGGCGAGCGCTCGGGCACCGCCCGCGTGCGGATGGTGCCTCCGGACAGCGACTACTGGTACGACCGCTGCTGGCGTCTCGAGCTGGAGGACGCCACCGCACCACAGCGCTTTCCCAGGGTGTCGGCCCGTGTCGACAATCACGGTTTCCGCTCGGCCACAGAGGAAAGCATCAAGACGCCGCTCAATACATGGGTCCCGGCCCGTAAGGAGATCGAGCTAGCCCTGCTTGGCCAGGGGTTTATGCGCCAGAAGCGTGCCATGATGGTGATGGACCAAGTTGAGCACGACGGTGAGGACGTGCTGGTCAAGCTGCGTGTCAACTTTAGCCGCCGCGACCTATCCATTTTTGTGACACGCGTCCTGGAGGAGACGTCATCACCAAACAGCGGCGAAGGCACAAGCAGCAACCCACGTCCGCCGCCGCGCCGTCTCAAGGCCGAGTACCGCATCGACATACGCTTTTCTTGGGTCAAGAACATTTGGGAGCAGCAGCTCCCTGGCGGACGCGTCTGCGTCGCTCTCGCACTCGACTCGCCTCCCGAGTACTGGCGCATCACCCGGGACGCCACCCAAACGCACGGCAGCGGCCGCACCAGCTGGAACAACATGGAGCAGTGGGTGCGCATGGCGTACCTCACCATGAACCAGCGCGCCGTCCGCGATGCGTCCGTCTCGCTGAACGGTGTCTTCCCAGCGGGACAGGCTGTGGACCTTGGTCGATGGACCGTCTTCCGCCTTGGCTTCCGTCCGTCCACGGTGGGCGACTGGCAGGATGTTGCCGGCGCTCTGCGTGACTACGACCTGCGTGCCAAGCCCTGCCCAGAGTTCCGTTTTCTGCCTCGCGACGACCGGACCATGTGGGACTGTGTGCAGGCTGACCACGGCGCTCTGCCCATGTCTGCGGCCAGCAACATGCATCACCTTTCCCGCCGTCTCTCGTACGACGTTGCGTACCAGCTGGAGGTGTGCATCTCGCACAACATTCTCAACGAGAGCACGCTCGACGTCGTCTTTCTAGAGAGTCTCGCAGCTCTTACCCCGGATCGTGCCACACGTATGCTCGAGTATGTGGCCGAGCGCGGCAAGCGCATCTACCAGCCGCACAGTATCTTCCGCGATCCCCGGGCCGCATCGTACTGGCGCAAGTCCTCTCCCGATGCGTCGCTCGACAAAGACCGTGCCGTCTACATCCGCAAAGCCATCGTGACCCCGACCACAATCATCTACTCCACGCCCGCACTCGAACCCGGAAACCGCGTGCTGCGCCATTTCCGCGAGCACCACGACCGTTTTCTCCGTGTTCAGTTTACCGACGAGCTCCTCATTGGGCGGCTCAGTGGTGGTCGTGACGGCAGGCGGACGGATGAGTGCTTTGTGCGGGCCTTTCGGGCACTGAAAAACGGCATCCGCGTCGGTGGCCGCTGGTTCGAGTTCCTGGCCTTTGGCAACTCGCAGCTGCGCGAGAACAGCACCTACTTCTTTGCGCCGACCGAGCTTGTCTCGTGCCAAGACATCCGGGACTGGATGGGCGACTTTCGGAGCATCAAAACCGTCGCCAAATATGCAGCACGGCTGGGCCAGTGCCTGTCGACCACGCGGCCTGTGCCTACCTTTGGTGTGCCGACGACGGTGCAGCGCATTGCCGATGTCGAAAACGACCGGTTTTGCTTCACGGACGGCGTCGGCAAGATCTCCAAGTGGTGGGCTCGCGTCATTGCCAGCCATCTGCGGGTCGACAATGTGCCCTCGGCCGTGCAGTTCCGCATGGGCGGCTGCAAGGGAATCCTCGTCGTCTGGCCCGACGTGCCTTCTGGCCAAGTGGTGCAAATCCGGCCGTCGCAAGAAAAGTTTCCAACTCTGGACAATGCCAACATCCTCGAGATCGTCCGCTGCTCGGAGACTGCCACGGCGACTCTCAACCAGCAGACCATCATCTTGCTGTCCACACTCGGGGTCCCGTTGTCCGTCTTCCTAGACTTGCTCCACGAGGAACTGGCCGGTCTCGATGCCGTCATGAACGACCCGCAGAAGGCGGTGGACCAACTGATGGTGCGCGTCGACCAGAACCACATCACACCCATGATTGCCGACATGGTCAAGGCCGGCTTCATGGCATCCGACGAACCATTTGTCTGGTCCATGCTGCAGCTCTGGCGCTCCTGGACACTCAAGGCCCTCAAAGAGAAGGCACGCATCAGCGTCGAGAAGAGTGCTTTTGTGCTGGGGTGCGTCGACGAAACAGATACGCTGCGTGGCCATACGCAACCCCGTGACGGGACACGCCGCAACCGTGCTGGCGAGCCAGGCGGGCCACCCGAGCTCCCTCAGATTTTCCTACAAATCCCAGACCTGACCAGCAAGCCTCAGGGCGGCGTCCACATCTTGGCGCGCGGAAGCAACAACAACAACAGATACAACATTGGTGCGGCCAAGGGTGGCCAAACGTACAGGGTCATCACCGGCCTTTGCCTGGTGGGCCGCAACCCATCGCTTCACCCGGGCGATCTACGGGTCGTGGAAGCCGTCGACGTACCGGCCCTGCACCACCTTCGGGACGTGGTCGTCTTTCCGCGTACGGGTGACCGTGACATTCCCAGCATGTGCTCTGGTGGCGACCTTGACGGCGATGACTACTTTGTTTTCTGGGACGAGCGCCTGCTCCCACCGCGCGAATTCTGGAACTACGATGCAATGAACTACGATGCTGCCCGCGAGCCGGACGTCGACGAGGTGACACCGCGCCATCTAATTTCCTTCTTCGTGCAGCACATGAAGCACGACACGCTGCCGCGCATTGCCATGTCGCACCGGGCGTATGCCGACCAGCTCGAGGACAGCGCCATGAACCCGCGCTGCCTGGAGCTCGCACAGCTGCACTCGCAGGCCGTCGACTACGCCAAGACCGGCGTGCCTGCGCTCATGCCGCACCGACTGGCGCCCAAGGGCTGGCCGCACTGGATGGGCCGGACGTTCAAGCGAACGTACCACTCGAGGTCGGCCCTCGGCCAAATTTACGACGAGGTGCAGGTGGAGACGTTTGAGCCGGCGTACGACAAGCCCTTTGACAAGCGCATCCTCGAGCAGTATCCCGACCTGGATGCGGATCTCATGCGCCGTGCCCGGCGCATCAAGACGCAGTACGACCTGGCGCTGCGGCGTGCCATGGCGCAAAAGGACATTGAAAGCGAGTTCGAGATGTGGTCTGGCTTTGCCATGAACAAGCCGCGTGTCGGTTCCGATTACAAAGCTGCCGAGAACCTGGCGCGTCTCTTCCGTGTGATCACAACGCGATTCCGCCGCGTGTGTCTGCGCGAGGCCGGCGGCGACTCGCAGGACCTTGCGAAGCTAGGGCCTTTCCTGGCGGCCATGTACAAGGTTACGTCGGAGGAGGTTCGCATTGCCCTGCACGAGTTTGCTCTGGCCAAGAAGCGCGCGCGTCCAGTCCCAGCGGACATCGACAACGAGGCGTCGGCCGCGTCTCCGAAGGATCGGTTCAGTCACCACAGTGCGCCGCTCATCAGCTTCCCATGGATCTTTTCGCACGAGCTGTGCTCCATTGCAACGACGGCCGATCCGGCTTGCGCGGTCGACACCATCGGGCGTGACGACAAAGCGAAGGCAACGGACAACAAGACGAAACCCACCGAGACAAACACGGGTCAACCAGACCACCTGTTGACAGCTTCTGAGCTACGTGCCATGGAATACCGCGTAGTGAACGGTGTGCCCACGCACTACGGCATCCCGCTCGACACTTCGGCATACGATGGGTCCCGCGAGGAGGAGGAAGAGGGGGCCGACATGGACGCGGGCGAGTATGAGCCGATGTGGACGCTGCCGCCAGGCAAGTCGGAGAGTGACGTCGTGATTGAGATGGTTGCGTCGACAAAGACGAAGCCTGAGAAGCCTGAGGAGAGCGACGACGACGACGGCGGCGACGACGGCGAGCAAGCCTACAAAGACGCCG